GGGGGGGCCGCCAAGTGGGAGGAGGAGAAGAGGACGAAGAGAGGGAAGAAGTATTAGAAGAAGAGAATAAGAGAGAGAGTGAGAGAGAGTGAGAGCGCAAAGAGAGAGCGCGCAAAAGCCACCAGGAGAAAAAGGCAAGCGGGTAAAAAAGTCACTGGACTGACTTTCTTCTACTGTAAAGTAAACTACAGTACAGCCACCACCACAAAACTTCTTTCTTTCCTCTTGTTCTCTTACTTCTTCAACCAGCATCACATTCCACAAAATGAATAACCCTTTCTGCTTCTATTATTCAACAACAAGCTATTTGCCTTGAAACAGTGAAACCTCCTACTCTAAACGGACTGGTCTGGCCGCCTAGATACCTTGGGGTGTTCTGCGCGACGGGCGGCGCTGCTTCTTAGTAGGGTTGGTTCTCTTTCCTTCCCTTCATTATTATCTTCATTACCATTCTTCTTATCTTGATCGCTTGCATAACCATTATTATCGGATGCCATGATAAACAAAAACATTCCGTTTTTCTTTGATCCTGGCACCCTTCAGAATTCTTGACTGTTTCTAAACATGGTCTAGACACACCCTTTGCAACCTCGTTCGACCATCCACACTTTTCCCCCTCCAAACTTCAAAGTGCTTGTTTCCTTTGACGGGGCTTTTTCTTTTCTTTTCAAGTGCTTCGCATTGCATAGTCCCCCGCCCCCCCTCCCCCCAAATGATGGTTCACCCTTGGTTCCATAGTCTAAATCCGCTACATGATCCTTGAGAACACGCCACTACGACCGCTTCCAGTCTAGACCATCTGTGCAGGCAGCTGACGATCCCTGCCCGGCCTAAGAACCGCTTCCGAGGATCCAGACCCTTATTCCTGCATGACTTGTCGTCCCCGCAAGGCTCAAAACCCCCTACCCATCGAGAGCACTGTGCTCAAACCTTATCAAGTAGTAGCATAATTGTCCAATACCATGGAGTATCCGGACAATATCCACCCACCGCACGGGCAATCTCTGGATGATTATGGCTACCCGGCTGTTAACGAGACAATGCACTACCCATGGCAGGGTCACCAGCCACCGGCTCAGCCAGAGCCTTCCATCCACTCCGTCTTGGACCCTCGTCTCTATAGAGACTTGTTCACCGGGAATGATACACAACCACCAGACGAACAGCCCGGGGACGAAGCTATGGGCGAATATGCCGAAGAGGATGTCGACTCAGACTCTCTCTATTCCTTGTCTTCAGAGGAAGAAACGTATGCGACATTGACCCTTTCTACAGTCGATACTGACGGATAACAGGGACGAGGAAGAATATGAAGCCCATCCAGATGACGGAGACGACAGTGATTCAGTCTCGCGCCGTCGTCGTCGCAAGAAAGGTCCCTTTAGTGGCCGCTATGGTGCCCGAGGCATGAAAGGAGTTAAACGAGGCCCTCGCAAGCCATTGGAACCGAGCCCGGAATTCAAGATCCTGCACTCTGAGGCCACCTCCGCATTCATTGATGGAGATTATGACCGTGCCATTGTCTTGGTCAAGCAAGCCATTCAGGTCAACCCCGAGATGTTTGCTGCGCATTCGCTTCTTTCCGAAATCTTCTTGGCCCAGGGTGAGCACGACAAAGCGCTGACGGCATTGTTTAACGGTGCTCATACGCGACCAAAGGACCCGGGGGTATGGGCCAAAGTGGCCAGGATGATTCTGGACCGCAGCGGGGAGGACCGCACAAGCGCCTTGAACGACGTCGTCTATTGTTATAGTCGAGTGCTCGATATTCAACCACAAAATTACACGGTCAGGTTCCAGCGAGCGGCCATCTACAGGGAGCTCAACCACAACGGAAAAGCTGCGACTGAATATGAGAGGATCCTGCGTGAGCGGCCAAACGACACGCGAGCGCTCCGCCATCTTGCAGAGACGTTGATTGATACTCAGGAGCCCCACAAGGCGGTCGATATATGGTCGAAGAGCATGGATTACATTCTGACTTATGAGCCCCAGGATGTGCCTGATTTTTCCTGGTCGGATGTCAACATTTATGCTGAACTGCACAGCATGGTGGGCCGTCCTTTCGAGGGGCTGAAGGCCACCAAGAACCTGTCCAGGTGGCTGCTGGGTCGGAATCAGGATACAATGTGGAAAGAATTCCACGAAGATGATCGCGAGTGGGACGCGGATGATTCGCCTCGACGGATAAAGACGGATGGATATATTCCGCGACGCTGGCATCGCGATTCGTATGGATTGGGTCTACCACTGGAACTCCGAATCAAACTTGGTCTATTCCGACTCAAGATGGGGTATGACCACAAAGATGAAGCATTGCATCATTTCGAATGGTTGGATCCAGAAGACACCTCGGAGGATGCTCGATTATATGATTATGGAGACTTGTTCCGTGAGGTCGCGGATGCTCTGAAGGAAGTCGGGTTGCTCCAAGAGGCGCTCAGATTCTATACTCCATTGCAGCAGACAAATGAGTATGCAGATGTTGGCTTCTTCATGGCCCTTGGTGACTGCTACCGGCTATTGGGCAAACTGGAAGATGCAGAAAACTGCTACCTTACCGTGGCAGAGTATGACGCGCAACATATCGACTCACGAGTCCAGCTTGCGAAATTATATGAAGAGATTGGAATGACCGAGCAGGCGCTCAGATTCGTCAACGAAGCAGTTCTTCTCGGGAGACAGGAAACCCGGGCCCATAGACGACGAAAGGACACAAGACTGGAACAGCTAGCGATGGAGTTTCGATCAGCGGAATCGGGGTCTGTCGTGCCAGAATCAGTCTCCCCAGACATGCCGACGGCCGCCGTCCTCACCACCCCTGCTGCACCAGCCTTGAACAAGAGGCAGGTCGAATTCGATGAAGGACAGAGGAAAGCCAACGTGCAGTTCCTCTACGGCAAGCTCCTCCAGTTACATGACGCAGTCAAAAGTGGGAGCGATGAGGCCATGGAAGACTGGCTGGATATCGCCGATGCTCTGTTACGCGAATTCCGTTCCAACCGAGTATTCTATCCACTTCAACGGCACATGACCTTCTTGGGGTACTCGCGAGAGGCACAGAGAAAGAAGGGCAAGGGCCGAAGCCTTATTGATGAGATGCAAGAGATGGCAGGTCGTCTTCATGAGTCCTTAGGTACGAACTCGCCATTCTTCGTAAGTAGGTACCACACTGACAGGTTTCTAGGGAATATCACGGACGAGCCGTTGCAGGGCACTATCCCTACTGATTATCACGGGATCAGCTTCGAGGAGTGGCTCGATCTGTTTCTCCAGTATGCTCTCTATGTGGCGGCGCAAGGCGAATCTGACGAAGCGTATGATACGCTTGCAGCCGCTGCAGATGCCAGCGTCTGGTACCATTCTAAACCCAGCACCCGGATGATTCACGTCTGTTGGTTTAGTGAGTATACCAGTAATCTATCTTCAGATCAGCACTAACCCTTTTGTCAGCTTGCGCTCTTCGAATGCAGGACGAAGAGACCCTCGCGAACGAGGCGCGTTGGTTCATCAAAGAATACCAATTCGTGACAGACACGTATCGCCTGTTTGCCATGCTGAGCCGTCTCAGCGGTGACCCTCAGCGGTCCCTCTTCCATTCTTCCCCCAACATGAAGTTCATGCTGCGTCAGATCAAGGCCATGGACTTCACCCTACCAGACAATATCGCGGGGGCCCGACCGAACCGGCCGCGAGAGTCGATCTATCAAGAGCGAGCCTCCCTATCAACGCGCGACGAGACGGGAGAAGCCATCTCGGCCGAAGAGATGGATATCGCTTTGATAGTGCTGTACGGGCAGATCTTGTACTCCGGCAACAGTTTCTACCCGGCTCTGAACTACCTCTTCCGTGCCTACGCGCTGGACGACCAGAATCCCGTGGTCCTGCTGTCCATCGCCCTCTGCTACATCCACCAGTCCCTAAAACGACAGTCCGAGAACCGGCACTACCTCATCATGCAGGGACTCTCCTTCATGCAGGAGTATCGACGTGTCCGCGAACGGCCAGGGTCGCTGCTCTCCGAGCGGCAGGAGATGGAATTCAACTTCGCCCGCGTCTGGCACACCCTGGGGCTCGCGCATCTAGCGGCCGAAGGGTACCATCGCGTGCTAGAGATGGGCAAACAGATCCAAGCGCAATCCAAACCGGATTCCCGGCCAAGCCCTGGATTGATAAAAGAGCACGACGATGTTGTCATGGCCGATGCAAGCGCCGGGAACGATGAAGGCGCTGCTCCCTTCGTGGAGGACTTTTCGCGGGAAGCCGCGGTAGCATTGCAGAACATCTACGCCCTGAGCGGTGACATCCGATCTGCGCAGCAGGTGACTGCCCAATGGCTGGTTATTTAGGGAGGTGCATAACTGTCTGTGGCAATCCATGAAGTCATACTTACTCTAAATGGGCAGATCGTGAGGCAGCGATTCAATTTCCGGATAATAAGCTTGGCATGCCATGCACTTGCGAGCGATCGTACATGTAGACGGTAGTCTAATCCCCCACACGCCAAACTGTCAAACAGGGTCCTACGTAGGTAGTCGAATATAAGGTTTGGAGTATCGCAATCGGATACCATCGCCATGTCCCTTGCCTGCTGTTTGCTGTTTGATGTCCACAGCTACGCAGTCGCCACCGTTCATCTCCTCGCTAGACCTCCCCTCCTATCCCTATCTGCATAATCACTTAACCTATACGGCAGACACGCCCTCCCCCGACACATCCCGATGAAAAATAAGATCACCACGTACCAACCAATCAATATTCATCAACCTCAGAGTCCGCTAATCAGAGACAAGAGCGACATAAGTTCACGTCATCCACCTCTTAATATCCCCAGCATATACTTATACTTACTCGTAGCAGCTACGACACAGTGGCAATAGAGCGGGCTACCCCCGCATTTTCCCTTGCGCACGGACTATGATCTGCAGATTCAAGTCGATTTCGATGTTTGTCAATTGGAAGGGAATTTCTTTTTGACCCGATTATGGAAGGGAAGGCGGGGGGACTCAATAGGAATTTAGGGATTAATGTAGGGAATGAATTGGATGGCTACTTCATGGGGTGAATTACATAGTATTTGTCTATGGCGAGGGGATCATTGCGAACTTGGAAATAGGTATGAGTACTTAACTTACAGCGGTAGTTACTGGCTGAATGTTTTCAGTGATTGGGTGGGTTAAAGGGTGATCACTGCAGTGGGTACCTATCTACTATTCGATGAAGGGGAAGATCGCTCGGGGCTGTTTGTTGTACTAGGTACGGGGTACTTGCGGCTGTTTGGGTATTGAGGTAATTTCTGGTATCTTCGGTTTTTGGGAGTCTTGGTTGTATTTGGTTGGGACAAACGTATGTAATATGTGTAATATACAATGGATCTAACGTCTAGCTAACTTATAGTAAGTGGATGTGGTGCAAAGATACAGGACCTTGGGTGAGATGATCTAAACTAGACAGGGCAAATAGAGGAAAAGGATGCAATGGGGCTAGAATAACCAAAATCACCTCCGTAATAAGCATGGCTAAATAAGAAGTATGAAAGGAAAAAATAATTCACGCGAGATAGTTGGGCGACTTGACGATTGGACGGGGATACAACCGCCTATCCTCCGCGGAGTGCATCGTTCTCACCATACATGTCCACGTCGTCGAAGAACACGGCCGATTGGCGGCGCATCTCTTCGAAGATATTGCTCCCCGAACTCCCCCGTCGGGGTTCCGGGACCCGCAACCGCATCCGGGACGATGCGCGGGAGGATTCCTCTGCCGAGGACAGGTCCGAGTAGGACGTATCCATTAAATGATGCGTGTCTTCGTCGCTGATGTGGTGTGTCTGTCGTTCGGGGAAGCTCTGGTCCAACCGCTGGGATAAGGTGTCGGCGGGGTTGCTGCTATCCGAGCCTCCGTTCGGACGCCATGGCGACGGCGCCGGGGACGGGCCTCGACCGCCGGGGTTCGTGCACTTGTGCAGTCCCTGGACGACGGCGATCTCGATCTTGAGTCTGTTCTTGATGAATTGGATCTTGGGGAAGGCGCTCTGTTGACCGACACGTAGCATGCGCGCCAGACGCTCGGGGTCCGGGTCCGAGAGGATGTGCCAGAAATCCGAGGGGATGGTCTTGGGCCAGATGGTCACGGTGCCGCTGAACTTCTGAAGCCAGATCTCGCTCCAGTCTTGGCCTAGTGGACGGGGAAGAAGCTCGAGATGCCTCAGAACCCGGAGCCATTTGTTCATGTCGAGCTTGATGTATTGTTCGATCGCGGAGCCCAGGAATCCTCCGCGCCAGCCTCGACCCTTGCGGTGGGTGACTGGTCGGCCGACCGAGCCTCGAGAGCTGAAAAAGAAAAGGTTGATATGAGGGTTGACCTGTGTAAGAGTGAAGAGCGTTAGTGTCTTTTTTCTCCCGGCCGCTTCAAAAAAATTTAAGTCTTACCTGCGAAACAATGGTGAAGTTGACGTTGAAATGTAGATTCAAAGCTTTGATGGGAATGTCTGTGCGCAGGCTACCGTCCTTCCACTTGTGTCCAAAGGAGTATGGAGCAAGTGTGCCGTCGCGTTTTTTGGTCATCAGCACAACAGGATTCAGGATTCCAGGGACTGCCGCGGATGCCAGGACAGCACTCCAGATGACACAATCGGGTGAGGTAAGATAGTTGGCCAGGATCGTGGGCGAATGAGGGTCCGACGGGACACAGGAGACGTTCAATATGCGCCCCGTTCGTTCATATGCCTCTCGAAATGTCATCGACCCCCTGCAGAACCAGCTACATTGACGGGCCCACTCGAGAGTGTCAAACCGAGCGCCTGTCCGCCACCAGCGCATGAACCACTTCGGAAAGCTTTCGTGGCAGGCCTTGATCCGGTGGGCGAGTGCAGGAACAAGGAGCTGTTTCAGTTCCTCATCAGTGCGGGTAGCGACCAAAGCAGCAACCAGCGCTCCTCCAGATGTCCCCGTGATGATCTCCGGTAAGATATTGTTATCTAGAAGCGCACGCACGATACCGAAGTGGTAGTATGCGAATGTAGCGCCACCGGAGAGACAAAGCGCGGTTCGTCCAAAGTTGGTGTCCAAATGCTTGAAATGGCGCAATTTCTCCTGGTTGCTGATCGTCTTGGACTCCGAAACCACCTGGATGCATGCATGCAGCTCGTCCATGTACGTTTGAACCAGGTTCTTGGTCCCCGAGTAGGCCTCACTGTAGAGTCGGGGGTTCTCCACGCCAGCGAAGTTATTCTTGACGCACGCTTCCAGCAAGGTGCACAGCTCCTCAGCTGCAGGCGTCTCTCCCGGTCCGCCACCCTTATCGTGCATCTCACGCTCTGCCTCTCTTCTCGCCTTCCGCAACTGCCTCACCAGGTTGTTGATGGTGAGGTGGTCGTAGTAGGCATATTCATCTGTTTCCTTCCACCGCTGATTGCCGAGGTAGTCATCGAGCGCTTGGGCGGCTTTCAGCCAGTCGCGATAGTTGGTCTGCGCATGAAGCTGCCTCCTGAGCCGTTGTCGCCGGCCCCTCCATGAGACCCAGTGCTCATACAGAACGATGTAGATACGCGTCAAAGCGTAGGCGATAGCCAGGGCCGTAATCCAGCCAAAGACGATGAGCAGGAACGGCCACTTCAGAAATGTGTAAAGCACCCCTTCCCTGGTTTCATCCTTGGTCCGTCGCGGGCCTTTGCGACGGCCACGGTCTTTCCGTACTCGCTGGTATATCGGACGCCAGTCGTTGAGGGCCACCAATGGTGAGGCCCCCTGGTCGGTCAGGGCGTTCTCGAATTGTCGCAGATCATCGGGGTTGATGAAATCGCGGTCATAGTCAGGGATGGCGCTAGGATCGTAGATCTCGGTCGCTGTAGACTTTTCAGCTCCGTTCATGTTTGACGATAATGCATGTTGAGAGAGGAGAGTAGAAGATTGGACGGTGTCATAGGGTGATACCGGGGAGGGGGGAAGGGTAAATTAGTGACGCACGAGGCACCGACGTCACGGGTCAGTTGCTGCACCGCCCCTTTTCCGGATTTATGCGCCACACACATTTATCCGTGCAAGGATTGGGAAAGTGGCTTGGCAACCGGTGACGGACCTTCATCAACCCCGCTCTGTCCGGCGGGCAGCGAACCATGGGTCCCGAGTCTAACCTGTTGCATTGATGGACTGTCGGACTATATGGAAGGATACCAACAACTCCATGCGATAAGACTCGGTCGAATATCTACCATAGAGACTAACAAGAAGCCCGGCTATACTACAGTACATTAAAGGGTCGACGGTGCACAAAGTACCGGACTCCGTACAGGACACGGACCCTCACCCCCTCGTCTTCCATCTGATCTCTCCTATTATGCATCTGATGCTGCAACACGCACCTCGGTGTCCTCGCAAGCTGAGTCTTGGCGACGATAGAACTACTTGACAGGAGATGCAGCTGGGTGACAAACATATGCTCTATCACTTTGCTTTTGCGGCATCATCTCGTTTCTGCACGCCGAGTTATGCAGTGGTTTTCATCTCTTCCTTGATGCTGTCGCATATCTTGTCCCTCCATGGAGACTTTGAAGTTTATCAAGAACACTAAAAATTGAACATCCCTTCCTTGTCATTTGTAATCCGAGGAGGGGTCTGTGTTATTGATAGATCGACAGTGCAGACGAGGAAGCTTGTAAATCACTTCCCGGGTGACCCTTGATCATCCGACAGGCTCATCCCAGGACTAAAGACTTACATAACCAAGGGGGACCGTGAAGTCCGGGGGGACGTTGAGAGGAATGTGTATTTCCCCCCTCTTCCCCTCCGTATTGCGCCCGCACATGCCTGACGAAACACGCGGACGGCTGTGGGCAGGACTCGGGTGATCGCACCTGTACATGCTTCGACGGCTTCTTACAGGCCAGTAATTCGGGAAGGTGCTCTAATCATAGGTATATGTAAGTCACTCCCACCCCCTGATAACAGAAGGGAGTGGCACTGGCACACATCGGCTGAGAAGGAGTTGACTCCGTGGAGCTGAGGAAGAAGTTCGTGGGGTCTCAGCTGCATGGCAACCCGTGCTTTATTGACAGGTTTAGAACAATGGATGGATGTACATACAATGTACAGTACTGCCACTGCCACCACCACCACCACCACCACCACCATCACCGGATGCATCCCGTCAATTCCATTAGCCGCCCAGATCTCAATTTGCCGTCGGTCGGCATATCAATATCAGTGCGACAAAGAAATGTGCAGGGTCTGAGCTGACCGCATGGCGTACTGTATGTATGTATGTTTGTCCGTCTGTTTGATATTAATGACAATCCCGGCACATCCCAGATTGCGGGGTAAAATTACCGAAGCTCCTAGACAGAAATAGCAGAGGGTTCAGCTTCGACGGCCCTCGGAGACGTCTACTGGCCAGGATGGTCAGCAATGCAAACTGGTGATATGGCGATAGTTCGAACCTTCGTTCTGGCTCTGTTCATTGGTGCGCCATTTCATTAGCAGGATCAAGACCGAACAACGAATTGGATCCTGATAACGGGTGCTGCAGGCTAAACTCCCAGGTCTTCTTCCTTTCGACCCTGCTAGTCCCTTGTCCGGGGTTCAGCCACTGCTTGGAAAGGTTATATTGCAGTGGCAGGATTAGGAGGATTGGGTGTTGCATTCGCGTGCTGGGAGCAAATGATACCAATCTGCAGTCGCGCCATACCACCACAAGTTCAGCGCAACTTGTTTTCTTTTTTCCCTTCCCTTCGCTCGCCTTTGTGCAGCCGGGATTTCTCGAGTAGCTTGCAGTCTATCGCCCTTGAACAAGATTTCAACTATCTTCAACCAGGGAAGCCATGACTTCTCCAGCACGATAGCCGCTTACCTAGATATCTTCCTGGCTTGATAGTCGTCGGAATGTGCGTATATTGGACCTTCGCAGCGACGGCATGACGGCACGTATAGGAGAGTCAGTGCTATTATGCCGTCTCTACGCTCTTATGCTGCTTTCCTAAAGCGGTGGGGTGCGTCAGAGTGAGCCTTAATCCTTACTATGAGTCTGTGAGCCCGTTCAGTTCAAGGTTGCGCCTATGATTTACCATATCCTGCCTAGTGCATGCAGATCAAGCCTCGGTGTTTTCCTTTTTCCTTTTCCCTCCGTCTTTCGCCAGTTCCGTATGTAAATGCTGTAACTACGTATGTAAGTAAGTAACTGCGGCGAGGCCGCCCGGTCTGCAACCTATGACCGTCATTCTTGGCATTATCGCTGCGTGCATTTTGTCAGTTGCTGGGGGAAAAGAAGGGCAGCGAGGAGAGGAAAAAAAAATCTACTAGCAAACGGGATGCACGATCAACTCTGATTGGCATGATAATTGCGCCTCGTCGAGCGAATGCTGATCATTCATGATTCGAGCGATTGACTGCAGTGGAGACCCGCCATTCAATCCATTGAGTCGTCCGATCCTCTCCTAAGGGCCAAAAAGTCTCCACCTTCGGTCTCCCACAACCGGACCCGGCTTTTTCACTTCAACTTCCTGCCATCATCAAACTACGAAGTCTACTGGAAACTACAATACTCCCAGGACCTTGGTCGAGAGGGTTTAATTTAGCGCCCCCCTTTGTTGAAAAGAATGAAGCGCTGCCTTCACTGACAAAGCAGAATCCGATGTCATAATGGTCATGTGCGCCTCGTCCTTTTTCAATCGGTGATTGGTCGGATGGCGTTTACATCAAGCTGGGCTTGTGGTGAAGGTTGCTCGCTCCCATTCCATTGAACCCTGGTATACGAGTATTCTTTGTGCCACTTCCAGACAGACCTGTTTCTTTCAGCATTCCTACAGCGCAGCGGAGAGTGGACGGGAATCCCCTCGCCAAGCAGTTGAACCTTCCGCCCAGTGAGACAGGCTTGAAGCAGGGATTGTCGTAAACAAGGCAATGCATAAGGGCTGGAGAGGGAACCGACACCTCCTCGCATAACAATCGAAAGCCCTTTCCGCCACAACGTACAGTACAGATACTGGCTCTCCCGCGGAACCTCCTAGCATGCTACACAGCGCATGGAACAGGGCCGGACCTTCTCTTCAGGCTTGAATCTACTTTACTGGGAACATCGCGATGCTCTTTTTACTGCGAATGACGTTGGACCGAGAATCGCCCGATAACTCCCGGTAGATCGCAGCGCGAATAAGCTTGTTGCGTTGTAACTCCGTACGGTGTAGGTGTAGGTGTAGGTGTAGGTATCCTTGGGGCAAGATGAGAAAGCACCTCCTCCAATGGATGGTAGGATCCGACTCCAAACCAACGCCTTGGATAGGCAAGGGCATGAGGAAAACAACTATTCCCGGCGCAGCTTCTTTGAGACATGAATTGGCGGAGAGAACCAGAATAGGTGTCCACTATCAGCATCATTATCGCGAGACTTGACCTTTGCTCGAGTTGTGACTGGGCAAACGACATTGCGATATGGATACCGTCCGCCTCGAATCTTCTCTGGCCTACGTATACTATGAGTGAGGCAGCTAGAGAGAGAGAGAGAGAGAGAGAGAGAGCGGTCACGGGCCATCCACCAGTATCAGGGCCCTCCATGGACGTCATCCATCGAAGATTCGACACTAGGTACTGTATCTACCCCTCGTTGCGATCGAGAGCATATGGAGGATCGCCGGGAACGTGGGCCATGGAATGCGAGCGACTGACAATGACACTAAAACCATCACAAAGGGGACGGGCGTAGGAATTATGGGCCAGATGATGTTATCACTGAGACGAAAAGTGGGCACTGGGAGACAGAGAGAAGAATGTGTGTGGTGTGATGAATGGGAATAGCGTCAACAAGAAAGCGGTGTGACAGCGGGAAAAGCGACTGCGATCCATAATCGATGATTTGAAAAGGTGCCGAAGAGACTTCTTTTTTGTTTTGGTTCTTCCCTCTTTGCCTTTTAAGGTTTGGTCATCGAGATAACCACACAGCACATCATCCGAAATTCGAACTGGCCGTTGTGCACGGCGCACCTGTTGATCCCCATCTCCGAAGAGACAGGAAGATAGACAGGGCGTGGTCAGGAATTATTCAGAAACTCAAGGGGTGGTGGTGGTGTCGAGGACTACTTTCGTCATGACGGGTGACCCGATCACTTTTACGGATTCCGAGTGGGCTGCAGTCACTTGATGCTTAGAGATGAGAATCCCTCATGAGCCACAAGGCTCCACACTTGAGCCTCTCAGGAATGTCAGTCCGTCAGTGCGAGATAACAGAGTAAGATTTTGTGATTCCCCTGCTGACACACTTGAGGAAGAGAGAGAAAAAAAGGAGAGAGATGGGGGTGAAAATAATAATAACTTTAGAGTACTTCACCCCGTACAACCAAAAGGTCCCTTCGGAATAAGCGAAGTCTCCTTCCGAGTTTCAGCTAAAAGGCCGATGCATATATTGAGATGCAGTAATTAGCCCATACATGCGGCCGGAAAGAGATTTCCACACTGTTGTTGAGATGTGTTCAAATCTTCCCATCCATACAAGAGGATCGAAAGCCTGTCCCGAGTAATCACTTCCTCGATGCCGCTACTGTATGGTCATTTCTTGTACATACCTTAGGTACGATCCTAGTTCCAGTCACTAAAGCGCCCCAAGGCCTCAAGCCTCCGTTCAGTAACGACATCGGGAAAGCCATGATGTTATTTTGGCCCTGTCCGATATCCATCGCCGGTCCCCTTTAGTTCCCTAGTGTCAGACAAGTCTGTAATTGTCTACAAGTGACCTGGCAGGGATTGATGCTCTAATACCGGGACAAGTAAAGCGTTATGCACAGTGGCTGGAGGGCGCAGGCTGATTCGCCCGAGCGCGATATACTCGGAAGTTCGCCAGGGCGCTATCAGCTGCACAGTTGGGGGTGAACTGCCAATCACGGGATGTTTGGACACCGACGGTCCAATTGCTCGTCCCGCTGGTGCACTTTGCATTTTCATTCAATGCCTGTTCTGAGATTTTATTTTTATCATCATGATAATTTTACATACCCCCGAACCTGCAGCATACTGGAGCCAACCCCCCTCTCCTTCTCCTTCTTCGTTCCCCCTAAAAGAAGAAGCGAAGTAGAAGGGAAATAGAAATCGGACCATTCACAACTGACTTACATTAGTCGCTTCGTAAGAAACGAAGTAGAAGAAGGATCAACATGGTGTGTGCGTCGGCGCTTCCACTGCCACTTCCATCATTATTCGCTGCAATATGCGATCCATTACAATACTTACAACCTCCGTGCTGCATCAGCCAAGTTCAAGGGTCGGGCGATCGGGAAATCCGCTTTCTCAAGGTCACTGTTGGAGAGATGCTCCACTTTGAGTCAACGCCCCCATCCGAAAAAAAAAGAGAGAGAAGAATGGATCACGATCTGATGAAGCAGTCTGTCATAGTCCAGTTTAGTCGTGCGCGGGAGTAAGGAATTGTGTTTGTTTGATACTCCAGACTTGAAACCAACAATGCAAGAGCCATGAAGTCACTGAAGGAGAAACTTTCCCTCATCCGATGGTACGCCCAGAGGCACCGGTGGACGCTCGCCAATCTCCAGTATCTCTTTTATCACGTTCGGATCAACGTTGAATATTCGGCCGTGCCTCCCCCGCTAGATAGAGTTTCCGGAGAAGGCTATCAGCCATTCGAGGTATGGAAATTTGAGTCCAAACATGCCCTCGACCGTAGGCAGGCCAATTCTTGCCATGTATGAGGTCGCACTCTGATAGGGAAGAGGAGAAGAGGGCGGACGGGGGCCGCCTCAAGTCCGTAATTATTCTCACAAGAATGGATTCTTGTCTAACTCAACCAGTTGTTCGTATGGCCCAAAAGAACCCCCTCAAAAAAGTTGCCACCGAAATCATCGTTGTCTTTGAAGATGCGCGCCTCAAGGGTGGTCAAAAAGTCGGTTGAGGGAGAGAGTAGCGTGTCAAAGGAGAAAGAAACCGATTCTTTTTTCCCCTAATCGAGTTGACCATCCTTGAAAGACAAGCAACTAACAGAGTAACCTAGTACTATCCGGTATCCACTGGAGTCATACCGTACGGTACGTACTATGCATGTACTACGTACTTCGACCACGCCCGGTGCAGCGGCTCCCTGACCAAAGGGAAGGCAGAAGATGATAACAGCCAGAAGATATTATATGATAATAATTTATATTAGTAGGTATCGCCAGCCCGCCCATCTTGCCTCTTTTCTCTTTTTTTCCTCCCTATTAGTTATCTTATTCTCTCTCCGAAATCTCTTTTTCTTCACCCCCTTTCCATTGAATCAATTGATACCTTTCTGGTGACCGAGAAATCAGAGATAATTACTGTCTTGACTATTAAGTAAGTGATGATTTTCTCAGCCTGTGATTCACCTCGCTTATCCTTCTTGCCTTATCCTCTCTTTTTCTCACTCTCCACCACCCTCCTCGTCCCGTCTCCAAAGTCCATTTCTGGAGAAAGGCAAAAAAACAAAAAGATAGTATCTATCTGTCACGATAAATAATTTACCTTATCATCCACGGCTTACCACCCACCACCCCCCTAAAACCCCCTCCTCCCTCAGCTGATGGCTCCGGTGCACATCGCAGACTCCACTTTGGCCGCCCCCCTCCACTTCCTCTTCCACCACCCCCCGTCACGTACCACACCCACTAGGCTAAACCAGTAGGTCCGTGGTGCCTGCAGTGCATATTAGCTCCCCCCGGTCCTCTTTTTCCTCTATCTATCTCTATCTATCCCATCCCATCCCATCTTCCATCCCATCTTCTCCTTTTGTGGTGATTACCTTCTGCTTCATCTTCTCCCTCTTCCCTCCTCAGCTTTGTCCCGGTGACAAGCTTCTTCTCAACTGGCTTCGAGGATATCCCCTTTTATTGCGTGTCCTTTCCATTCCCCCAACTTTTATTTTCTTCGATCTTACATTGTTGTTGTGGTGGGCGGCTTATTGTGTCTGTTGTATTCACATTTGTTGATTATTGCTGCCAGTACCTCCTGCATATCCTATTAAGGTATTTTCATCATCACTCTCCCCCCTCAGCCTTATCGTCCTTTGTCGAGTTCTGTCTGCCTATGCCATCCTCCATGAGTCACCGCTGACTCTGCCACGGTTCGCAGCTTCTTTCCCTTTGAGTGCCTTGGCCAGCAAGATGTCGACTCTTGCTGCCCATACTACGAGTACTTGAGCGTCCCTCTTCAAGAGTCCGCCTAGCTAGATAAATCTTTGTCTTGTTGGGCGAAAGCATTTCCCGTTATGGAGAAGCTGAACAGTGAAGATGGACAGCTTTTCATCAAGGTTAGTGTTCCCTCGCACGGTTGCTATGCCCGCGGTTGGTTTGTTGCGCTGCGCGCCCTCAATGCCATTGTACTCTAACCTTAGCTTCCCCCCCCTTTTAGAACCTCGCTAGTTTCGTACGAACTCATGAGAAGGCCTTGGCGAATGCGCTGCAATTGAAACGCCAACCTACCAGAAATGTGCAAACTACACACACTCAATCCGGCTCGTCCGCGAGCTCGGCTTCATCTACCCTGGCCGCGGCCCTGTCCTTCGGTCCGTTGAGGTTCGCCTCGCAGAGCGTCAAGCCTGCCAAACTCACCCTTACCCCTCATCATCTCTTCTACCTCCTCTCCTGCTTCGAAGAACTTTCCATTGCCGTGGGTCCCTTGAATGTCAGACTGGAAAACATCAATACAGACATCTCGCAGTCTTACGTCTCGTTCTTGAATAAGCCCCAGCGATCCAGGGGGGATCGGGACTCGATCCACTCCGTATCCAGTGTCCGTAGTGTCATGTCTGGTATGAGTTCGCTCTGGTCCTCGTTCGGACTGGTATCCAAGGACCCGAGTTCTAAGTCGGAAAAGGCCAAGGCGGCTCTAGAGGCAGATACCAAGTACCTGTACTCTGCCTTCACCAAGATTCCTTGCCTACGGCTAGCCCCGGACCGCCGTGCCCGTCTGATCCGTGGATACGAAGAGTTCCCCTTTGACACGGCAGTGCCTCTCCACTCCTTCAAGAATTTGAGTGCGTTGGAGATTATCGATATAGACTTTCGATCCTTCTTCGGTTGGGACAGACTGTCGGAGCAACTGCGAACTTTGACGATCAAGCGGGCGAACATCGATGACCCGGCGGAATTGCTGACTGGGATCGTGCTGGACGACATCGACAAACGCCGCCGCCGTTCGACCAGACACCACAACAATGGCCCAATGATGGGCTGGAGTCAATCTGTGCACCCTCGGCCTGTCAACAACAAGACTCCAGCCCCTGGCTCTCTTTCGGCGCCAGGATCGCCGATCGCCGATACCGCGTTCGGTACGAGTACAAGCCCACAAGCAGCTTCGATGGTTCGGATGGCGTCGGAGGGCTCGAAAAGCCGTCACCGAACTGGGAGTATATCTCCTTCGCGCCCATCTAGCTCGAAGCACTCGTCTTACCGCCATAGCCGGGGCAACGTTTCACGCATCAGACGCACCGGCTCGGGTAGTTCAAACTCAAGCGACAATTCGGGTCATCGCAACGGAAGCTCCTCCAACCTTCTAGCTGGGATTCTTCCCGCTTCCAAGTGGAGGTTCTTGCGCCATCTTGGGCTTCCGGATAACTCTCTGACTAGCATTTCCGCTGCCGGTCTCGCCCCCGTAGCAAACACGCTGCATTCGCTCGATATTTCGTCCAATCTATTTACCGAGGTCCCCGATAGTCTCTCGACTCTGGTTGCCTTGCGCGCTTTGAATCTTTCGCATTGCATGATAGAATCTCTCCACTCGCTGTCCCGCAATCCTCTTCCCGCCATCACCGCCCTCAACCTTCGTGGCAATCGCCTTCGCTCACTCCCTGGCATCGAGAGATTGCTCTCTCTGGAGAGATTGGATCTCCGAGATAACAACCTCTCCGATCCGACCGAGATTGCCCGGCTTACCAACCTCCCTGAGATACGGGAGATCTGGGTGTCGGGCAATCCGTTCGTCAAAACGCATCCCAATTACCGCGTGATCATCTTCAATCTTTTCCGGCGCACTCCCGGGTACTCGGAAGACATCATCATTGATGGATCCGGACCCGGATACACGGAACGGAAACAGCTGGTGGAGCGAGCTGCGGAACCCGAAGCTGCACCTGTCATACGATCGGCTGCGGCTGATCTCTCAGCCGTGGTCAGCAAACCATCGTCCAACACCATCAACCAAGCAGCCCCGCTGCTTCACGAACAGGGGGGATCCACTGGTCGTGTGTTCCAGGGGGAGGTTGAGGTGGGGTCGACTCGTCGAAAAAAGGGAACTCGGCGGAGGATCGTCGATCGGCCGCAGGAGACACCCTCCACTGATGGTAATGATACTCCAGGTGCAGTGGTGCCTTCTACTCTTCCTGTTCAGCACCTCCAATCATCTGATGACCCGTTCACCTCGCCGTCTCTCGACCGTCAATGGAAATCTGATGGTGGACCCCAGGCCAGACCTTCAAGCCCCAAGAGCTCCGACAATGTCGACCATGAACAATCTCAGCCCACTGCTCAGACCCCAAAGTGTCCTGCACCCCAGCGAGTATCACAGAGCATAGGCTGGGGGGCGAACGAGGATTTTTACCGACGGGAACTGGATGCACTCCGGCAAGAACTCGGTAGCACCTGGCTTGCGCAGCTCAGTGACCCGGGCTGGAAGCACAGCCCGACTGATGTTACTGTACCACGCACAGGCACCGACTTCACCGAAGCGACCAGAATATCGGCCGATTCCCTGGCCAGGGTCACCCCACCGGTCATACTTAGTGGAGGACATGCTCTGAGTTGAAATGGGCTGTGAGCCGGAGGACTAAGCCACCTCACGACTCGCATAGCGTGGGCATCAACACCGAGGTCCACTTTCGAGCCCGCAAACCTGAAACAACAACAAAAAAAAAAGAAGAAAAAGCAATTAAAGCAAAGGAAATGAAGGAAAGAGCGAGAAGGGAAAGACGAGGACGGAGCGCCAAACACCACCACCATCGCCGATAATACCTCTTTCAGCCTGACTGAGACACGATGTTCATCTTTCGCACATTCGGGAAAAGTTACCTTGGCTTCGACAAAAGCGATTCTTCCATGCCACTTACTTCCGGTTCTTGAATATACTCGACATCTTATATGCCGGCCTTTCCAAATCTGTGCGACTGGCAGTTGCTTGCTGAACTGCATTATTCATGGCGTTTTGAGATCATTTTCAGCTCATAGGTCGACGGCGTGTCCCGCCCCGCCTGGTTTTATACATCACCACCTATTCCGCCTCGCTTTCCCGCTCCTCCTCTTCTTCTCCTCGACTATATATCTTACGACGTGCATGCGACCCTTTTTCGGCTGGTCCACCTTGACTGGAGGCGTGATGAGAGAACACTGCTTTCCTCCTTTAGACGGCTTTGTATTGTATTTGGTGCAGGAGTCCGATGCTGGGGCGTTACTGGCAATGCTTTGAGCTTTGATCGATTTCTGTTTGACTGATGACTGCTTCGGTGCACGAGATGTATACTTGTTTATTTTCCGCTTCATCTCAGTACCCCGTTCTCTCCCCTTTCTGAAGAAGCGGTCTTGACCGTTTTTTTTTTTTTTCCTTTTTCGGTTCTGCACAAGACCCATTGACGAATTTCGGACCTAATGCATGAGACACGAAGTGATTGTGACGAGTCCAAGAATCTGCAAACGATAGTGCCAATAGTTGAAATGCCATGCGAGTTGGGTTGCTGTCGAACTCGGAACCTGTGCGTCATCGTCTCCCAGGGAGTGTAGTAGGCGTGTAGTCCCCGCTTCAAATGATCAATCATCAACCGTTGAAGGAATGGAATCATTCTGGAAAGGGAGGAAACCCGCCCGAAAGCTTGTCATAATAGATTGTCTAGGACAGTATGCAGGGCACCCCGTTGGCCCGACCTGCTCTTCTAGAAACTCCTGTTGCGGTGTTGTTGGGCAGACAGACAGATGGACCGGGGGGGGGGGGGAAAGAAGGGAATGCGCTCGTGCGCCGACCGACCGCTTGACCGACCAAGCCGATCGAAGAAGGATGACGGAGGCGAGCCAACGCCTCCTACCGCATCGTCTCCGTTGCATTCGATGCCAAGTGTGGGGGACGTATACTCCTGAACTTCAGGCCGTCAACCTCCCTTGCAGGATCTGTCGCGTGAGGTTGTCCGGGGAGAGGAAGGGATTCATGTTTTGCCATGGGGGACCGGATGATTGCCAAACTACCGTGTTGGGAATTGGTCTGGTCCCGGTCGGGTTGGGATGCAATGGGAGGCAAAGCTTCCAGTGCATTGACTGGTATGCGAAGCACGGAAGTATAGAATTTGTGAGGTAGGAAGTGGTTGGATTAAAAGGGCAAGGAAGTTATCAGCATAGAGAACTGAGTGAGGATTGAAGCAATCTGAATGTTTGAATTTGTACTTGTAGTTGTAGCTGGTGATGTTGATGTTGTTGTTGTTGTTGTTGTTGTTGTGTAGGGGAGTTTGTTGTTTGAAGAGCGTCGGATTGTATACATTCAAACCGACTTCCCCCCTGGCCGCCTTAGCCTGCAGACCAATCAGTGGACCCGATCTGCACGGAAAACGAGGGTTTTGCCATCGGGGAAGAAGAAGAATCTCTGTTGTGTTCTCTTTCTCTCCCTCTCCCTCAGGCTTCCCTCTAGAACTTCGCCGCTTTTCACCCTCTCCACCTTTGGTCTCTCCACCACCACTACAGTACACTACACTACTATATCTACTTTACCCACCATCACCACCATTTCGCGCGTGTCTTGTGCCTGGAAAGTTGCTTCGTTATCGCTCTTGCTGCCTGGCTGCTGTATTCCATTCGACTTGGTTTGGGTGAAGAAGAACACTTTGCTGGAGCACCGTGCCTTTTTCAAGAGATAGATCCCTTGATTGCCGACCAACAACAATCTTTCCCTTTCTTGTCGACTTTCGCTCACTCTCTCTCTCTCTCTCTGTCTCTCTCGCGCGTGCGACTATTCGCCTTCCCCCCTCCTCCCACCACCACTTTCCTCCACTCCCTCTTCTTTCCTCCCTCTTCCTTTTTTTCTCTCCTCCACCCCTCTTGCATTCATCATCGAAACCAAATTGCTATCTTGAAAGATTTTCTTCGTGATCGCTTTTTCGCACCCGGTCAATCTTAGAGCGTTAGAATCTCTCGGGTGGAATCCTCGTTTTCCTGCCTTTTCTCACTCCCGCCGCCAAACTTGCTCTGGGTTCTCTCTCTCCCTCTCTCGTACTCTCTCACTCTCTCCCTCTTCTTTTCCCCCCTCCCTCCCCCCCCCCCCCAACCAACCGTCTCTCCCGCCGCCTGCTGCTATTTTTTGCAACGGCCCCGTCCAGAGCAGCTTTTCGCTCTCGAGCCTTGCTAGCCGCATCTCCTCGTTATCACTGCGCATCATCCTCCACCTTTCGACCACGGATTGCTTTCTCTCCTATTGACGTCTTCTGGCATCCCGACCAGACTCTCATCTGACTTTCACCCCCAAGGCCATTTGGCCTCTTTTTGCTTCCTCACTCTCGTGTTATTAGATTCTGGCTGGTAAGCCCTCCGTCTCGCCCCCTGTCCCCCTTAAACACCTCTATCCTCCTTCCCAGAGGCAAGGACGACAAAAAGATTGGTGGGCGGAAATCGGCGAAAAGGGTCGAGGAAAAATTCACCGGGCGCAATGATCTTTTTCCCCGCGCGTCTCGATCGCCTCTTTTTCCCCCGAAAACTTCATCCGTCACCAATCTGGATTTGTGATATCTGGAATAATTTTCTGACTCAAACCTCATTTGACATTTAGTTTAGTAGACGTCGTCTCATCAGTTGCCCTGTTATCGAGCGCATCGCAAAGCCTTCCGTCGCGTCTTTTCCTTTTCTTCTTTTCGCTTGACGCTTGTTCTTAATAATCCTTTTTTTCACCTTCCCTTCCTCTGTCCTTCTTCACCCCCCCCCCCGCTCCCCGTTGTGTTTCGTCAGAATCGCTCAGTCATGGCCGATCAAGAAGTGGATTTGGACTCGATTATCGATAGATTGCTGGAGGTGAGGGGTAGCCGGCCTGGCAAGCAAGTCCAGCTTTTGGAATCCGAGATCCGTTATCTGTGCACCAAGGCGAGAGAGATTTTCATCTCCCAGCCCATACTGCTGGAATTGGAGGCACCAATCAAGGTAACGCCACGCCCCTCTCAATCTGCAATGCCGGCTCATCCGGACATCGGTTCGCGGGCTCTAACGTGGTGGCGCCCATCAGATCTGCGGTGATATTCACGGCCAATACTACGACCTCCTGCGTCTTTTCGAATACGGTGGCTTCCCCCCTGAGGCCAATTACCTTTTCCTAGGAGATTATGTCGATCGTGGCAAGCAGTCCTTGGAGACCATCTGCTTGCTCCTGGCCTACAAGATCAAGTACCCCGAGAACTTCTTCGTCCTGCGTGGCAACCACGAGTGTGCCTCGATCAACCGTATCTACGGTTTCTACGACGAATGCAAGCGGAGGTACAACATCAAGTTGTGGAAGACTTTCACCGATTGCTTCAACTGCTTGCCCATTGCCGCCATTATCGATGAGAAGATTTTCACTATGCACGGAGGTTTGAGTCCTGACTTGAACTCGATGGAACAGATTCGTCGCGTTATGCGTCCTACTGATGTAAGTGTCTCTTTCTTTCGGTCGCCGGTCCCGGGAGATCGTTCGTTTTCCAAAGACCAAGATTTACTGTGTCCGCCTTCCTGCTCTCTCTCTCTCTCTCTGCACTTGCATCTTGGGATCATAGGGAAGCGAAGGATATTTTGCCGGGCCCCCTCGAAGCTTAAAGGCTTCACCTGCTGACAGAGATAGATCCCCGACTGCGGTCTGTTGTGTGACCTCCTGTGGTCCGATCCCGATAAGGACATCACCGGCTGGAGCGAGAACGACCGTGGTGTCTCATTCACGTTCGGTCCGGACGTTGTATCGCGGTTCCTTCAGAAGCACGATATGGACTTGATATGCCGTGCGCACCAAGTCGTTGAGGATGGATATGAGTTTTTCTCTAAGAGACAACTCGTCACATTGTTCAGTGCGCCCAACTACTGCGGCGAGTTCGACAATGCTGGTGCAATGATGAGCGTCGACGAAAGTCTACTATGCTCTTTCCAGGTTGGTTTGACCTTTGATTCGCTGAGGGTTCTCACGTACTGACTCTCTGCTTCCTTAGATCCTAAAACCAGCCGAGAAGAAACAAAAGTACGTTTACGGGGGCATGAGCTCAGGCAGGCCCATCACTCCTCCGCGAAAGCAAAAGAAGAAGTAAGGAATCATACGAGCTTTTCCATGTGCAGCAGGTTCGGGCGAAGATAAACTTCGTCATCAACAAAACTCCCACCATGTCACACAATAGCGAGAGACCCAACCCCCTCAACGACATCGATGGCCATGAATTTAGACGATCGGCAGCAGCAGCAGCAGCACACCTGAGCCGCCCGAGAACCTCACGACCACGCGGAACGTCACACGACACAACACAATCATCCACTTCCGGGCTTTCAGACTCCAGCGACTTGCAAATGAATGTTTTCCGCTGAACGTGTTTTTCATTTTCTTATATGGAAGGTAGTTTCTGCTCCCACGTCGGGGTTGGTGTTATTTCTCAATTTCCTTATTCTCCTTGTTCGTCTTACTTCACCTCATTTCCCTTTTTCTTTTTCTTCTCCACCCATCTTATCTCATGTTGTCCGAATTCATTTGACAGAGGAAGGCGAAGCGACGGGCTTGCATCTGGTGTTTTCCTCCATTTGCGTTTTTCTTCTTTCCTGAAAATCTTCCTGTGAGTGTAATGCCAACCAAATAAGCAATGACACGCCCGTGTGTCTTTTGACGTTCTGGACAAGACTATCGACTTTCCTGCCCTGCCTGCCTGCCTGCCTGCCCTGTCCTACCGCCCATGAAATACGTGACTAGACACCTGAACAGCAACGCAGCGATCCAGCCTACCAGCGGTACTGCACAGTTCAACAGTTCGACAGTTCGACCACCCTCACCTCATCTAGCCTATATACTTAATGGATCGTGATCGACTACGTCTAATCCGAGGGGTGGTATCGTATAGTTGCTCTACCGACATGCAACGCCAATCCGCGGTCTCGTTTTCGTGCTTTGTCTTCTGCTTCAATAGAGAATGTATCCACGCACTTGAGGATAGGTGGATAGATCGGTGTTAGTATAGGGTCTCGATGGAGAATTGCGCATATATGAATTCTTATTCAAATCAATACACCAAACCTGGACTGTTTTTTGAATCTGGTAATCATTCCACTACTGGCATATATATGCACACTACCCAAATCACCACCCGGACGCACACCCAGACCCTCCATTGGGCATACTTATACCTGCCACAATGGTACACCTTATGCCCTCCATCCCTAGGAGAATGTATCCCGTCTGATCGCCCAATCGCGCAAGAGAAACCTGTTACTCCATTCAACCGTTCCCCTCGCCCCCAAATTCCATCCTTCCATCCTTCTACCCGGTATGCATATTAAAGCAGGATCCTCGATTGCTTGCTTGCTTGCTTGCTTGCTTGTTTGCTGCCTGTAAATGGCTTTCAACCTCTCACACATAGATCGATCCTTCCTCCCTTCCTTCTTCCTGTCCCATCCTACCCTGGATAACATATGGGGGTGTCCATCCGTTACAATCAGCGACTGAAAAATTCTAGTCAACAACTGATCCTACCTAGTGAAACTCTATCTATCCCCAAGGATTCACAAAGCCGAGAGAAGAGAGAGAGACAGAGAGAGAGAGAGTAGAGCGGTAGTAGTTAGTGCCCTCACGCAACTCAACCCTCCCTCTCTCTCCCTACCGGTCTAGCTCCTTTCTCGGTTTCTGTTTTGCGGTTCGGCTGAGCATGGAAATAAATATAGGTAAAATTTGTGGTACATTGAATATATGCCGGTAGACTTGGTAGGTAGGTTAAAGCGGATGATTGAATGGAAAGGTTGGGTACTGCGCGCCTTTGCTTTGACAGGTGGTTACTGGTTTCTATGGCTGTGGATTGGAGTTTGGAATAACTATAGCTAGTGTGATCTTGGGGGGGGGAGGGGGGTTGGTGGTGGTGGTGGTGGTGGTGTTTGGGATGTGCTGGAAGCGGTCCCGGGTGGGCTGATCTACTTTCTAGAATGGGATCTATCAATGGGTGATGGTGCGCGTGGGCGGGGACTGGTGGATGTAGCTCTTTTAGGTAGGTAACTGTACTCTGCCCTAGACTCAGACTCAGAGCTCGGTGGTGGTTTGTGTGCGGACGGTCGATTGGTTTTCTCCATTCTCAGTGTTTTGCTTCGGCAGTAGGGTCTCTAGGGACAGGTTATGTGCTGTGTACTGTTTAGACCGTGCCGTGTTTGGGTAGGAGTGGTGAAGACGGGTGAGACGGCATGGCATTTGCCACTTGCAGGCCGGGCTTGATCGTCAAGACTGCTACGGAGGGATTCCCCACCGAACTATCGCCTCTTGTCTATCGGATAGTCTATAAAATACGATTAAGAAAAGATAGTGGCATTCAAACAGGACGTGATATAGCGACACAACGAAACACGAGTTTAGAACTAGAGCTAATGGCATTGTTTGAGAGCGGTACAATGAGACAGGACCAGCAACAGCACAGGACCTAGCATGTCGTTCGGCTAAGTAGCTGATATTGTTTGCTCCGTACAGGGGTCAAGCTGGCCGACTAACTGCGTGACTGAAGAGGACGGAGATTGAGTTGAGGATGAGTGTGACTCAGACTAGCAATGGATGACATTTGGGCACCCCAGATATTTGAGAGGGACTTGGAGGAAGGTGGGGAATGTATGTTTGGCAGGTGTAAATATTGGTATAGATTGAAAGCGGTATGAGGACAGGTAGGATAAGGTAGGGTGGGTGGATGGTGTATATCGGTACAGAAGTGAGGCGATCGACAAGCGAGGACGGAAACGTCATTCTAGACGTACTGAGACAGCCATCTGATACCCTCGCCGTAACCTGCGGAGAACCCCATGGTTAGCAACCACCAACAAAAACAAACACAAAAGTCAACCGAACGCACCCTGTCTCATCACAACACTGCACATGAACACCTCGATGGGCCGGATTCCCTCGAGAGGAACCTTGCCCTTACCAGTGGTCTGGTACAGACCCAACTGGTGTCTCAGCTCATCCTCGCTCACGGCATCGGGGTGATCGATCTTGTTGCCCAGGATCAGGAAGGGAACCTTGGCCAGATCCTCCATGGCCAGGAGGGCGTCCAACTCGGCCTTGGACTCGGGGAACCGCTCGTGGTCCTTGGCGTCGACCAGGAAAACGATACCGCTGACTTCGGGGAAGTAATCCTTCCAGAGACGGCGAGCTGTGAGGGACGTCGCGTCAGTAAACCCTGATTCTCCTACCGTTGAATACGGACAGGGAGCATCACTCACCCTGCTGGTGACCACCCAAATCGAAGGTCGTGAAGCGGTTGTTACCGATAGCGAGCTCCTCCGACGCTGTTTCATGTGTATATTAGTTCCGACTCTCACTTTCAGAAAGCTAGACCGCTAATCCAGAGACATCGGGTGGCGAAACGTACTAGGGTGGGCGGTAGGCTGAAGAATAGCGACGCGGTCATTCTGTCATGAGATGCACATTAGCCTGACGCTCTAAAATCCCAAGTTATGCCAAGCAGAGTCCATGATCTGTATCTCCTCAGTCCGGAGTATGAGGAAGAAGGGGCCTTGTCTGTCGTTGTGGTTCGACCGGTGCCCAACACCCCATCCCTCCAATGGGTCCAGCGCATCAACCGACTTCCCTCTCCCTTCCTTCCAACCTCTAAACACAATACCGACAGCCGTCACGTACCTTCAACATGTGCAAGAGGGTAGTCTTTCCGGCATTATCGAGACCGAGGAAGAGCAGCTTGGCGTGCTTGTTGAGCAGGCCAAGGGAGGCCAGAAGATCGTAGACTAATCCACCCCAAAAAAATCACGTCAGCATGTTCCTTAGATGATCATCACAAAAGCACATTGCAAAGGACAGGAAACGAGCAAGCTCTGTTCCCACACTGTCTCCGTCTCTCGCGCGCGCGCAGCACGTTCGCACGCTCGCCCCAGGAATCGCAGCACAACCACAAGTAAGGAAACTACCTACACCAGTTAATGATCCACATGGTGAGAAAGGATTAAATCACAATAAGGATCGCTAGAACTTCGAAAATGGAAAAGAAAAACACAGCAAGCTGCGGTGGGTTTGAAGTGGGCACGGGCTGGATGGAGATAAGAGCGAGCAAAGGGAAGGGAAGGAGACAGATTGCGGTCAGTTTGACGTTTGGGAGTTTCGCTTTGCCTTGCTTGGGACCGCTTAGCCGAGCGCTAATAATGCCACCTCAGCCGCCGCGTCGGGAGATCAGCCGGTCCCGACCTCTGTTGCTGCTGCTGCTGCCATCACTATCTACTTGCTACTTACTGTTTACTACACATATCTGTTTGCTTTACTGTGGTTACTACGTGTTGCGCTGGGGCAGCTTGTTTTTCTTAATGTGGTTTCTGTTTGTATTGTAAATGGTTTGATTTGACATTGTCTTGGGAAGAGCTTAAATGCTTTCTTCCTCGCCCGCGGGCCTCGTCTCAATACAAGGGATAAAAGTAAACCAGACAAAACAAGCAGGGGTATACTCTCAAGGAAAAACCGCCGCCATGCAACCCAGGCTAAAAACATCATGTAAGGATCCCGACCGCAGAAGAAAGCACCAGGCTGTGGAGAGCAAGAATAGTATCAAATGCGAACATAATCAAAGATGAAGGGAATGAAAGAAACGCAAAGATGGATGAAAGAGTCGGCCACAGAAATGCGACTGCCCAGCTGAGCAGATATGCAGATGGGAACATTTCCGACCAATAGAATACCGTGGGACACGTTAAGAGAATAAATCAATGATGACAGCGAAGACAAGCTAAAATGCAAAGCGAAGACGAATGCTTCGTTCAATTCTGTACACCCCAGTCGATCCGCACGGGATAATCGTAAGCTCGAGCGGGCGACTGAAAGGGGGGGAAATAATAATCAAAGTATGTACAAGAAGGACTCGGAATCCCCTCATGAAGCAACATGAAGCAATAAATCGGTCTAAACGGATAGGACGAGCTGGGCGCTTTCTCCAACGCCGTAAGCTCTGCACCTCTCAGCAACTTCGAGGCCAAGCTCCTTCATCCGTTCAGCACCTTTGCCGGGGACCGGTCGCCGCTCCATCTGCTCCTTGGCAGCTTTGCGGCAGTGGGTGCGCCAGAACTTCTCCTTTCGTTTCTGACGCTTCTTTTCCAGACCCTCAACGATATCGATGGGGCCTCTCGTGTGCACCTCGCGGGTACGGGACAGTTCGCGCTCTGGCGATTCCTGCACTGGAACAATGCCAGACCAGCGGTGAGACTTGTCCAGGCTAGTGAAAAAGGGATTTGGAGTACGGGGAAGAGACTTGGTGCGAGACATGGAAGGCCGCTGCACCAGTTCGCTAATGTTGAGACCCTGGGCAGGAACCTCTTCCACAGTCTCCAAATTCTGAGTAGAAGATCGCAGCTTCATAGGCGGGGGGGACTTTAGGCGACGAGGGGATGCACGACCATGGCGGCGTGGAGGAGGGGAAACCATGCGCTTGGGGGGAGGAGGGGAAACCATGCGCTTGGGGGGAGGGGGGGAGACCATGCGCTTGGGGGACTGGCGGGGAGAAGCCTTGCGGCTGCTGTCCCGACCAGTGCGTCCTCGAGGCCCTTCGTCAGGCAGGGACTCGTCCACATCCTCCTCGTCAATGTCCTCGTTATCTTCCGGATCCGAGGTGGGGAAACTGGGGTCGATATCCTGGGGGATGATAATCTGCTTGGACAAACGGCGCTGCTCGATACAGGACTTGTAGGCGGCCTCCAGAGGACGGTCCTCGTCAAACGTACCGCAGACGAAGTCCGTACTGTCGGGAAGGTTGGGAGTGCCAGGGCGCAGCTTGGGGATCTTCATAGGCACTCGGCCAGTAGTCTTTCCGGAGAACGCGGGGGACCACTTCGGTGCCTGTTGGCTATCATTGGCGGAGTCGAAGGAGGTGTTCGAGTTGCGACGGCTGAAAGTGAACCGGGTGAAGTCTGGAGCCTGGGGGCTGGTGGCAGCTGTCGTGCTAGTCGGAGCCCACCACTCATAGTCGGATCCATTCTCACTTTCGTCATCCGAGTCGGCGAAGCCAGCCTCGTTGTCTGACTCATTTCCGTCGTCGTCGGAAGAGAAGTCGTGAACCGTTGAGTCATCGTCAGAATCCTCAGCATCCTCCTCGGCTTCCTCATCGAGCGCCTCTTCCTCGGCTTCCTCCCCGAGTTTCCGGATGGCGAACTCCTTCTTCATGCAGTCATTCAGCGTGATCTTCTGGTCGTAGTCGCCCGACTTGGTAACCCATTCGTCATCCTCATCCACAGAGCTGGCAAACTCGTGGAAGCGAGTGGCCTCAGACTCCTCAAACTTGCCGAGTCCCTTGGTAGGGACACCTCTGCGCTCGGTTGGAGGCTTCTCGGGCGAGACGTCTTTGGCGGGAAGAGTCTCTTTCTTAGGGGAAACCTTGCGTGCGAGGGGAGCAGGGGATCCGCGAGGACGGCACCGGAAGGGACTGGCGCGGGTCGGCGACCGCTCCCTCCGCGTTTCGGGGTCCCGTGCTGGGCAGACAAACGTCAGGACGGTCTTGCGCTTGGGTTCCGTAGGTGTAGGGCTGGAATCGTTGGTTTTCGTCGTCGAGCGCTGCGGGGTCTGGGCTGATTGTTCTTCGGTCTTGCGACCGCAAGCAAAGCTGATGCATCGCTTGCGACCCAGGTTTGCCTCCACCGCGTGCTCACCACCTTCCACGGCTTCCGCCTTTCTCTTATCGCCCATCGAGGAGGGCTTGCTAGTCATGTGGGAGGGCAACGGCGGGCTCGGGGTGTTGGATAAGGACGGACTGGTCAGGCCACCATCGCTGGTCAGCTCGGCGGTGGAGATGCCGCTGATGTTGGTGTAGGTGTAGGAGCGGTAGAAACTGTGTTCGTGGGAGGAGGACGGCTGCTCGGTGGGGCTGAGAGGGGGGCTGTTCTTCAGGGCCCGAGTGAGGAGGGATTCTTTGCGGTCAGACATGGCGGTAGGAGACTTGACGTAAACGACTCCCTCGTCCATGTTGCTCATCGACGTATTCAGAAAGCGGTGATCGGGAGGTTCATCCATATCCTCACCCATGTCGGTATCTTGAGGGGCCGACTTGTTGGACTGGTGAGGTGAGAGTAGCATCTTCAATAGGTTGTGTATTGAGGCAAATGGCCGTTCACCACCACGTAACTGTGCCATTCCTTAGAAGAATTAGGTTTATTAATAAGGTCAGACAAGACCGAGGTAGGTCGGAGGCGTGCGTGAGAGTGAGAGAGGTTGGTGGTGTAGGTGAAGGTGACTCGGCGGGAATAGTGGCGGTAAGTAGTAGTCAGAGGGAGGGAGTCAATTGGGATCGAAGGATAATAAAAAGATAATTGCTTCAATTTCAAGGTTAAAGAAGAAGATGCTCTCTCGCTATCGATCAATAAAAGAACTGATCGACCCAGAGGGCGGTGCTTTAGGTTGTCCTTAGCAGGACGAGGATTGTCATGATATAGAACACATGATGCGGTAGGTAGGTGGAGAGTGTAAAGAGGAAAAGGGTTAAAGGAGGACAGGAGCGTTCAGGTATGCGGCCAAGAGATGGACTTACGCCTTCTTCAGAGATTGGCAGCTCAGAGAGCGCCAGAAGAAGAAGACGCGTCGAAAGAGTTTCGCAGGTGCAATGTGTTGGCAGTGCTAGGTGGGATTGAGATGAGGGAAGAAGGAATGTAGAGATGATCGGAAAATAAAAGTGATTAAAGGGAGGGGGGAAGGTGGAAAAGGAAAAGACAAAAAATAAAAAATGATTAAAATAAAATTACCCAAGGGAATTAAAGAAAAAGAAAATTAAAATCGGGAAGAGAAAAGGTTTCTGTTCATTTTGGGTTTGGGAAGGGAGTTGGTACTGTATGTAATTTAACAGTGTCAGTACCGGGTGTTGGTAGTAGACTTGGTTTAGTACTACTTTAGTTAGCAGGGGAGGAGAGATTTTGGGGTGGGGGGGCGGTTAAAATGGGGGGAGGGGGGGGGAAGAAATTGTGGGAGAATGACGATTTGCAGGGTAGAAAGTCCTTTCAGTTGGGGAAGAGGAAAAGGCAGGGTGTGTGCGGTGCGGGAGAGCGGCGCCAGGTTGGGAATTTCCCTCTTCCATCCATCTGGGTGGGAACAACAGCAACTGAACCGGGTTCAACTGTCTCTCGTCGCCACACTTTCTCCCATGGCAGGGCAAACTGATCGAGAGACAGAAAAGCGAGACCAGAGACAGCAGGGCAGACCGGGCAGAGCAGTGCACCTGCGCCTGCACACCACCACCAACCAGTCCACCAACCAATCCGCACGATGATAATTTTCTGATCTTCTCTGGGGCTTCTTTTGCTTCGTTCTGCAGGCGGCCTAAGGAACGCTCGGTCCAATCAACCCCGCTAAGCCTGGTTCCACTTCGGTGCTTTGCAGCCCTTTTGCTTCCTCAACCCAATGCAATGCTTTGGTTCCTGCGGCTACGTGACGCTGGTGGTTCAGTCCATTACAGCCATAGTACACGATCAAGTGGCAGTCTTTGTTGAGGGTAATTCCGGGATCCTGGGTGGCCACAAACGAGGTGAGGAAGGCGAAGAGAGACGCAAAAGAGACAACAACAAGAAAGTCTCTGGCAGCACAAAGATCGTCTGCAATAAGAACTTGAGTCAATCAATCCATCAATCAATCCTTCCTTGAAGGAACCCCGGAGCAGGGTTCAAGAGCTCTCATTGTTTCTCTTCCAGCAAAACACCCTGCCCTCCTGAGGGCGTCACCAGTCTTTCGTTACCACCCGGTTTCATCCTATGAGACAAGCTAGTATCGAGGAACAACCCCGAGATCACCCACTATGAGGCATTTTGGAGGTTGGCTCACGACCAAGCCAGGCTATACTCGATCTTACTAACCCGGTCAGCCAGAGTTCCCTCCCTGGGTATAGCCAGCTTGGTTATTTGTGACTCGCTAGGATCTCTCTCAAGTCTCAACCCTCGATCCTGTACGAACCTGATCAAAAAAAAATAACTTGTAGAACACACCATCACGCAGGAAATGAAAACACAAAATGCAAAAAGGCAAGGGATTGATTGGTTTCTTTTCTAGAACATGTACGACGGGGAGATAAATTTATCTGATCGGAATGTAGTACAAATCTCGAACATAACAACAACATTCCAGACAGCGAAGACATGGAAGAGCTGTTTCCCCAGCTGTGTCTGCGGTAAGGAGGAGAGGACGAGAGAAAGGATGAACCTCCACGAGGACAAAACTGGAGCAGGGCAGGGCAGCAGCCAACAGCAGCAGCAGCAGCAGCAGCAGCATCCGAGCGGCACGAGCTGCAACTTGCAGTCGCCAATACTCGTACTCTGCTCTCACTCACTCAGTGTGTCTTGTGGGCAAAAAGAGTTGCCCTACCGACCGAGTGGATGGACGGACCGACCGAACATGTCAATAATCATGACGGGCCGTAAGGAATGTAAGGACGGTGTAATTACGGACAGGCGCTCCCAGCCGTGCACGGCAAGGCGAACCCGAGTAGACGAGGGCGGACCCCGATTAGGTAAGAACCACCACACCCACCACCGCGTCCCACCGTCGTGGACATCGGGGTCGCGCCGAAGCCGTTTCAGCGGTGCCTCTTTGTCTTTAAGAGTAAGCCTTCACGAAGGTTGAAGGTCAGGGCCTCTAAGACAAGTCGAGTCTAGTTTGCTGTCGATTTTCGTTTTCGCATTGGTCAGGAAGGGCTTCGGCTTCTCCTTTCTTATCTTTACCTGCTGCGCAGCTGTTGGGTGCATTCCATTGCGACTGTGGAAATACCGGTCCGCATGACAGAAGTAACTGGGGTAAGTTAGTTAGGAAGTTATGATGATGATGATGATGATGATGATGTCCTATGGTTGGTTTTCCCGGCGTCGCTACGACGTAGTGCGGTATTGCGGAACTTGATGATGGAAGCGCTCACCAGGAAAATGACTTCACACGCCTCATTGTTGGACAGCTATCATACATCCTCCATCCCCTATACCTCGCTTGAATTTACATTCAACCCCCTGAATTGAGACAATACTACACGTTCAATATGCCTCCGCGATTTCAATAATGAATGCTTGGTATTGTCTTGGACTCTCCTCAGTCAGATTAAACTATTACCTTTGCCGAGACAGACACACACACACACATTCAAGTGACCTCCTACAGATGTTCCTGATCCGGAAAAGCCACGGTCTTGGCGCTCTGACGTAAGGTGCCCCTGATTGACGGACGACCGACCGGTCCGAAGCAGATTGAACTAGGAAACACCAGCTGTGTCGGTTAGATAGATAGTGGCATGCCGTAACTAGCTGTTTCCTAGCAAGAAAGTAGTCTCTTTCTTGAAAGAGAGAAAGAGATCAGTTATGCCGATCGAGAATTAGAAACAAAGCGATCGTACCACGAGAGCTTCAAATGTTCATCATTATATCACAAACCCGCCCGGGAGACACTGTCTGGACTCTGGAAGCCCCCTCTCCGGCCATCGGCCATCGGCCATCCAGACTCGACTCGAGACTTTCTTTGTCGTCGTCGCCCTCTTTCTGTGTCCTCTCCTTGCGATGACGACGTGAGCATAAAATCAACCCTTGTTTACTTACTCTTTTAACCCAGAATATTCACTAACCCTTTCCCCCTCAAGCTGCAACGGCTACCACCTTACTCCGTCACCAACCATGGGAGTCTCTCCCCCTCTTTCTCCTCCCGCAATTCCTAATGACGGTTCATGACGCTATCGAGTTGGCAGTTAAGTCTCCCAAAGAAGAATTGAGGTTACAGCCAGACGGTCTGGCACGAGATGGACACTCCATCATGCGTCCTCCCTTGGTAGCGACGGCTGAAACTCTCCCATCAGATCTGGCAGCCGGACCGGCGAAAGATCGTAGGACTAGATCGGTCGAAATTGATGACTGTCTAGACTGTCATACCTAAACTAGAAAGAGAGAGAGAGAGTATGTGTACTGTACAAGCCACAGACAGCTTACTCGGTAATGTACGTAGAACAGTCTACATAGGTAGTTAGCTCTTAGCCGTGCCACCCCTTTTTCTCTGTTCCATGGAGACTGAAAAAAAAGAGGGAGGAAATTATCCTCGCGAATCTGGCTGAGCAGGTTCGATTGAACTGAGCCACCCGACCGTGTGGTGTTGGTCTCGGAAGCATGCGGTGGATGCAAAAATTGCACTCGTAGCTACATACTAAGTATGTACTGTACTTGCTTCCGTAGATCTGACACGATGGGCAGATTAAACATCGAGCTAGTTCCGGCCATGTCGATTTGAAACGGACCAAACGATTGAACAGATCTTTGTGCCTGTGTCTGTGTTGAGTTTAAACTTTCGCATGGGATAAAAACAAACAGAGTGATGATCCTTTTTTTTTTTTTGTTGTGCAGCTTGTTGCGCATGTGTGGCTTTGTCATTGTTTACTTTTGGCTCCACCCTTCCCTCCCATCCATTGTACTTAGTATAAAATATCTATACTTAGTTTTTGTCCGAGTTCAAGGAGTCATGGGAAGAAGTAAGAAGTCTTGTCATTCACCACTTGAAACTTGATTGCTTAGGAAGAAAAGAAGAAACCCCAAAATCTTTGTCTTCCATGATCCTGGAAGAAAATCGCCAATTTTAGATTTAGGCATTCATGACAAGAAAAAGATGATCATCGTCCCAAGTGAGGATTGCCCTGCAACAACAGCCGAAAAAGAGGGGGCAGGGCGTGACCACTGAACAGAGCAGCAGAGCAGGGAACCAATGCCGAGAAAACAGAGAGACGGATGAATGGATGGATGAATGAATGAATGAATTGTATTCTTACATACACTCCTGCATTCATACAGTCCCCATACCAACAAACGCATTCCGCCGTGCGTATGCCAAGCTCTGGGTGCCTGTGATTTCAAAAAAGCAATTATGGGCTTCAGAGACGAGGGAGAAGGGGTTTCGTCGAATCATTGGCCAACCCTATAGACAGACAGCAGTTCGATGGGCTGCGATGCCGTAATTTCCGGGGCCCGGAGGGGTGGAAGCAGTTCGTTTTCGGATTCGCTTGACTGAATGAGCATTGAATCATCGCGATCCATTGTGTCCACTTCTCCATCTATGCCCGATGGGCAATGGGCAAATGAAGTGACATGACTTGGACTGGCGTTGACTGACTGACTGACTTGCCAGAGAAGCGGTCAGCAAAACAACACGCGACGGAGGGGACGAGAAAGGCGGAAACAGGGACGGGTAAGGTAGGAGGTCAGGTAAGCAAAAGCAAGAGCATGAGCAAGAGCAAGAGTAAGAGCAGGCTGGGATGGGCACGACCAAATCATCTTTTCAGCCCGGCAACCTTACCCAGCTCAGGTTGGGAGGCAAAAGGCCGCTGCCAGCCACTGATTGATTGCCCTGGTAGGAATTGAACCCTATACGCTCTTGACATGACATGACTGTCAGATCGTCCCAGAGTAGAGAGAAATAAGCGGAGACATAACTTTGTTTCGTTGTTGCTGTTGATTATTGTTATTGTTATTGCGCTGATATAGTTTTACCTGTTATGTAATTAATAACAATAGTCAATAATTGCATGTATACCAATCCCATGGATGGAGTCTTCAAAAGAACTCACAGACCGAGAGTTCTTGGACAAGCTTCCTACGATTCAGGGATCTTCCCCACCACCCACAACAAAACCGAAAGCAAGTCCCAAGGCCCTGCAAGTCACGCAGCCAATCCAAGCTCCTCGGAAATCGTTCAATCGATGATTGTGGTTGATTTCCCTTTTGTGCTGTCAACTCAAACTCCACCCACACACTCTCTTCTCCCACCATCCATCGCATTTCGCATTTGAATCGCCGTCCATCCCAGCAATCAGGATCTCCCGCTCGCCCGCCGCCGCCCTACTCCTTCCTCCGATGATAATCCGGGAATTCAAGAATCCAGCCGACCAGTCATGAGCACTTGAGAAGAGGAAGGGGGGGGAAAGCTGAGCTGAACCCAGTACGGCAGGGGGACGAGTGAGATTCTCTTAGGTGAGCGTTCAGTTATTCCCTCCTCTACTAGCATAGCAGCCTTACGATTCATGAGCAGGAGAAATCCCTCCTCTCGTTGGGTCACAAACGAACTGGAACGATCAATTGCCTGCCTTGTTCCCCTTCTGGGCGTCCATACACACACACCGACACCGACAACAACAACAACAACTATCCAAAGTGGCAGGGGCCCGTCTTCCACCAGAAAACTCCAATAATTGCCTCACCAAGTCAATCGATCCGATCCCGCGAATCCTGTCCCGTCATCCAATCATACGAAGAACAACAACAGCAACAACAGCAACACAAAGGGTAGAGAGAAGGAACGTAGAGGAAGAGGAGGAGGGGGGCAGGACCAGTTTCATCCGAGTTACACCCTCAGGATTCCGCTTACCCCGGTATACAGTAGACTACCACCACTTTCACAACAAACAAACCAGACAGAGTAAGAGAGCGTCATCACCCCCATCCCTCCCCACAATCTAGACCCTGAAACCCCCAGAGTCTTACTGCTGCTGCTACTGTACGCCTCCAATCCTACACTACAGTAGCCGTAAAACCAGGGTCTGCAGACTGCAGACTACAACTGTAGTTAGCAGGCAGCAATGTGAAGTCCCAGATCCCACCACCAAGCTAGCAAGTCTAGAGACGGAGCCCGCTCGCCCGGGAACACTGCCTACAGTAATCCCGAGGTTAAATAGACTGGAATTCAAGGAGAAATAAACAACACCAAGAAAGTCCCCGGAGAGGGGAGTTTGAGAGATGCATGGTGGCTTACCGGGCCACGCACGGCTCGGGGGGGTAAGAGTGGAAAGAGAGTTTTTAATCCTGATTCCTGGTGGAGGGGAGCGACACGGGATCCTTTCTATCCCCTTCTCATTAACATCATTATCATCATGATGCTTAAACCTGGGGTTGGGGTCATGTTATTGCGGAGGATTTAATTTCCCATACCGTACCGTAGTCGGCGACATCAAGAATTCTCGGCAATATTAACCTACTAACCACATTGTCCTACTACAACAAGAATAAACTTAACAAGATCCGAAACCTCGACCAAGCTTGAAAGTTGAGACAACAACGGTCAGGATGATCTACAATAAGTTACTTATTGTTCACTTAACAGATCAACAACTATGTTTAGAACCACCACCACCTCTCCCTCGTCAGGCTTATCCGCATCCCCCAACCAGCAAAACCAGTCCCCAGTCACCGGGACCCCAGAAGAGGAAACCACAAGTCCACCACCCATTTAAGTGGCAGCTTCTATCAGACGAAACAGCCACCATACCAGCAAACCTACGTACTCGAAGATAATCACCCCAGCCTTTCGGAGAAGACGTGGGGTGGGGATCGAGCTGTATCGGACCATTGCACTCCAAAGTGGAGACGGAGAGAGAGAAGAAACGGTCTAAATGATTGTCGTGCGTGTGAAGTGGATTCCTCCCCCCAAGCAAAAGTCACGACTCACGAGATCAATGACAATTTACGGTCGTTTGACTGAATGCAAGCGACAAACAAACAAAGCAAAGCAGATCGAATGCAATTGTCTACTTAGTTTGTTACTCCAAGGAGAAGGGAGAAGAGTCCACTGGAGCATCGGATGTGTGTTTTGGTACTTTTGTATTTTTTTTTCGGTTCGCTTGTGAGCTTGTACGCTCTTGCTACGGAGTACTTCGTGTACAGTGAGAGAGATGCATAGTACCAAACTAAGTTAGAGCAATATGCATAAGTTGGGAGGTGACTTTATGTTCTGAACACACACGAACAAATTCCTGGATCTTCCTCGATGTAGGAGGATAAGAATAGCATAACTTTCAAACTTGACAGGGCTTATCGAGTACTTAGTACTACTGAATAGCGACCATCCCTCCACTAGTCTACAAACCCACACTAACTAGGGAGCAAGTAGGCATAGTGGCATACACTACAGCATCTCATACATATGAATGGGGGGGTATAGCCCATATCTTATTGGTGCTGGCAACAGAAGGCAACGGAGTACTGCTGGAAGCTGAACGGCCGACGTCGGCCGTAAGGCAAAAATTGTATGAGGGATTTAATTACCTCAGTAAGACTAAGCCCCGTGTGCAGTGCACTGCACGAAAGCACTCTGTCGTTTCATTCACTCCGTAGGAGTTCGTTGGGGATCGGGAAGGAGGAGAAGAGGAGGGGGAAACATTAACGATGGCTCACTATACCCTATTCTTGCCTCTTGTTTCCCTCTCCCTCTCGCCTCGCTCATTCGTCCACTCGCCCTCTCTTCCTCTCCACCGGCAACGGAAGAACTTCGTTCGCGGATTTGCACCGGCCCTTTTCCCTCCTGATGCACGACGCCCCAAATCGAGTAAACCCAAGACACGCCGTCCGGCACGGCAATCGCTGCGTCTGATGGTTAGCCTTTGAGATCCCGTATAACCGCTTTAGGGTCGGCCGACCCGGCGCATATTGCTTTCTGACACCCCCGTTCCCTTCCCCTTCCCCTCTTTCTCTCGTCCCGTTGATGCTCTTTGATGGACCGAGCGTTTTTTTACTCTTGCGCTAATTGTCGAATCATTCGCTTCTTCCCCAAACTTTCTAGCTTCCTAACGAGCTAACAGATGTACTGTATGCGAGGCTGCCGTCATGACAGCTGCAACCCGCACCTGTCTCTCCGAATCCACCGGGTGGGTGGCATGTTCGGTTCTTTTCATGGAAGGATTCAGAAGGTCGTCCATGCTGCATCTTGAAACGCAGCAGGTGTGAAGGTCCGGCCTGGCCCTCACTCGCCGTAACCACAATACAATACCATGTACAGTAAGTTGGATACACGGAAGATAAGATCGTTGCTTCAGCTGCTGGGCCAGCTGCCGCTGCTGCACTGATGGTCAACAACCCAAGTCGCACATGGGAGGACCTCACCCTTGCTTGGGGGCCCAGAACTCGACATGAATCCAAGGAGAGTGGCAGAAGCGAGGTCTAGAAAGTCTAAGCCTGGGTGACCGTCCTGCCGGGTCCGACTGCACGTCCGGAATCCTACCATAGTTGGTAACCATCTGGAATGTGTCAACGCCAATGCCACAATAGAGATGGGGGGGAGGATGATGACATTCTTTCCAGGGAGGGATTCCGCAGTGCATACATAGCATAGTAGGCTCTTGTGATCGTCCGTCCTCCCCCCATTTAAAGACACACAGGGACAGAGAGAATCACCCGCACCTCTCAATGAATTCCCGACTGAGAGAGCCAAGACTTCCTCGCCAAGAGTGCCAAGGGGGGGAAACATTGAGTCTCCTTCCATGCCGCGATCAGTTGGCGGTGGTGATGCTGGGTTGAAAAGCAAAGGTTACCCCCCCGTCCAACCGCCCCTTACTCTATTTTCCTCCTCTGACCGGCCACGGCAACATTCCACGACATTGCTTGGCAACGTCCGATGACTTCGCCCCCCCCTCTGGTGTGACGACCGGAGCAGCTCACTTTCGCCAAGAGGGCACACAGCCATGATACCGCCGCGGGAAGAGAGGGAAGGAGAGCGCGCCGAAAAAGAGAGTCTGGCCGGTTGAAGATGCACCCGCTCCCTGATAGAGACGTCTCTCCCCCGCCGGCTACCGACTTATCCCGTAACTCCGCTCTCGATCACATTCCTCTTCTCTCCATGCCTTGCTTTACTAGGTGCGATTTGTCGCCGGTCGGTTCGATTTGAGTTGGTCGCGCGGCCAAGTGATGCCAAGATCCACCCATTCCAAATGCCTTCACGGTCTGGCCAAGACGTTACAGAGTTGGAGGGAGAAGGAGGAAGATGGCTCACGATAGGAGGACCGAGAGTTCCTGATTTGGACGAGGATCGCCGTCGATCATCTGCTTCAATAATGCATAGCTGGTTCTTGGCACTGCGAAGGATTGAGCATGAACACGTCGGATAGGCACTGTTCAGGGGCAAGATCGATTTATTAGTCCAGATAATGAGGCTATGCTATGCGTCTGGTAGTCTCAGGGACTATCAATGGCCAAGAACCACGTCGCCAGCACTGCCGTCGTCCATTGCGACTTGACCCAAATGGGAGGGGAAAGGCAGAGGAATGAGCAGTTGTGATCTCCGCTCCAGGACTGAGTGATTGACCTAATTAACTGACTGGTCGGGGCCGTCGGTCTTGTGCTGTGAATTCAGAATGCATGCTCGGATGATATCCAACGCGCTCTCCTCCCTCTCCGCACCAGCGATCGACGGGTAACGATCATGAGGCGGGCGATCTGTATCTGGGATTCCTGGTCTTGTCCAATGATGGTCTGTGCAATTAAGGTTGACCCAGCACAGGTACAGACATCGAGGCGAGATGGAGGGTGGTTAGATAGCTTACCTCAAGCCTCCTAACCCTCGAATCGAGTCAAGTGCAGCCCGCTAATGTCGGGTTGTCAAGAGAGGGAAGACCGAAAAAGAACCGCGCAGTGGAAGGCGTACGGGGTTGTCAGTTGGTTGCCCTTTTGAGGCAAACTTCTCGAAGGTCGAACTTCTCTCGTCTCTCTTTCCCCGCATTTTGTCACTTAGTCGATTGATCTGCTATTCAAGTTTCCTTGTATTGGTAGACACAACCCATTATATCATAATACAGCTCGACTTACGCCAATATCAAATCACCGAAACCATAACAACAACAACAACAACACCACCACCGTTTAGAAACAGAATGTAGCCCGAGTGCAAGAGTGGCGGGTATCTTCGGCCCCGAAACAACACACCACCAAGGCTACGTCATCGGCCTGCCACACCTCCCGTTTGCAGTTCTGACTCTGAGATACTCACTTAGTAACTCAAGCCTTTTTCGCTCTAACTAACTAAGTTAATTGACTAACATAATTAGTCACTCGGTGGCTGTGATCTCCGGCTATACCGGGTTTGTTGCTTTGTGCTAGTCCATTAGTAAGTCAGTCAGCCAAATCACATTCGGAGAGATGTGACCCTCTGATGTCATCTGCTATAGGCCTCCGAGTTATTTTCTCCCCGTGGCGATGGCGATGATCGATAGACAAGACAGGGCTGAAGGAGTCACTCGGTTGCCTATCATTACGGATGGCTTCCTATTTTTATCGCGGTTCTGTAATCGCCCACGACCGTATGTTTGATTACTGCTCTGTTTCGACTTTCCGTTTTCGAGAGCTCGGTGGTCGGTAAGGTATGATATGATATAATCTTGTGTCAGAGGTTAGGAACGTGTTACTACACATGGCTACTGCCTTGGGAATGTATCCTCTAGGCGAAGAAGCTCGAGTTCGAGAAAAGGAAGTTATGTGACATCACGGTCTGTGAGGTATGTACTCCAGAGAAGTGATGATGCTATACTTGTGATTCCTTATGGGCATACGGAGTAAGAGATGAGGTGCATGTTTGCGACATGAGACGATCGCTCCCAATGACTCAGCTGGGACTTTCAAGCTTGCGCGCGACTCGAGACATGTAATACTAGAGGCTCACTCTGTAGGCCGGCCTCCAGGAGTTGAGATCTGTGATAGAACCTTTCATGGGTCATTTCCATATCACGATATATTCGATTAGGACTGACTGAAGTAATCTGCGTCGGTCTATGCTTTTTCCCAAATCAACCTCCACATCCCACCTAGGCCTGCACCTTGAATGCCATCAATAGTGATAGACCTACAACGTAAATTCGAGTTCGGGCTCCACCTCCCAAGTCGAATACAACCCACAGCCCGAAGCATACCATTCAATAGACGGTGTCTCTAGCCACTACCGAAAAGACACAATGTCGCTCGGTGAATCCAACACGCGAAGAGTCTCCAAACACCTCCCATGAAACCACATACCTAACTTCACTCCCTCAGCCGAAGGTGTTCACAGCGGAGTCTCATTCTTCCAAACCAGCACCGCGATCCCGGGCGCCGAATTGCGCAGAGCCGGCCCGATCTTATATAGAGCATTATCGTGGGTAGTGAGGAGCAGCTCCATCGCAGATGTAATGCAGAGCGTCTCCACCCTCCAGATCCGCATCCGCAGCGAGAAAAAGAAGTCATCGCATCGGAGACAACACGCATGCGCCATTAACCTACGGAGGGCGCCACACCGTTGAGCCGCCAGTCAGCCGATTGCAGCACGGTAGCCCATGCACATGGCAAAGGTCCCGGTGGTGCTCAGCTCGGTTTCGACTACTGAGTGGATATAAGCTGACCCAGGCTATAGGAGTGGCATTTAAGCTGTATTGTGAGAGAAGGAGCCGTTTGCGCATCCGTGTATACTGATATCTTTCACCAATCTGATTCTGCAGGGGATACATGGCGCTGCCTGGTATGGAGGCGTCTTACACGATCAGGCTAGCGGAAATCATACAAAGCTAGTCTGCCGTTCGCCCGGATGCTCCGTGGGGATACGGAGGAATGACTAGGTTGAGCTTTGCGCTCGATGGTGGTGGCTGGCCGGTCGAGCCTCGAAGTCTAGCCTTGGGCCGGGGATGCCGTGGAGTGAGATAAGCCGTAAGTGCTTGCTTTCCTTGTAGGCATCTCACTATATACGACTGTGGTGGGCTCGTTTGATGGTGGCGCGAGGCTGAAATGAGCGGCCTGACTGCAGACGGGCCTGCTGATCACCTAGTCGGTGGAAGAATACTACCAGTCATTCATTTTGTAGTGACGACTGCTTTCATGTACCGTCATTCTTAGCCAGTCTATCTGGAGCCTACAAGACCGGCCTTGAAGCTCAAGCCTCTACTCCGCCCGATGCAAGCTTTTCTCTTTGGAAGAAAGAAGTTCAGATTGATCTGTTCGGAAGGGTATGTCTCCTCTGAGGCTCGAGCCTATTCTCAATAAAGAAGCCTCTAGACCTTCGTGATAAACGCCTCATGCTCCTCGTGTAGTTTCCAGTTCTACCAATAGATAAGAAGCCGTGTAGAAATAGAACGGGCTATTCTCTGACCAGCGTTCCCAGTGTCATCTGCGCATGGCGCTCTCAGGCCATGTCTCTGGCTGTATACTGTTTTAGACGCCTCTGTCTTCTAGATTGCTTTGCGGTGCGCGTTTGGTGGCGGATAGAATTCGCGAGCAAAGGAAGGCGAGGACTCCGATCGTGAAGTCAGTGTCAGGGATATGTGCACCAGAAGGTGGGCAAATGATTCGTACTGGACGCTCGTTAGTCGCTGCAAAAACAGTCCGGGTTGTCGAATAGATAACTCACCGAGCTCTGCACTACAACCCAAAACCCGTAAGCGAGACTCCATGGCAAATGCTCGCTTGCTGTCATCACACAGATGCTCATCGCTGTCGAGTATGTTTCCATACTCATTGACAATGCACTCATAGATTTTCCCATCGCTGAAATCCGTGCTGAAATTCTCGAGATGTAGTCCGTTGCTCTCCGCCAGGAGATTGGCCCACCCCTTGAGCAAGCGCCTAATTTCGTTGCAAGCTGCTCCCAAGGTATCCAAGGAATCTAGATCCGCGTCCTCGAATGCCATAGTGTTCAGGCAGAGATGTAGTCTTCGTCTTTAGACGGCAAACCTCTCTTCTCAGCTCTCCACAGTCCAAGAGCCTGTCAATCCCCCAAGTACTGACCAGCCCACTGAGAATTTGGAGGGTCTTCTCACGGTGTCCGTCGACTATATCTTCCGCACGCACCATGTGAACAAGCTGTCGGGTTTCATCGATTGAACGTAATGTATCCAAGGTGATTTGCACATTGAACAGCTTCACTGCTCGTCCAACGCAGGGAAATTTAAGCCTGTTGGACAATGGCCATTTCTGATCCCCGACTTCTCCAGGCGTAGCTGGTTTCAGAACCAACAACTCGACAAGTCGTGCCAGCTTCACTCCATCACGTAGATCCACAGCAATATTGCTTATCCAAAATTCGTACTCCGCCAAGGGCTGCTGCTCATACGACAGCTGGCAATCTAAATGATGCAGTGCCTTGATAATATCGCCGCATGATGGCAATAGCAGCTGGCCTAGCGCCTGCAATACAGCAGTGGAGGACTTATGCAAGGATGAAGGCTGGAAAAGAAGATGTGGTAGCAACGACCCCGAGCATCGCTTGGATTGGTCCAGAAGGACAATGATCATAACGCTTCGAAGAAAGGTCCGGCGGTATGCGCGTCCTGCGATATCTCCATCATCTCCTTCACGGTCTTGAGGATGCCGCTCCATGTCCTGATTCTGCAAGAGAAAGGCGTCTAAGAAGCCTTCTAACTTCCGTTTCATTGCCTTCTCTCGGGCAGCGTCTCTACCTCCCGCGGCCAGCTTCGAGCTTGGAATGGCTCTCCCTGTGATCACTTCGAGTGCTGCTCTTAAAGCCTCCAGGTCATAGGTATGAACCCAGAAGTCCAGGAACTTCCGCTTTAGGCCCAAATCTCGATAAATCTGATTAGTACGACTGAGTGCATCCTTTGGCAAGCTCAGAGCACCATAAAATAACGATGCCTTGAGTCGTTTCTGCAGTTGTGTAAAGGGAGCTCTTTGGTATAGATTTAAAAGCTCTTGTCTGAGCCTGTTGGCATCTGCACACCCTGAGTTGTTATCGTTGCCTTTGAATAACTCGTTCAGAAGTGGAGTCAATACTATCTCCTGGTGCCCGAGCCAGTCATCCTCGTACAATTCCGGCTTCGTGATATCGTTAGGGATAATAGAAGAACTTCTCACCAGCCACTTCGCACCCAGGCCATGCAACGTACTTGCTTTCCCCGCACCTGAGCTCGTGGCTGACGTGTCAAGTTTTGGGTCTCTGATCTGCGAAGCACTGTGACCGAAATATGGCGTCTGGTTGCTGACGTTGATCGACTGTCTCTTAGTCGGTTCTGTTTCTGGCTCGCTTGGTTTGGTTTCGGCCTCTGCGTGCCTAATGATCTGGTTGCTTGTCTTGGAAGCTAGTACCGTCTTGACTGGATTTGAGGTGTGCTTTGCTCTGCGAGCCTGGGTCTCATTTGAAGCAACTTTCTGCCTGCGTTCGTACAGCTCATCGACCTTCGAGTATTTGAAATTCTTTTTGGTCCCGACGAGGATTGATCCAGGCGGAATATTCTCCTTCCCACCATTCTTGCCAGGCATATCGACATGAACATTAGCACACTGGAGAACTTTCGAACTAGGGTTCAACGGTGCCCGCTGCGCGGTCGGGTTCATGGACCGTTTGGTCTGTCGCTTCCGTGCGATCTGTGCCTCCAAGCTGTTGATCTGCGTGTCCTCCCGAAGAAGGCTTTCCACATTTGCGGTCTTTTGGGGGCTAAGTGGGCCCATGAACACGCTCGCGACTGTAGTATCATCTGGGGGTATGTAGATCGTGTTACGACGGACAGCTTTCTTGAGGGTATCCTTGGACTGCAATCCCTGGTTCCGTCCATTGATCTGCGTCAGAAGCTCATTATTCTCAAGTTGATCCTGCCTCTTTTGCTGCTGCGACATCGTGATGACTCCCTCTGAGCGCCGTGATTGTCTCTGTGGGCTAGCGACAAAGCTGACCTTCGAGCGGAATCTCTGAGCCGGCTGGGCAAGCAAGGACTTCTTGCGGGTCGAATGGATAGCTGTCGCGGTGACTTCTTTTCTCGGTCCATGGGCGGCCTGCGCGGAATCCACCTCGTGGTCATCATGGATCATGAAGGACGCGTTCGATCGAGTTTTCCGTCTGGGTTTGGCGCCCGTCAGGACCGAGGGTCTTATCTCGGTCGTGAAATCAATGTCCTCGGTTGAGTCACCGCTGGTGATGCTTCTGTCCCAGAGACTATCAAGCGAGCTTCTGTCGCTGCTTCGATCAGATGCCGAAATCCTCAGCCGCGAGGGGCAAGGGGTTGTGGCATCATAGATGTAGCTTGACATCTTGGAAAAGAATGGGACAATTTCGCTTGGAGGCTGAGACAGATATGTTGTAATAGAATCGCTATGATTGCAAGCTCTTTTGTATAGACTGCACTAATGAGTCTGACTGGTCAACATGCTTGATCATGAAAATAAATTCTGGCCGCGCTGCGTCAAGGGGAACGCGTCGAAGGAAGGCAGGTGTATACCTGGGAGGTGACTCGCAGGTACACGTCAGAAAGCGTACTGACGTATTAATTCGAAATTAAATAAAAAAGCTGACCATGAGATGAAGTTTGGGATGGGATGGGTCTGGATGCAAGGTATGGGGACGCGATGTTGACAGCTGAGTTGCCGGCGCAACGCGATCAGACACCTCAGGCAGCCACGCTGCCACTCCGCATTCAACCAGGGACTGTTTGCATACAACGGGAACAAACAGCAACGGCTACGGTACTTCCATGATTGTGTATGCAACTCATTCACAGATAGCACTGAATTGAAATAGTCATTCACACATCACCCGTATCCCTCGAAGACAGAGCGACCCGCCAGAACGAGATCTATCGACAATGGGTTTCAACGGTTATAAGCCACTCATCCTTGAATAATGCTTCAGGTGAAGCTCGAGCCCAGGTCCATTAATGATTACGGTTTCGACTGGTGAGCTTGTTTGGCATATTTAAAGTTGTCGATGCAAGGACACGTCAAGTTGCATGTGCATCATGTCGGAAAAGGGACGAGCACTGGGTAAGAAGGGTCCAGCCAAGGTCACTATGATCCTCTGCGTGCATGTGCGTCGAGCAAGGCAATGGCGATTATAATCAAATTATGGTGCTTCTGGGAGGTAAAAGTGCTGGGTTACCGAGGTTCCTAGAAAAAGAGAAGACATTTTCGCGATCTTTGTCTCAGTATACTTGACCCTGGAATTATGGCTCGGAACTCTAGCTAGATCAATGTCCGTGGCCAACCTGGTGAAAACTGCCTATGCTACCGGATTTCGAAGTGGTGTTTGGCAATTCGTAAACGTATTGGTTTAAGATAGGGAGTAGACTAGAGTCCCCAGATGGATCACTTTGTGTCCACGAAAGACAACTTGGTTCTGCTCATAAAATTCACTAGTCGATGGGACATAGAGCCGGCGGCTTCCGTGAGCTGCCTCGAATTCGAGCGAGATGAAACAAGCCGCTGCTCCAATAGGCAGTAAGGAATAATATATTGGCATCTGAGGTCCAACGCCGGACTGGCGACTTGCTTAACTCAGGAAAGCTCCGAGCCTCGGTCAGTTGAAGTAGTTCACAGGTTGGGATTGCATTCGATGCTGAGAAAGATAAATGCTGCGCAGGGCCGACTATATAATTTGAATGTCGTTATCGGTCAATATATTCATCTCTCGAATCACAAGAAAAGAAAATCAACAAACCAAAAGCCCAAGGGTCGAGATTGGCTTGATCGACCATTTTGTGCAGCGCATCAATCGGTGGGGGGCGCCTAAATTCCTTAGTTTTTTCCCCAGACACACACATGGTCTGATCTTCAACGTGGCCCTCTCTCTTCTCTTCCACTCTTTGGTTCCTAGTCTCCATCTGCCAGGGGTAACCTGTGCTATGCCTGTGCTATGTATATCTTCGCCCGTCATTAAAAGTGCACCGGTCTCCAGTCTATTCCTGTGCCTGTCCAAAGTATCCACTACTCGCCCTCCCTTACACGCCTCGATTTCCCATTTTCAATGCTAGCACTGCTAGTGCTTTTCACTCTCATTTCCCTTCCCCCCCCCTCCGATTTCTCTCGCCCCCGACCGGATCCTCGTTGATTATTATCCAACACTCTTCTACCTACCTACCTGCCTGCCTGCCTGCCTCTCTCTCCCTTGACTCTACCACGCGCCCCATTGGATTGTCGCGGAGATGGATTTGCGATAATTGGTTTTCTTACGCGCCGGATAAACTACAGATAGGTATCTGTATTCGAAACTGTGACACTTAACCTGCGCTGCCTCCCGGTGTAACCGTTCCCTCTCGCTCCACCTTCTCACCCGCTACACATCTCCGGAATGCTTACCGACCATGGAATCCCTTGTCTATGAGAACTCGCCGTTGGCTGAATATCTCCAAGGTGAGTCCGGCAACACTCAGCCTGGTGGAAGTCCCAAGGTCTCATTCGTCGTTACGTCAGGGGAGGGCGAGCACGATCCGAACTGGCCGACTCAGGAGACCGAGCACAGCGACGATTTCTCCGATTCCACCGCGGCGGATTTCGCCCCACGAGGGGCTTCGAGATTTCAAGAACGCATCCGGAACAAACTTCCCAAGCCACTCGATCAGAAGGCTTTGCGACAGAAAGCAACCTTGGGTAAACTCTATGATGCTTGCACGGTATGACGCCATCGGTCCTGAGGTGCTGAATCGGTCACAATCTGACACAAATCCCTCTCCTGCAGTCTGCCTTGAATTCACGCGTCGGACGAAGCGACAACGAGCGGTTTCTGGAACAATTCGGTTATTTTATTGTCGCGTCCCAGTTGTTGAACGAGCACAGTGCGCCTTCCTATACGTCAGCCGCGGATGTGCTGTCCACTGCGCGCCCTGCCGACCTTCCCTCGATTTCCGCGACGTTTGGCATACAAGGGGCAGTTGTCACCGCTTCAACGTCTTTCTCCATCGCTTGGCTGTTGCACTGGGGTCGGTCGAAAACTGCATCGGGCTTGAATCCAAGGAAGGTGGGAGTCCTGCTGGTACTGGTCCCCGTCATTGGAGTCTTGTTCTACGCTTTCGCGAAGCGACAATGGTTGAAGTACTTGCGACACCAAGCCGTTGATGCAGCTGCGGCATTCATTGGCAATGCCCAGGGATTTGACTCCGCTGCTTCGGCGTCGGTCGTGTTTATACAGGAAGTCGAGCTGGTCTCGAGAGGCTACCGCATGTAAGTGACTGTCCTCTCTTGCTCCTGCAGATGGCGTATTTTGACCTCTTCCACAGAAGCACACCTCTGCCGCCGATAAGCAGACTCGAAGACCAGACGCAGACACGACGATGCTTAAGACTTCGACGTACAGTATCTGAATCGTTTCACCTCATGTTAGGCCGATACCTTCAAGCACAACGAACCTTGCAGCCTCTGACCGATAGCGCAAACCTGGCTAAATATTACGACATCTATGACATTTCCGAAGAGGAGCTCATAGAGGCACAAGGATCATATGACGACCAAGCGACCGAAGACCAATACTCACTGCGGGCGCTGCGGACACTGTTCGGAAGACTTTATATCGTGAGGAAGAGCATTTTCTGCTGTCTTCTCGCTCTTGGAGCTGATGGGGGTGGTTCGGACATTGCAAGATGGACCACTGCCGTTGAGCAGATGCGGGAGCTGGCCAACGTGACCGGGGATAATACACACAAAATGACCAGCATTTTGAATGAAGAAGACAGTAAGTGTGGCAGCGGTATAATGCTTGCTCCCGGAGCTAATCTGAAATGTTCTAGCCGATGCTATCCCTCCTTCTCCCCTACCCACGGCCTCGCCTAACAAAGACAACCTGCGTGCACAATATCGCAGGATCAACTCTCTGTCACAGGGCATAAGGGCTCTGCATGCGAAGATGCATATTCTCAGAGAAGCTTCAAGCGCAAACCTCGAACGGCCATATCCTAGCGAGTTTGAGGCAACCCTCGTTCCTCAGTATGAATCTATTGGTACAGACATAAAGAGTCTGCTTCAGGAATGGGAAGCAGGGAAGTCGGCTCTGGCAAGCGCACTAGACAGACAAGCCAACCCCGATTATTCGCGGCCCCCGAGTGGAATCAAAATCCCCCTGTCACCCACTCCTAGCCTTGGGGGCTCTACGGCTGTGGAAGGGAGCCCGGCAGATGCACTCAGGGCTTTGAACGGAGAAAGACCCGATTCCTTCATCGTCCAGAATGCAGATGACGCGGAAGAGATTTTTGAAGCGATTGCTCTCCCGCCTCGCAATAAAAGAGCATCCATGACCAGAGAAGAGCGCATCGCCCGCGTCAAAGAAGACAGGGCGCGTCAAGCCGCTCTACGAGATCGTGCTGATGCGAACACCAACATGCTGAAGGAGCTCGAAATGGTCATCAAGCAGAGACCGCGCACCATGTACGCGAAGCGTGTTACGAGCATTTGAGACTGGCGCAACCAGAACATATCTGACGCAACTGCTACTTCGGCTTGCGGCCGCTCATTCCTTCTTCGTTCCCTGCACATAATTCTTCTCGGAGTTTTGCTCAAGTGTGGAGCTGATTTTCTGAACCTAACCCGCAAATCATGCAAATCGATACCCAAAAATGTATAGAGTGGACTGGTGTCACAGGCGCTTGGGTGGTTTGCATTCAGTTTAGCTTTCCTCTATCATTCTTATTCACTTACTCGAAGCCTTGCAGTGCTTAATTCTCTCTTTCCAGCTGTACACTATGTGTTTCACTGTTCTTTCGCCTGCATATTCTTACTGTGTACTACTTACTCTTTTGAACAGCCTTTACCAGTACGGCCAGGGTCAGTGTATCTCGTTTGTCAAGCATAAATTGCCTTGTGTACATATCATGCACATCCTAACGAAAGGACATAATAATAAGTAGTCTCCTTTATTGGGTCTCCGTTCCCAGTGGCACCTATTGTAGGCACCCGTTTCAAGGAGCCCTGAGGGGGGCTAAGTCGAGGCCATTGCTGCCTCAGGCGGAAGGTTAGCCGCATAGGGTCATATCAACCTACGGTATGACGCGACCCGAACGCGTGCCTCCCCACTAGTAGGAATAAGAAACCCGCGAACGCGACCTTGGCTGCACTTTCTGCTCCTTCAGACAATTTCCCTCCACCTCAAGACACACCCAGCAATCCTCTCGACTCTCCTCTGTACGTCTTCCTCTGCAGCTGTCGAATCAATTCACTCTCAATTCAACAGACACACTGATAAAATTACCTCTGTATAGAACGTTTCCACCGCCAAACTCATCTTAATCTGTCCTAACACTCACTGCACCACCGTCTACACACCAAGAGTATGCACAGCCAGTCTTCAATCCTCTCCTGATCGCGATTTTAATTTCTTCATAGTGTTGGAAGCTCGCCTCGAACAAGCTAGCCTTCTCAAGCGCGTACGTACCATCTCCGTTCCAATCCAGCAATGACCCCGCATAGTTGCTGACATCGCCTTGTGCAGGTCGTCGACGCCATTAAAGATCTCGTGCAGGACTGCAACTTCGATTGCAATGACTCCGGAATCTCCCTGCAAGCCATGGACAACTCCCATGTTGCCCTTGTCTCTATGTTGCTGAAGGCTGAAGGATTCTCTCCTTACCGCTGCGACCGTAACATTGCCCTCGGTATCAACCTGGTTTCCCTGACCAAGGTGCTGCGGGCTGCTCAGAATGAAGACATCCTCACCCTCAAGGCTGAGGACTCCCCCGATGCCGTGAACCTGATGTTCGAGAGTGCCGAGACCGACAGACTGAGCGAGTACGATATCAAGTTGATGGACATTGACCAAGAACACCTGGCCATTCCCGAGACAGAGTACGCTGCTACGGTTGAGATGCCGGCGGCAGAGTTCCAGCGCATCTGCAGAGATCTGATGGCTCTTTCCGAGTCCGGTATGCTTCCTTGCCGTTGATGTGGAACAGCATCGAGAAAGACGAGTTGTTGCAGAATGAAGCTAACATCTTCGAAGTCGTCATCGAGGCCACGAAGGAGGGTGTCAAGTTCTCCTGCCAGGGTGACATCGGCAGCGGCTCGGTCACTGTCCGTCAGCACAGCAACGTCGACAAGCCTGAGCAGAGCGTCTCCATTTCCCTCAGTGAACCCGTCGCCCTCACTTTCTCCCTCAAATACCTCGTCAACTTCTGCAAGGCCACCAACCTTTCCAACAAGGTGACTCTGTGCTTGTCGCAGGAGGTGCCCCTCCTCGTCGAGTACGGTCTTGGAAGCGGCCATCTCAGATTCTACCTTGCTCCTAAGGTTTGTCTTTGACACTGGGGATTTGTCAAGTTCGCCTCGCTAACTTGTGTACGCAGATCGGTGACGAGGAATAGACGAATGATTGCGAAGAGCAATGAATACCATCATGATAAAAGGGGGAGAAACGGGGAGGCAACGATTTCCATTTCTATTTCGATTTCATCGACACATCGCGTCACCAGAAAATATCCGCTCGGTTGTGTGCACGGGTGCAAAGGTTTATTTCTTCAATTATAATATCCTGTTAGATATCAAGCGTTTCAATTGTTCAAAATTCAATTGGTTTATAGGGAAGATCGACTATTTTGGGGACGGTAGGGTTTTTCATGGGCATCTAGGTCTACATTATTGTTTACTCAAGGTCGTAAAGCTGCGCTGGAACTACTGATTACGTGTTCAGGAAGAGATCTTCTGGCATAAGCTTTATTCATCGCCCAAATACATTTTTGAAACACCGACATTCACTCATTCGTCTCGCGATTTGCACTCCAAACAAACAGCACCGACGGCAAAAAAACCTAAAGAACTTGCACAGAATACACCATGCAAGTCCCAAACCCAACAATTAGCGGGGTTTGGAAAGTCCTTCCCAGTCTCACCAAGCACAATGATAAAAGCCAAACAGAGTAGGTTGGATTATACTGACCTGAGGGAAAAAGAGGGTGAAGCGCCATCCCTACCAGAATAATCGGAATCGAATTATACCCAGTCAGACTCTCCCCCGAAGGGTCAAGAAAGAACCAGGGCATGCTGCGTATTGCACTAAAGTGTCACCAGTGGCACACAATCTTCGCAACGACTCTCCCATGGGGAAACGAGCGATAGGCAGAAAGAAGGAGTAGGGCCCCAGAAGAGCCCTCTCCCTCTCCTGTCTCCACTCCCCCGATGTTTCTGATGCCGGTTGCAGGTGCATATCACACCAGGCCCTTGCGGGCAGTACCGGCTCCCTCTTGTTCGAAAACAGGAGGAAGCGGGTTGTTGGGTGAAGATTCCTCCGAATTTCTCATTTGCAGGATTTTTTCTCGGGAAGCTGATCTGATTAAGGATCAGCTAAGAGCCGAGGACGAGAAGGGTATCTCGTCGTGTGTAGCAAAGAAACGCAGCATTGGTAAGGATGGCGCTTGAAGAAAGAAAGAAGAAAAGAAGAAAATCGAGTTGAGTCAAGAGGTGGTTTTTTTAGCTGGCTGGCATGGTGGGCCTCACCGCTTTCTGCTTAGGGTGCGGAGCTTGTTTGCGCTGTTTGGATCTTTCTTCCCTACTTGTGCAGTCCGAATGATAATCCCTCCTTCTCTCGATCGTGAGCATCCACACAGTTACGGAGCATGTACAGAAATCTAGCCTGCTAATGATCGTATCTCGAATCCGTGGCCATGGTTCTAGAATTCGACCTTTCCTGCTACGAAGCTTTGGCGCTCGTGACGATCCTGACCCCTGAGTGTCATTCATGAGCTTCGCTTTGATAGGCAGACAGCTGCCTTAATTTTCAGACGATTGGCATTTGCCACCTAATTACCGGTTTTCTACTGGCAATGAGCTCCAGGATTGCAAGTCAACCGCTCTGCATAATGTGGTGTCTCAAGTCATTGAAGCCGTGTCTATGGATCATGTTGAGGCAGTTGAGGTATGTGTTGTTGCCTCAGATCACATGACGACAGGTGCTCTTCTTGACGCGTCGCACGAAGATAATGCTGTGCGTGCATTTTGACTTGCCGGCAACCTTGCCCTGGCCCCTTGAGGGTGTTATATCAATGTTGGGACCTGAGGGTGAAACTTCGTACCACGGTACTAATCTTGATGCTCCTCCCAAATGACAGTCGTGAACCCACAGTCGGCCATCGGACAGCGGGCGCTCCGCGGTGTCGGCGCTAAAATCTCCGTTTCGCCGACTGCCCGAGAGGCCTTGCATCAATCCTGCTGCAGATCTTCCTTCCGGCACTGAGAGACCAGCGGCATGACTGCTACGATGCATCAGAGTTTCGCTGTGACTGGGCCTCAGTTGTTGCCCATAGTGGCGCGTCCGACCGGAATCGATGCACGTGGCGAGCGAGAAAAAAAGATGGAAAGTCTCCAAAGTCCTCCCTTCGATTCGGGTACTTGCAGGGGCAAGCCGGAGTTAGGCCTAAACTTGTAAGCGACCCCTGGCCTCTCAGCTGCGAAGGTCGAGGTGCCAACCAGACAGACTGGCTCCGCAATTGAATGGAAAAATCGGTGATACCAACGGGATCGCTGCTACCGGGCTCGGGGGCGATCTATTATCTCCGTGCAATGCCCTATACATCTGGACCAATGTATCAGTAGCTGTCCCCATCTCGTGGGGCCGGCATCACCTCCTTCCGAGTTCGAGGCATAAACATCAAACTATAATGAACAGGACCACCGATTCGGGCTCGGGCTGCGGTCTGCACTTTGCCGACGCTTTGGTTTGGAAGCATTTTAAATATGGAATGATGGGCACAGCTCCAGAGGGAAGAGGAAGGTCATATCAAACTAATTCTTTCTTTCCGACATACACCCACCTATTCATTCGCTTGTCCTTTCCATCTCGTCTCTCGTTCGTACAGACTTATTCTCGGGGCAAGATAGCCCACAGTTACCCTGGCTGAGAGGCCCTCCCCTTTAATCATCGATTGATCATTGTAGCAAGACTACTATACCCGCAACGTCATGCAGAAACTCGGACAAGCGCCCGGCGACCATTGGTCGGAATCGAGCATATCCATTACATCCGAAGACGAGCAGGAGGAACTTCAGAATCTAACACGAATCGCATCCAGTCGACATGGCCGGACAATCTCGCACACTGCGACGATCGATGAGAAGAACGATCCTCGTTTAGATCCCACGAATCCAGAATTCGACCATCGGCGGTGGGCAGCGATGGTACTCAGGGTGCACACCCAGGCAGGCATAACACCACAAACTCAGGGCGTCGTCTTCTCCAACTTGTGTATCTCCGGTTCGGGTTCAGCACTACGCCTCCAAGAAACACTTCTGACGCAGTTGACAACTCCTTTCCGTCGACTCTCCCGAGCTCTTTCTGGACATCGATCAGCTCCCCCACGCCAGATTCTTCACAATTTCGACGGGTTGCTTCAGAGTGGGGAGTTGCTGTTAGTGCTTGGTCGTCCTGGAAGTGGCTGTTCGACTTTTCTGAAGACCATCTGTGGACATCTCGGGGGCCTGACTCTCGAACCTCAAAGTAATATTCAGTATCAGGGGTTGGCATATGATGACATGATCAAGCATCATCGTGGCGAAGTTGCCTACAACGGGGAGGTTGACCAACATTTCCCACATCTTACTGTTGGCCAGACACTTTCATTTGCTGCTCATGCACGTACTCCCCAGAAACGCATGGAGGGTATCTCGCGCGATGAGTATGTCGACACGCTTACCAAAGTTGTCCTTTCAGTATTTGGCCTTACCCAAACTATCGACACCAAGGTCGGAGATAACTTTATTCGAGGAGTTAGTGGTGGCGAGCGCAAGCGCGTCAGTATCGCCGAAATGTTTCTTTCTCGCAGTCGAATTGGGGCCTGGGACAACAGCACCCGCGGCTTGGATTCGGCATCTGCTCTGAAACTCATCAAGTCTCTACGTCTTGCTGCAGACATTGGACAGTCGTGTCATGCGGTTGCCGCCTACCAAGCATCTCAGTCAATGTACGACCTGTTCGATAAGGTCGTCGTTCTTTACGAAGGATATGAGATTTACTACGGTCCTGTTGATCGCGCCGTGGCCTTCTTCCAAGAAATGGGATGGGAGCTGCCAGAACGCCAAGTCAGTGGTGATTTTCTCACGTCCATCACTAATCCCGGAGAGCGTAGGGCACGTCCCGATATGGTCGACAAGGTTCCTCGCACCCCCCAGGAATTCGCGGACTATTGGAAGCGCAGCTCCGAATATAAAGAGCTCTGCGCTCAGATAGAGCAATATCGACGCGACCACCCGCTCAACGCCGACGAGGCGAGAGAGTTCAAGCAGCACCACGAAGAGCAGCAGGCCCGTCACACCAGGGCTCAGAGTCCCTATCTTCTATCTGTGCCGATGCAGGTGCGTCTCTGCATCCGCAGGGCGTTTCAGCGATTGCGCAATGATCTCCCCACGGCAATGTCCACTGTCATAGTTCAAGTCATCTTGTCTTTGGTTATTGGATCGATTTTCTACAATTCGCCCAATACAACCAGCGCCTTCTTCCAGAAAGGAGCTGTCTTGTATTTCTCTGTCCTCATGAACGCCTTGGTCACTATGAACGAGATCATGCAATTGTACAGTCAGCGGCCGGTTGCTGCGAAACAGGCAGGCTATGCTTTTGTTCATCCGTTCGCCGAGTCCCTTGCCAGTATAATCATGGATCTACCGATCAAGTTGATGCGCTGCTCTGTCTTTTGTATTGTCCTCTACTTCATGACCAACCTGCGTCGGGAGCCTTCACAGTTCTTTATCTACTATCTATTCTTGATCACCGCTATTTTGACGATGTCGGGGATATTCCGAACACTAGCAGCCGCGACTAGGACGGTCACCCAGGCTATGGCAATGGCAGGTGTTATGATTCTCTGCATCGTGGTATATACTGGCTTCACCTTGCCGCAACCCTACATGCACCCATGGCTCTCCTGGATTCGCTGGATCAATCCTATTTATTATGCATTTGAGGGGTTGGTTTCCAACGAATTCCACGGGCGCGACTTTCCATGTGCGTCGCTGATTCCAAGTTATGCTACCGGGTCGTCATTCGTCTGTTCGGCTGTGGGAGCCGTAGCTGGACAACGTTACGTCTCGGGAGATGCCTTCATTGAACAGAACTACGAGTACTCGTACTCTCACATCTGGAGAAACTTCGGTATCTTGGTTGCATTCATGATCTTTTTTACCTGCACCTGCTTGTTCTTCTCGGAAATCAATACTGGAGAATCATCCAAGGCAGAAACTCTGGTCTTCCGCCCTGGTCACGTTCCTCAGTTTTTGGCTGCTTCAGATGGAGTAGAAGGTGGCAAGGCAGCTCCTCCCAAGCCTGAACTACAGAGTAACGACGACGAGGTCATCCATCTTCCTGAACAAACGGATATCCTCTCGTGGAAGGCCCTCAATTACGACATCCCGGTCAAGGAGGGTACGCGGCGGCTATTGGACAACGTCAACGGATGGGTCAAGCCTGGCACATTGACGGCACTGATGGGTGTTTCTGGCGCTGGAAAGACGACGCTTTTGGATGTCCTCGCTCAGAGAGTGTCTATTGGCGTGGTGACCGGTGATGTCCTGGTTAACGGGAGACCTCTGGCGCCTAATTTCCCGCGGAGAACTGGATACGTGCAGCAGCAGGACCTTCATCTGGAAACAACCACGGTCCGCGAAGCCCTCCGCTTCAGCGCCATGCTTCGCCAACCCAGGTCTGTGTCCAAGGACGAAAAATTCGGATATGTTGAAGAAGTCATCAAGATCCTGCGCATGCAAGACTTCGCCGAGGCGGTTGTGGGCTCATTGGGCGAGGGCTTGAATGTGGAACAAAGAAAACTACTTAGTATCGGTGTCGAGTTGGCTGCCAAGCCAACACTACTGGTATTCCTGGATGAGCCAACCAGTGGTCTAGATTCCCAGAGCTCATGGACGATCTGCTCACTTCTGAGAAGACTGGCGAACCATGGTCAAGCCGTGCTTGCTACAATTCACCAGCCGAGTGCCTTGCTGTTCCAAACCTTTGATCGCCTGCTTTTCCTCGCGAAGGGGGGCAGGACTGTCTACTTTGGCGATATTGGACCTAACTCTCGGATCCTTCTCGATTACTTCGAACGCAACGGCGCCCGTCACTGTGGCGACATGGAGAATCCGGCTGAATATATCCTCGAGACTGTCTCAGGTGATAATGCCAAAGGGCCCGACTGGGTGCAGATCTGGAATGGAAGTCCCGAGTTCAAGGAGGTCTACGCCGAAGTCACTCGACTTCAGGATGCTCAGCAACAACCCGAGCCTCAGATTCATCCGGGTGATGACAGCGATGCTGAGTTCGCTATGCCCTTGACCAGCCAGCTTCGCTACGTCCTGCAACGTGTTTTCCAGCAGTACTATCGCCAGCCAGAGTATCTGTTTTCCAAATACGTACTAGGCATTATATCCGGACTTTTCATTGGTTTCTCGTTCTTTAAATCCAACAACACGCAGCAAGGCTTCCAAAACACTCTCTTCAGCATTTTCCTACTATGTACCATTTTCAACACCCTCGTCAACCAGATAATGCCAAAGTTCGTCCGGCAGCGAGCGCTCTATGAAGTCCGGGAGCGCCCCTCCCGGGTCTATTCCTGGAAGGTGTTCATGATCTCGCAGGTGCTCGTCGAGATCCCGTGGCAGATTGTCCTTGGGATCTGCTCCTGGTCGTGCTACTACTGGACGGTGATCGGAACCGACCAGGACGCCGAACGTCGTGGTCTTGCTCTGTTGTTCATTGTCCAGTTTTTCATCTACGCATCGAGCATGGCTCAGCTGGTCGTCTGCGCCATCGGCGAGCCAACCCTAGCCGCCATGCTGGCCACCCTGATGTTCGGTTTCGCCTTTATCTTCAACGGCGTCATGCAGCCGCCCGGGGATCTACCCGGCTTCTGGATCTTTATGTACCGGGTGTCGCCGTTCACGTACTACATCGGCGGCATGAGCAGCACGATCCTGCACGGACGGCCCGTGGAGTGCAACTCGGCGGAGCTGAGCGTCTTCGACCCTCCCGCCGGCCAGACTTGCGGGCAGTACATGGCGCGGTACGTCGCTGCTGCCGGTGGTCGGCTGTACAACTCCAACGCCACCTCAGGGTGCGAGTATTGCTCGATGACATCGGCGGACCAGTACCTGGCGCTGCGGTGGATCTACTGGGACGACCGCTGGCGGAACTATGGGCTCTTCTGGTGTTATTTTGTCTTCAACGTGGCAGCGGCCATCACCCTTTACTATGTGTTCCGGGTGAAGAAGTGGGGAAGGAAGTAGAAGTTGTGTGAGGATCGTTGCTTTCGCTTTGTTGTTTTTGTATTGTACATACATGAATGAGCATTTGTGGGGATAGGAGACTACCTTGTGGCGCATTTGAGACTAGATACCAATACTTGCGTTTGCGATAGCTTGATATAGTGTTTATGATCGATCAAGATCAGAGATATATCTTACCCTACCATCTTTACTTCCCCTGCTGATCCAGCTTGACTCCCCGAGCGTGCATTCTCTATTCCATTTGCGCGTTTCCCACAGCGCTGCTCCGCGACAGCATCCCCATCCAATCCCACAATACTGTAGGACCGTAGGAAAAGCACAAGAAATTATGCGCCACATCCAACCGGGGGAGAGCCCGGCACCAATACACCAACACCCGATCATGTTAAGTGATGTCCCAATCTTTATTTACCTAGACTTATAATCTCTTCATTCTAACGCTCTATATCTATAACCTATGACATAACACAACAAGATCCGATGTGGTGTAACGGCTAACATCGCCGTCTTTCACACGGCAGCTCGGGGTTCGATTCCCCGCATCGGAGATCATGAGAATCTTTTTTCTTGTGTTTCTTTTTCCCCCATTGAGTTTTTTTTTTTTGCTTATCTTATCATGCAGCAGATTAAGTACATTTGCATGTCCATGATCCGAGCGGTGTTCAATAGCGTCGTCTTAATAGCCAAGATAAGAACGGGGAGCAGGAGGAGGGGACCATAAGAATAATTGTTCCTTTGAATAGTATTACATACACACCACATTCCCCCAGTGGTAATAACTAATGCTCCTGTCCGTACTCACAATCAGTTTTTTTCGCCCTTTTTCATGCGAAGGTCGACAAATAGAAATGGTCAATGCAGATATCCAGAAAGGCTGCCCTTTACATGGTACACACACCTCACGGTCATTTTAGGTATATTAATAGACTACATACAGTACATGAAAGCAGATGCACAGTCGTGATATTAACATAATCAGAGATAGAAGGAAATACAAGAATCGTCAATATGACGCCAGATCTAGCGCCACCAGGAACAAGCGGAATGCAGGTAGGATGATGGGCCAGAGAAAGCAGAGATCCGGCGAAAGGCAAGGAGAGTCGGTATGTAAACGAAAGGAAGGGTATTTGATGAGTCGTCAAAATGTCGAGCAACGCAGTAGGTATCATGTGGTAAATCCCGGGAAACACGCGCAATCTTCAACTATCCAAGATATTAGGAAACTCTGCCGGCAAAAACATGTCGCACAAACTCGCTAATCTGTAATAGAATATCGCTCCACTAATCAGCATCGGTGACGATATAAGAATCGAATATGGTGTCTTTTGGTCGTTTTGGTCTTTTCTTTCTTCCTCCTGTACTCGTAGAATGTGGCCTGCGATTTGCTCAATCGATCATCATCCGAGTAGGCACCTGGCCCGAAGAGATGTTGGAGGACAGCTCGGTCGTCTTGCCTTCCTTGTTCTGCGTCTTCTTCTTGTGTACATGTTGCTTCAAGCCCTTGTGAAAGTTGTGCATACAGACACAGGCGTTGATAATGGTGATGACGATGAGCACAAGGGTGATGACAGCGAAGAAGGTCAATGAGCGCCGGGCAGTCAAATATAGGTCGTAGGTACCGGGCTGGTACATCCGGACTAGTTTGAACAGGAAATAGGCCATTGCCGCGAAATAGAGAAGCTAGTGTTCTTGTCAGCTGATGATCGGCAGGAATCGACTCGGATATCTCCAACATACAATGACAACGATCATTCCAATTGAGCTTTCGCGTCGCACAAAGAAGGCCGCGCAGATCAGGATGATGATTGTCACGGGGATCGCAGCAAGCGTAAGGGCAAATTCAACGTCGGACCTGTTTGTGACGATGACGACGAACTGGACAGTGAACCCGAGGAAGAAGAAGAAGTCGAATTTGAGCAGCGAAATGTAGATCTGTCAAGCATGTAAGCCCGGGCGGCGCGCAGGGAAGTGAGCCAAATACGAACCTGATAAGTCAGATACCGGCGCTTCATTCGCAGATCGGCGCTGATATGTTTGTAGATGGACCACGCAAACTCGTCGTACAATTTCCAGGCAACGATAATCATCAAGATCGAGCCCATGGCCACGACGCAGGGAATGATGATCAGAAATGGTTCGGTTTCCCCCCAGACATTTCCTGCGATAGCGCCGTTGTCCCACAGAATTTGCACAGCATCCCGAATCTGTTGCACCTGCACAGCGCCATAGACCAACAGCCCGAGATTGCACATACACAGTCCGATAACCTGGATGGTGTTCTTCAGGCGCAGCGCGTCGTACACGAGAATCAGTTCGTAGATGAAACCGAAACTATAGAGTGCGAGGAAGGTTGGGATGGGTTTCGAGGCAGTTGTGGTGGCGGCCGATGGAAGCAATTGAACCTGGAAATTGACGAAGATATAGCTGTCATGATCCTCCACGGTCAGTTCACCGATCCGACAGGGTAGAACGAAAGCTTCACTTGTACATACCATTCCAGCGCCAGAGTAATAATCGTCTGGACCAGGGTAACGATGCAGAAGGACCACGTCCACAGGGAGTTGGGGCGGTACATCCTGTGTCGCTTTGGAGGATCCGGGGGAACGTTCGTGTACCCCTCCCGTCCACGAAAACCACGCCGAAAGGACGGATCGAAAGAGCCCCCCAGTAGGGAGGCCCGCGATGTATTGGAATAAATTTTGACGAAATGCTCCGTGACGGAGCTGGTGTCCGTCGGAGGATCGGGGTCGGGATACAATATGCTGGTTCACCACCGGAAGGCGGCGAGGTTTTCGGTGTTGGTAGAAGATAAAAGCCTCAGGTGATCGAGTTGGCAATGAGGTTGACGTTATTTCGATTGTCCTGATCCGGGGAGTATCAGATACGTCGCTTTGGCCAGAAAGACTCTCGGTGGTTCAGGAGGTGAGATCGCGATAACAACCGAAAGGATGGCGATTGGACACCAAAGGCATAAGCCACACCAAGCCTCCTGACAGTCAGCCGAGAGGACGAGCGGAGAATTCTAGAGGGTGGGGAGCGAGAGAGATGAAGAAGGACGAGATCCCTAGGGGCGAAACAGGTGGTGCCTGTTAAGCCGGGTGAGAAAAGTCGCGAAATTGGCGGGGAGGCTCAGGTCCGATGGTCAATGGCTCGGGACTGGTGGAGGAGACCAGGCTGGCTGGGTGTAAGGCTGAGCACATGCAGGGTCACGAGTAAGCTGGTGTGTCCGTTTCAGCCGGGAATGGGGTGAGGGTGGGAAGAAGAAAAACGAGAGACTGGGGGGTTCAGAGAAAGACTAGTGGACAGAAAACGAGTGTTGGAGAATAGAAAGAAAGAGGTTGCAAGAGAAGCTGATGTGGAACAGGAGGGAGATGAGGGAGGAAATGCGGTGGAAGAAAGGGAAACCTGAGCCGCAGTGAGGGAGAGGGAGAGAGGGAGAGAGAGAGAGGAGAATAGCAAGAGGGAAAAGGTATTATTACGAGTACGATGATACTGACTTACCCGGAGGTTTGACTTGTGACTGCCTGCTTGCCTGTCGGTCGGTCGGGCGGGCAAAGGCCAAAAAAAAAGAAGAAAAGAAGCCAAGCAGAAGGTCCAGCTGAAGTTCCAGACACAAGGGAAGGGTCAAGTGTCCGATTCAAAGGGGAAAACTACAGGGTCGATCCCTAAATGAATCGTAATAATAGAGAGACCTGACCCAAGAGAGGAATGGAAAGAAAAAGGATGCGATGGGAATTTCTTCTTCCCCACTGGACACTCACTGACTGACGACAACAACAACAACAACAACAATCCAACCGGAATGGGGACGGAGAAGTGATGCTAAGAAAAATAAATAGCCTTAATCGGCGACAGTTAACGGCATTCGAGCCCAGTATTCATAGTGATACAGTCCAGTCATGGTTCTAAATTTATGGTGCTTAATCTCGCTTTTGACTCGCGCACGGGAACTTTTTAATTAGAATCTTATGTCGCTCTAACGCCTCGATGGAGTTCTTGGAATTCGAGTCCCGGCAGGTCGAGTCTTGGCTCATCTGCCTATCAGTATGAATGCAGCAAGTCTCGCAGGATGCAGGTGTACGAGTGGGAGAATCATGGCGGTGGTGGCTAGTGAGTGAAGGAGGGAGAGGAAGTGGTGGTAATCACCAGTATTACTTACTTACTCAGTCAGTAGTTAGTAGTTACAGCCAAGTGGAAATAACCCGTGCCTGAGACTAACTCAAGGGAGAAATAAACTAGCCTCGATTACTCCTGAATTGTCGCGTCGCAGTGGGTCAGACCCATGGACTCAGCGGGCTGACTGTCTGCCTGCTGCGATTTTGAAACCAAAATTCTTGCCCCGGGGGATGGACGGGGCCAGATTCCATGGTTCAATTTATGCATCTTCTTCTTCTTCTTCTTCTTCCCTTTCTCCTCCCCCCCAGCTTCTGCCTGGCTTTGGTCCGGCAACAATGTGCCGGAGGTCAATTGTGCGGTCCTGACCGTTTAGCTGTCAGCTGCATTGAGCCACTGGATTGGTTGAGAATGATCTCCCGGATAGTTGTCGACGACTCGACGGTCACCAAGGCTATTGTGCGGACGATAAAGTGGTTCCTGGGTTCCTGTCGCAAGATAAGATGGGATTTTGGCCTGAGGCAGAGAAGGACAGCCAACAACTCCCAGGGAGAAGGATTGATGACCGAAGCTGGATTACGTACGGAGTACTCGTTCAGACGATCCGGCCTCTAAGTTAGTAAGTTATTCAACTTGCTGCGTCAACTATTCCTCAAATACCTTGCCTGCCAACCTGGTATTACTGTCAGTAGGTAGGGTATTATCCCACCACTCGAATGCGAGGAGGAAGAAACAGGGTTGGGTTGGCTGGAGAGGCTTGGGTACAGGGGAGCCACAGCCATGCGATGACCCTGGACGGTGTGTGTGTGTGCCAGTGTGGCATGGTGTGGCTATTTTAGTGCTTTCATTTCCCCTCCGGGTTTCCTCCCTCCCCTCCCTTGCCGTTTGCTCCATGTGTTCTTTTTGGAGGGAAGACTAGGCCCGCTTCTGAAACGGCGGCCATAACAGATAGATTCTCAGGTTCTCAACATCTCTGCCCTAGTACAGCCACTATTCCGCAATGATCCATCTGTTCGTAGCGATCTACTGGTGGACTCTCTATGCTCATGGTTGACAGGCTCACTAATTTAGCTTCGAACCTCGAGCTTCGACGGGGCTCCCAGCACGCACCTAAATTCCAGGCTAATTGAGAGTTAGTTCCAGTTGACTGTTGAGCAGGCAAATCGCTTACAATTACTCGACACGTAGGTCAAACATGCAGTAAACCAGCATGCGGACGCTCGTTCCTGGATCAGTATGTTCAGGGGACCGGTACCTAGGTATGGAGTCAGCTTGCATATCCCCAACCTTATCACAAGTGGGTGATCACAGGTGGGTGATTAGGTGCCACGGAAGCTATCCTCAAATCGTTAAAGGACTCTGGATGAGGTGTAAGGCAAAGTAGCGATGGTCAACCGAATCAAGGGTGCTCTAATTGGCCTTTGCGGTCCCCAGTCACGATGACATATATCGGAAAAGTAGCCGTGCCGCCATGGCAGACTCGATCGACCCAGGGAAGGAGAGCTCCAAGCACCCGGGCCCGTATAATGTATACTGGAAAAAAAGCGGCACCAGATAGTAAACGGGGCACAAGAAAAGCAGACAACAACCAAATATAAAGATATATAAAAAGATATGACTCCGATGCGGGGAATCGAACCCCGAGCTGCCGTGTGAAAGACGGCGATGTTAGCCGTTACACCACATCGGAAAGAGTTGAAAATATTAATCCATATTCTGCTTTATATCCCACTCTGGATTGTGCAAGACCATAACCCCAGACCCAGTCCTCGCCAGATGGAAACGTGAGCGTGGCCTCTTTCTCCGGCTGGCACCCGCAACCTCACCTCCCCGACCTTCTGCCATCCTCCTCTCTCCAGCCGACTTCCTTCCTTCTTCCATCGGCCAATTCAATCACCCACCCCATAATTCTCTCAATCTTCTTCTCTACTTGCTTTCTTTGCTTTTAGCCTTTTCTTGGTTTCAATTCACAATGGTTAGTTCTGATTCTATCGGTCGCCTCCGTGGCTACCTCGACTGCCCTTTGCGCAAGTGGGATCGTCTCCGTCGAGCCGACCGTTGTCGTTCCATTGTTCATCCAAATGAATGAAACTGACTCTCGAGCTTCCAGGCTTCTCCTCGTGCTGCTTCTCCCTTGACCTCCGGTGCCGAGTCTGGCCCTGACTCCAAGTCTGCCGGCGCTGGCTCCGGTGCTTCTGCCGTCTCCTCCGTCAACCGTCCTTCTTCGCCCACTCCTCCTGGTGGTCCCCGGGCTGCTTTGCGTCGCCGCGCGGCCGCTGACCACAAGGAGTCTCTCCGCAATGTTCGACCCAGCTCGACTCGCGCTGCTGGCGCCGGCGGTTCCTCGGGCACTATGCTGAAGCTCTACACCGACGAGAGCCCCGGCTTGAGAGTCGACCCCGTTGTCGTCCTGGTTCTCAGTCTGGGCTTCATCTTCTCCGTTGTTGGTCTGCACGGTATGTAATCATATGACACTGTTCGAAGTTCAAGTCCTAACAGATCGTGTCTCAAAGTCATCGCCAAGATCACCCGCAAGTTCTCCTCGTAAATTGCCCAATGCTGCCAGCTTGCCGCTAGAGCTTGTCGCCTCTGAATTATCTGGACCACCGGTGATCGGTGGGATCTACCGGCCATGGATCGGATAAGCCGGAGTTGACCACGAGAATTGAATCGTCCATCATTTACCCTTCGAAATCATATACCCCTGGTGTCCCCTTTACCCTTTCTTTCTGCGTGCGCCGGTGATGGAGACATTTTCGCAACACACGCATCGTTGACCCAGCGCGCTCTTATATTTCGTCCGAACTCGAACCTATCTGCCGCATAGGCCGGAACGGATATGCTCGACCCAGCAGAGAAGATTCCCGCGAGGAAGCAAGAGAGGAATTGGAAGGAAATGCAAATGTGTAATTATAGTGCTTATCAATGAAACGCGAGACTTGATCAACCCCCTTTCCCCTCTATCCTTATATTTCTCAATGCTACGTCTAAGAACACCCTACTGGCTCCGACTCAATCAGCCCGCGGATCTCTCTCGCCATCTTCACCACCCCCTCTACATCTTCTACTCTTGGCCCCGGCAACGAACTCACATACCCCTGATACACCTCCTGGAACGGCTCCTGCAGACCTTCCTGCCCCTGATAATCCTGATCGTCATCATCATCACCAAACCCATGAATAGGAACGAGCTTGACATGCGCATAATCGATCTCAAACCCCTCGAAGATCATCCCGCAGCGCTCAACCCCAAACGCGCGAATCAGCAACCTCCCAACGGTATACGCCGCCTCCATCAGCCCCGCATAATCCCTCTCATTCAAAGAGAAGATATCACTCGACAGATGCACCCGCGGCACCACAACCGTGAAGCCGGGCGTATTGGCGAAGGGCGTCAGGAACGCGACGTGGCGCTCGTCCTCCCACACGCGCCACTGTGGGCTATGCTCGCCGCGCACGATCCGCGCGAACAGGTTCTGGTCGTCCGCCGCGCCGCCGTGGAACGTGTGGTCGGCGTGGTAGCTCGTCGGCAACACCGACGCCGCGAAGAGGATGCTGCTGCGGATCGTGTTGAGCCGCGGTGTCGCCATCTGCGGCGCCGACTTCGACGTGATGTACCCTGGGTACTGCGCGTGGAAGTCCGGCGTCGCGTGCGTGATCGGTTGCCATTTGGCCGAGACGCCGTGTAGTGGGAGGAGCGAGATGCTGCGCCCGCCTGTTGTTATTAGGGCGGTGCGCGTCACGGTGTTGGCTTTTTGGAGCGCGGTGGTGAGGGTGCGGAGGGTCAGGAGTGTGTGGAGGAAGGTTTCTTGCGGGAGGTGAAAGAGGTTGTTGGGTTTGTGTTTGGAGTTGCGGCTGCTGGTGCTGCTGCTACTGCTGCTGGTGCTGTTTGTTGTTGGGGTCAGGGTTGCAATTGTGTGGCCTGCGGTTGTTGGGTTGAGGGTTAGGTGGACCGTTAGATCCGTATCTTTGTAGATTGTGGTGTTTGGGGTTGTGGGGTCGGTCATGGTGGTGGTTTTTGTGGTTGTTGTGGTGGTGGTGGTGGTGGTGATGATGTTGAGTGTTTGGAAAAGGAGTATTGGATGGTGTATAGTTGGCTGGATGGTAGCTTCGGGTTTAGTGCTGATAGTGCCAGTATCATGCCACCCACTTCTTTAATTGCGCCGAGTCTCATCTGTGCTTCTAGCCAAGCCTAATACATTGGGTTGGAATCGAGCACATGAGTTGGACAGCATCTCAATATTTATGAACATCGTCACTCATAGTTGCGATGAGGCTGGAATAGGCTGCTTGAAATGGGTCGTTTGATCTGCTACTGCATTTGACCCACAGGTAAGAATCCAAGACCATGACTCAGACTCTTAGCGAAGAGATCATGGGTTGGACAAGCTGGAACACTGTCTAACGTGTATTCTCTAGATGCAGTGCCTGTTATACATTGACTCAGCCAATCAGCGTTACGCAGCTACAAACAACAACTCCGAGGGATGCACAGGGTCCATGGCCAGCATGCAGGACGCGCGTGGGCGTCCCCACGGCTCTAAGCACCGTGCTCAAATCATTAGTGGCAAGATCGAGTAAGCGGTTCGATAATTCAAGATTAGACACCCAGTCTTGGCATCTACAATCAACAGCTCCTTCTCTCGGGCTTATCTCCAGGCTTCGGCTTCTTATCACCAGCCCAACCCTACACTGGCCAATGGTGGGTGTCTTCGCTGACCTCCGCTGATAAGCAGTGCTCTCCCAGCCAATGAGGGGGTCTTGTTCTGCTATCAAGATGCAGTGGAAGTGCAAGAACTGAAAGACTTCATGGTTCGTATCCGTCTCCACGAAAAAGATGCGGCATGTCAAAGCCAGAGCTGCTGGATCTAGCTCGTTCAAGCGGTGTTCCTTGACGGTCCCTGTTTCCCCGGCCTCATGCTGCTGGCCCATTACGAAACCACCGCGATGCGCTCGTCTTATCGATGACTCTTTCTTCCCTAGGAACCCGCGCTCAGATCCAATGACAGCGGCTGATCAGGTCTTTATCCTCCAGCATGGTCGTGTTGATCAGGATGTGGCTGCGAGGTCGGAGACTTCCCAAGGCGCTGCTGGCCTATATCATCTCCTACGGGCCGCCTCTTCTCTGTTGAACGTTCGCACGTATTTTGATTAAACGATCATAGGGAAATTTCAGACTAGAAGTCGACGAATACCCACTCACTAGAAGTATACAGAGGTTTGGCGAGAGCCGTCTATTATGTCTACTGACACAGTCAGTTTCACGGCCCCCCTTTCCCAAGGGTTCGGCTATGGGATCATCATTGGGCTAGGCTTTGCCTTTGCCCTGTTGATGATCTTCATTACGTGGGCGTTGAAGAGGTATTGACCCGAGCCTATGGATCAATTGACTCTACGGCAGTCAAGCTGACTGAGCCCCACAGGTACCAGCATGAAGTACAAACGTCAGAGATGTTCTCAACTGCAGGACGATCCGTCAAGTCGGGACTGGTTGCTGCAGCTGTTGTCAGTAGTTGGACCTGGGCTGCAACTCTTCTTCAATCGTCTACAGTTGCCTATGAATACGGCATCTCAGGCCCCTTCTTCTATGCATCCGGTAGGACCAGCCAACGGACAAAGTATCAACCGTGCCTACTGACGCAATCCATCGTAGGTGCTGCTGTTCAGATCATCCTGTTCGCAACGCTGGCAATCGAGCTCAAACGACGTGCCCCTAATGCGCACACATTCCTGGAAGCCATTCGGGCCCGCTACGGCACCGCCGTGCACATTGTGTTCATCGTCTTCTGTGTGATGACCAACATCCTGGTCACATCCATGTTGCTCACCGGCGGCTCTGCCGTCATGACCTCTCTGACCGGAGTAAACACAGTTGCAGCCTGTTTCCTCCTGCCCATCGGTGTCGTGCTCTATACTCTCTTCGGTGGAATCAAGGCAACCTTCATCACCGACTACATGCACACTGTGGTCATTATTGTCGTTATTTTCATCTTCGCCTTCTCCGCCTATGCGACGAACGAGAAGCTTGGGTCTCCCGGCGCCGTCTATGAGGCGCTTGTCGCGGCGTCGAACCGCCACCCCGTGGAAGGCAATGCAGAGGGAAGCTATTTGACCATGAGATCTAAGGAGGGTGGCATCTTCTGGGTGATCAACCTCGTGGGCAACTTCGGGTTTGTCTTTTCGTCCCCTACAACACGCTGTCACACACTAACCATACAACAGGACCGTATTTCTCGACAACGGCTACTACAACAAAGCCATCGCCGCCAGCCCCGTACACGCCTTCCCCGGCTATGTCATCGGCGGCTTCTGCTGGTTCGCAATCCCCTGGCTCTGCGCCAGCACAATGGGGATGACCGCCCTCGCGCTCGAAGGCACGCAGCGCCTGAGCTCGAGCGATGTGTCCGCGGGACTCGTGCTGCCCTTCGCCGCCGTCAAGCTTCTCGGCTACAGCGGCGCCGTGTGCACCACAATTATGATCTTCATGGCCGTGACGTCCGCCTTCTCGGCGCAGCTGATCGCCGTCTCCTCCATTTTCACATATGATATCTACCAAGGCTACATCAACCCGCAAGCCAAAGGCAAGCGCCTGGTCTGGATCTCGCACATGACGTGCGTAGTGTGGGCCATCGCCATGGCCGCCTTCTCGACGGGTCTCTACTACGCCGGGATCAGCATGGGATACCTGTACCTGCTGATGGGCGTCATCATCTCGTCTGCCGTGTTTCCCGGCGCCATGACCCTAGTCTGGAAGCACCAGAATTGGATCGCCGCGGCGGCCTCCCCACCGCTGGGTCTAGCGGTGTCCCTGATCGCCTGGCTTGTCACCGCGAAGAAGGAATACGGCGTCCTAACCGTCACCACCACCGGCTCCAAGTACGTTCTCCTCCCACCCCAACCCCCAAACCAAGCCAAGAACTAACACAACCCCCCCATAGTTACCCAATGCTAGCCGGCAACGTCGCCGCCCTCCTTAGCCCCCTCATCTTCTCCCCCCTCCTCACCCTCCTCTTCGGCTCCCAAAACTACAACTATGAAAGCATGCGCGCCATCCGCAAAGTCGACGACACGGACGTTATCGTCTCCGCCGCACACATCGACCCGGAACTGGCGCCGCCCACCGCCGCCGAAAAAGTCGCGATCCGCACCGCCGCGCAGGAGGACGAGGAAACTCGCAAGCTCGACCGCGCGGCGTTCTACTCGCGCACCTTGACAGTGATAATGGTGTTCTGCTTTCTTATCCTCTGGCCTGTCCCCATGTACGGCAGCTCGTATGTCTTCAGCAAGAAGTTCTTCACGGGGTGGATCGTGGTGGGCATGCTGTGGTTGTTCTGTACCACGTTCGGGGTGGTGCTATTCCCGTTGTATGAGGGCCGGAAGAGTATGCTGCGGACGGTGCGGTTGATGGCGCTGGATGTGCTGGGTAAAGGCGGTAGGAGGCGCAGGCCGATTGATGGGGAGGTTGTTTCGGGTGGTGGTACGAGTGAGGTGAGTTCGTCTGGGGTGCAGACGCCGGTTTATGTTGGGGAGAAGGGGGTGTTGGAGGGGAAGTAATTGAGACTCGCTTCGCTCTGTTTGGGCTTGGATTTCGATGAGTTTTATGATTATGGATGTGTTTGGTTGTGGTAAGGGGACGTGGGTTTCTTGTGCTGGCTGTGCTTTAGTTTTGGATATATATACCCCCTTCGTTTCATTACATTGGTTACTGTTAGTTAGTTGATAGCGGATAAGACTTTGATATTAAACACCAATCCAGAGCTAAACTATAACACAACACAGCGCAGCATGCAAATCAGCTAGATCAAACTACACAAACAAGCAGGAAGCAAGAGGTATCTTCCAAACACAGTAAACCACGCATAAACCCACACTAACGCGACCCGACCCAACCGAACCCAAACCAAACAAATAAACAAACAAACAGACTCCTCAAACCACTCCAACTACTTATACACAAAGTTCTGCCCTGTCTGCTGCTGCTGCTGCGGCGCCACCGCTCCCGAGGCCTGGGGCGGGGGATAGTACGGCGACCCGCCCCCATACGCAGCCTGTGGCGGCGGCAATTGCCCCGGTATGACGCCCGGCGGCGGTCTCGTATCCGGCGTGATATCCGGACGGTCCCTGGATCGACCTGATTAGCGTTTCCAGTCGTGATGGCCCGGCCATCTCTGGCGGGTTCGGTACATACCCTAGATCCTGCGTGAAGCGGCATGTGTAGCAGGTTACTTCCTATAAAATACGTAAGATTCTGGGTGTGATGTTGAGTGAGGAGAATGACTTACCTTGTATTTGTGCATGGCGAGAGGGATAACGGGCTGGAAACACTATGTCAGTTTCGTTTCCGGTGGTCGTGACGGCTGCACTTACCACAAAGCAGACGGTGAACCAGGGCCTAGGGTTATTAGCTTGTGGTTTGAATGGGTTCTTGAGGGATGATGGGGTCTTACCATCTTGTTAGGCAGTGTCCGTTCCAATGTTGGCCTGATTTATGGAGTGAATTGTTAGTTGGTTGAGTCCGACGGGCAGTATGTATCGGTGCTATTTTTGGAATGCAGCGGTGCGGCTACTGGGTATATCCTCGTAGGGTTTACAGTTTATCAACCGGGGGGAATGCAATATACTTACAGTTGTAGCAGTAGGCGCGGACATTCTCGTAGCCTTCTAGCATGGATGTGAATTCTGGAGAGTGTTAGTGATTCTGACCCTCCGGTGTACCTATGCATCTCAGGGTTTGGGGGTGGCGAGGAGCGATTCGGGAGCAGTGGAGTTCAGGGTTAGTGGTTGGACACGTACCATGAGTCCCGAAGGTGATGCAGATGGCCATCTTGTGGTTGTGCGATTGTCAGGGGATGGTGTAGTTTAAGGAAGGGATAGAGTAGTGAGAATCAATTCCCAGAAAACGTGACGTCGTTGGTAATTTGGGAGCTTTGAAACGAAGGGAGACCATCGCACGGGGGAGGCAGCCATGTTTAAAGCGCTCGGGGGGGCTGATGTGTGGCGGCGGTGTGGCTTGGCATCGGGTGGTTACTGCTGCCGGGCCTGGGCTTGGCGGGCCGGTCTCGGGAGTGCCATGGGGTTGGTAAGTTGGTTGGTCTTGTGGTTCCCCCTGTACGACTCCATCCATGCCTATGGGTTGACTACCATCAACTTAAGTTTTTCACTCCATATCACAATAAACTCTCGGCAAGAACAACTGCGACTAAGCAATCAATTATCCTAGGCTTCTTATCTCTAGCAATTTTGTGATTCCAGAAAATACTCCTGCAAATGGTAGCTTGTCTGTGCTTGTAGAGCGCCTCTCTCCGGCCCGTTGCCCTCTCAGCAACTCCCAAGAACATCCTAACAAACCACCCCAATTCCCTTCAATTTCTGTATGACACATATCTCGGCGCGACTCGCCTGCAAAGAACTCCGAAATAGGTACAGGAAACGCTTGAATGACATGGACCGGTGTACGCCCTTCGCATGCTTATTGAGTCTTGAAAAGGAGGATGGCGCAGTGACCGAGGTAGAAGTAGATGAAGTGTTTCGTCTCTGATAGTCCCGAGTCAGTGCATGCCATCCACAACCTGACCAATGTACCCACCGTGTGTCACAAAGCTGCCAAAGTTCCTTCCCACCACGCAGTGCCATGTCGCACCCTTGCGCGAGTCGAACTGTCAAGTTGTGAGCGGAATGCTGGGTCCTGAGTGATGCGACAAGCTGACCTCTCTCTTGATGTACTGGGCGATGTCCTGGGATGGTCAGTACTGTTTGTGTGGATGGTTTGCGATCGGAGAATCTACCTTCTCAATGTGGTACTTGTCCATCGCCTCGATCGCTAAATAGACCGCATTAGTTGGATTCGATATAAACCCCACGGTAAACCGTACCGACTTCAACAGCCTCCTGCTGCATATCCTCCGTCTAGTGCCCTGTCAGTGTCGCCCCAAGCTCATCGCAGTCGCTTTCCCTTACCATATCGACGGACTTGATCTGCGCTAGACAATCCCATTAGCTCTCGTCCGCCAACTGCTGCGGTTTGACTCACGCTCAAGCTTGTCCTTCTTTTCGGTAGCCATCTTGCTTGCTATTTATCGTCAAGGATAAAGAACTGTTGGGAAAGAGATTCAGGGCACGGAAAAACGTCAAAAATGGTTTGCGCAGAAGATTGCCTGCCAATGAAGCCCAACCAGGAGTATTGGGAAACAACAATTCCAGGTTGCGCGCAATGAATGTTCCAGACAGATGGGGGCTCGGGTCCTGCCGCCCCACACACCGCCTTCGGCACTATAAGGAAGCAAAAAATAAAAAAGCACTCCTCCCCAAATTTTTTTACTTCCCGGATTTGTCTCTCTTCCACATCCCGATTCCTGTGGCACGCACAACCTTCGAGAGAGTAGGCCACAGGAACCTGAAGCAAACACTACTCAATCATGGCAAGCACCAGAGTTTTCGTCTCTGGCCTTCCGCCAACTTTCTCTGATGATCAATTGAGAAAGCATTTCGCCAGTCGCTTCCAGGTCACGGATGCTCATGTATTGCCCAAACGCAGGATCGGCTTCGTGGGCTTCAAGAGCCCCGAGGCTGCTCAAGAGGCTGTGTCTTATTTTAATAAGACCTACGTGAAGATGTCCAAGATCTCAGTAGACATTGCTAAGCCGGTATGTCTTTCATTCCTTCGCATATGTCGCACCTGTTTTTTCTTGCCTTCTTTTTTTTTGTCTTCCCCGCTGACAGTTAAGGTGGTCTTGGGACTGACCAGTAATCTGTAGATTGATGCCGAACCCATTCCCAGAGCCCGCAAGTCTGGCCATCCCAAGGATAATGACGAGGCGGGAAGCTCGCTCAAGCGTAAGCGCGATGGCGAGAAAGCTGAGGACCCTAAACTGCAGGAGTACCTTTCCGTAATGCAGCATTCGTCCAAGACTAAGACGTGGGCCAACGACGACGCTGTCCCCCAAGTCCCGGAGACCAACTCACCTGCAGATCAGCCTGTTGAAGAGCAAGAAGAGCAAACCCAAGAGCTCACCTACGCCCAGAGGAAGAAGGCCAAGCTTGGCGACACCTCGGGTGATACCAGAGAGTCGCACAATGCGGACCAACAGGTTGTTGCTGAAGCAGAGCCCGAGCCTATGGTCGTTGATCACAGTGGCGAAGGTGATGTTGAACCGTCGGCGGATCAGGATGCTGCTGCTGCTCCTGCTGAAGAGCAAGGTCCTGTCTCGGACGCGGACTGGCTTCGCTCCAAGACGAGTCGTCTCCTTGGCCTCCTGGACGAGGATGAACAAGCCGAGTTTGGCTCTTCCGCTCAACAAAAGCCCACTGCTTCTCCCGAGGTAGTAGAGCCTGAGATGGAGGTTGACACCGAGCGTGCTCAGGATGTCACACCCGCCGAAGAAGCTCCCGCTGGTAGCATAGCGAAGGAGCCGGAGGTCGACACGAATATTGAGAACATTCGCATATCCGCTCGTCTCTTTGTCCGCAATTTGGCGTATGACACGTCGGATTCGGACCTCCAACCGATCTTTGCTCCTTTCGGCCAAATCGAAGAGGTTAGTAACCTGATTTTGATTCTGTTGTACATTGCCCAGCCCTGCCCTCACCCCCCAAGCTCAATGATGAACGACCTGATAGGGACATCCGATGCAAAGCACATGATGTTGCCAGGAAACGAGTATTTTAGTAGATGCCTCGCAGATCTGAAAGAGCTATCCCTTCTCATGTTATTATTCCACTCATCAGCTTGCTGGTCAATACTAACATGACTAGATTCACGTTGCGATCGACACTCGGTCGAATACCAGCAAGGGTTTTGCTTACATCCAATATGTTAACTCTGATGCTGCCGTAGAGGCCTACAAACAGCTGGATGGCAAGCATTTCCAAGGCCGCTTAATGCACATTCTACCGGCTGCTGCTAAGAAGACGTATAAGATCGACGAGGTTGAGCTGGCGAAGCTGCCACTGAAGAAACAGAAGCAGATCAAGAAGAAGATGGAGGCTACTTCTTCCTCTTTTAGCTGGAACTCGCTTTACATGAACGTGAGTCAATCTGCTGCGCACGCAAGTTGCCCCTATGCTAATTGCGCCTAGGCCGACGCTGTCATGTCTTCAGTAGCTGAACGTCTTGGCGTTTCAAAAGCTGACCTGCTGGACCCCACATCATCCGATGCAGCGGTCAAGCAAGCACACGCTGAGACGCACGTAATCCAAGAGACGAAAGCCTATTTTTCAGCCAATGGCGTCAACATTGAAGCCTTTAAGCAACGGGAGCGTGGAAACACGGCTATCCTAGTAAAGAACTTCTCATATGGCGTCAAAGCTGACGACATCAGGAAATTATTTGATCCATATGGGCAGATCACCAGGCTACTGATGCCTCCCAGCGGTACCATAGCGATTGTTGAGTTTTCGCGGCCAGATGAGGCCCAGAAAGCCTTCAAAGGCCTTGCGTACCGCAAACTCGGGGACTCCATCCTCTTCCTAGAGAAAGCCCCCAAAGATCTGTTTGATCCCAACGTCGTGCCGCAGAAGCCGACCACCGAGATCAAGGCTGTCTCGCAAGGATTCTCAACGGCTGACACATTTGCGGCGGATGAAGTCGTTGATGAGAATCTACCCACCACTACCCTATTCGTAAAGAACCTCAACTTTTCTACCACCAACCAGAGCTTTGTGGATCTCTTCCGACCACTTTATGGGTTTATCACTGCTAGGATCAAGACCAAGCCCGACCCCAAGCGTCCTGGACAGACTCTCAGCATGGGCTTTGGCTTTGTTGAGTTCCGCACCAAGGCCCAGGCCCAGGCTGCTCTGGCTGCCATGAATGGCTACAAGCTTGACCAGCATGAGCTGGTGGTCAGAGTGTCTCACCGTGGAATGGATGCCGCGGAGGAGAGGAGACGGGAGGATACCGCAAAGAAGGTGGCCGCCAGACGGACGAAGATCATCATTAAGAACTTGCCGTTCCAGGCCACCAAGAAGGATATTCGGTCGCTCTTTGGCGCCTACGGCCAGCTTCGCTCTGTGCGGGTGCCTCAGAAGTTTGACAGGACGGCTCGTGGTTTCGGTTTTGCTGACTTTGTAAGCGCTCGTGAAGCGGAGAATGCTATGGACGCCCTCAAGAACACGCACTTGCTGGGCAGGAAGCTGGTGCTGGAATTCGCCAACGAGGAGGCCATTGACGCTGAGGAAGAGATCAAGCAGATCGAAAAGAAAGTAGGGGAACAGATGGACAGGGTGAAGCTACAAAAACTTAGTGGTCCTGGGCGCAAGAAGTTCACTGTAGGGGCCCAGGACGAGGAGTAGAGTCCCCTCTCTACCCTTGGTACTCTTTTACTTCCTTTCTCCCTGTTGATAGGGACGGACAATGGCAATGGTGCACTGTTGGTGACGATATCCCTTGCGTCCGGACACTGAATTTCGAGAGCGGAAGCAGGTTCACACGTTCTCCTGCGGCTGTCAACACGTACATACGCGTCCTGCACAGCGAGCGGAGGCTCTCGTGCCTGTTCTCACGAGAGTTTCAACCTGTCATCCCAGTAGGTCCCTTTTTATCCAAGTTCTCCGTGCCGTTCAAGGCTCACGGCTTCCCTTAACTCCTTATACCTACCTACCAATGTATACCTTCAATCAACTCGAAACCCTTGGTTATGGACGTGAGAATTAAGCTGGAGCTAGGATCCTCGCCAACATTCCGACCTGATCTTCGTAATTACCTCGTCACATTCCAAATCCACGGCCGGCAACGATGCTGTTGGCTGGCGCTCCATTCCAAAAGCTGGCCTTTGCCACAACTCGTCCGACTTGGATGCTGTGTACCTGCTTTTCAGGCAGTCGATGTCCATCTCATGCTGCGAAAACCTCCGAGTCGCATCCCCACTGGAGCGTGCACCCTGAGGGGTCCCCCCTTGCATCACTCTTCCGCTCGTGCCCATTGTGTGCTTCCTTCCCTCCTGATTTGCTCCCCCGCGGTCTTTCCTTGGCTCATCACTCAATCTGGACGCGTGAGGCCCGAGAGGAGATTCCCTGGCCCGCCTTGAACAATCGAGGTTCGTTGCCCTAGAGGGGTGGTCCATCAACAACAGCGTGATCAAGTAATGTCACTGGGCCTCCCTCTCCAGGGAGAGAATGGTTCCCTATAAACACCATGCTGCTCGCTCCCACATTCTCTCTCGTAGGTTCTTACATTCTCTCCAAGCATTTCCGTTCTTGATCGCTGGGTTGGTGACTGCTGCGTTCTTTGCCAGGCAGTAGTAAGCATTTCGCGGTCCTCATCACCCCATCTTCTTGGAATTCGTCACCATTCTTTCCAAGAGCCTATCCTCTGGTGGTCCGCCCCATGGCTACTGACTGGCAAACGGAGTGTATTCTGCCTCAACATCAACCAACTCTGGACAGTATCGGAGCTCATACGGACAGAGCGTTGCAGAATACCTCTGGGAACGTTCAGACGTACTCGGACAGCCTCGCACACAGTGGGATCACAGGTCGGGATGACCATCTGCATCATCTAGCTTACAAGTATCCTCAACCGCCTTTGCCAACGCACCCAGTGCCTACAGTCCCTAGCCTTGGACACTCTCAGAGCCTACGATTCCAGGCAAAGAAGCTGCGGCGTCTGCAGTCCCTTGGTCCGAACCTCGTTGGGCCGCGTCGACCAAGAAGCTACCTCAGATCCCAGAAGTACCTCGAGTATCGAGCCCGACCTCGCCGGGACACTGGCAAAGATGGGGAACCGGTATGGTCGGACGAACTTGAAGACGCGTTTCAACAAGGTAAGCAGCTTGGAGAGTGGTCGTGGAGAGGCATCCAAGTAACCGTTCTGCAGCTCTCGAAGCGAATCCGCCGATGGGCCGACGGAAATGGTCAGAACGAGGAAAGTCCTATGGTCGAAATGAGCTTATTGCTGAATACATCTACAACAAAACTGGTAAGCGACGAACCAGAAAGCAAGTGTCCAGCCATTTGCAAGTCCTCGACTCGTTCCTCAAAGGAGACCCGGACTGTAAGTTTTTCCTGGGGGAGGAAGATAACACACAAGGCGTCAAGATCTAACGCAGGTCAGGGGAGCGACTCGTACGCGAAGAGGCGGCCGTCCGTTCGAACAGCCAACATCCGCCCAGTGGTCCAAAATGGAGGGCTTCCTTGGACCCTCCCTTGCCAAGTCATTATGGCAATCACTTCCACGCCCCCCATTATGATCATTTAAGGTTGGGGCAGGGTTATGCTGGCGATATCCCCTCGGCGCACATCTCCCTCAACTCGAGCCTCCACGACGCCAACATCAACACCATCCGGGGGCTTGGGTTTGATATGTGGGTCAGCGCTCCTGACAAGCCAAACCGCATCGACAGCGCCCTTCATGCCTACAGTCGCCTCCAGGGGGACCAACGCCATCCTGTTGCCCCACCGATGCCCTTGAAAGACATTCCGGGGTGGCAGACATCCTTTCCTCATCTGAATTCCTTGATTGCAGACCCCAGCACACCTCTTGATTGTGAAATTATCCTACTCGAAGCCAACCTGGAGTTGATGAATGACTTCCCCCCTATCCACTCGAAACTAGGCATACACCTGGAGCTCGACTTTGCCGAAGCAAGTGGAGGAGATGTCCCTATGGTTAACCAAATGGGCGATTGGACCTGTAAAACGTACATGTATGAGAATGGACAGAAGACTTTCGAAGGATGTCAAGATATTGCTCAACCCGAGTCAACCAAGGTCAAGCCACTTTTTGAATCGAAATGGTGGGCTCGACTCTTCACCCAGCTCACGCAGGACCAGAAAATGGCCGAGAGGGCCGGGCAACACCACGTTTCGGATGAACACGCCAGGCAATTTTTCCGCACCCTGACAGTAGTGCAGGAAATTCGGGCCATGGCCCCTTATAGCTTGCGGCGCATGTCTAATTCATACTCGGATCATGGCCTGACCGAACCGAAGCGAGTCGCTATCCTGCTCTGGAAGTTCCGCCAGACACGACCTAATGAGGTCGGTACCACAACCTGGCGCCGTATCATTCCTCCTCCAGAGCGGACAACGCATGCGAGCCCCAAAGCACCGAATGGCCTCGATCTTCCACCTCTCCCATTAGACTCACTCCTGATGCACCGTCCCGCCCCAGGAGCCTACCATCCGTCTCAGCCTCATGAGCTGCTTCACAGCACTACTGCTCCCCAGCACCACTGGCCACTTTATCAACAGCCTCAGGACAGTGTGGCGCACATGTTCAGCTCCAATGGACCGTTTGACTTCCTAGGGCCCATCCCCAAGGTAGAAGATCGCCTGGGTGACAAGACATCGGTGACCTCGGTCCTGGATTCCTTCTCTCATCTCCAGCCCCATGAGACCAGCCAGCCCACCAGCCTCGGCGGCTCAACTGGCGGACCGGTAATGATGAGCGTTCCGGATCTTTCTCTGTCCCATTCCAGCCTCTCTGGCTATAGCATTGGGCATGATGGGCACTATGTGCCGCCGCAATCTCACGGCGTCAACGTTCACGACAACAACAACGTGCTCAATAGTATCTTCGGGACCAGTGCTCAATCTCTCGACGATATCGGCCACAGCCACGCCGCGTGGGCGACACCCACGACAAGCGGCATCCAGGGAGATGTCACCGGCGACAATTACACGCATCTCCATCACTTCCAGACCTCTGACCACCAGAGTTCTGTGCCTCGGGAGTCGCATGCGGCTACCAGTTTCGAGGGGCTGCTACCACCGGATGATCTAATGGACAAGTTAGTCGGAAGTATGCCCGGTGACCCGTCACTAAACGGGGTTGGTCATGATCATCCGCACTCTGCATATGCAGACAGTAATTCGGTGGAGGCCACTTAATATATACATGGTCCATCTTGACGATAATTCAGGAGTGAGGGGGGGTATTTTCCCAAAAAGCACATTTTGTAATATCATTCTTCTCGGGCGGGTTCTTGGATGGGATAGTTTTTTCTTGGTTCTGGATAACCTTTTATTGATACCTAATTGATTCGATTCTTGACGACTTGTTACTAAGTAAAGGGGGATATACTCTTCCTTAAACTAAACCATGTGTAGCATTAGATTGTAGAAAGTTCGCTGCGGTTGGAGAAGCAGCCAAGCAGTCAAGTGGGCCGGGGAGGAGCCATTTAACCGGGCCCGCCTGCATTTAGCCGCGTTGACAACAAATGAACAAACAGCCGCCAGAAAGTATCTCATTTTAGCCTGGAAAGCCTCAATCATCCGATGCTGTCCCTGCTTAATTGGGTTCAATGCCGTCAATTAAACTTTGGCACATTCGGAGACTCCTGAGGGGGGATGGAGGGGCAATTTTTCTTTTAACCATCTCCGTCCCCTCCCCCGCTGCTCCCCCTCAATTCACTCTTCTCCCTCATTCCTCTCTTTCTCTCTCAGATAGACACCGGAACCTCATTTACAATGACATCGCCCACCGTCAAGCTCAACAGCGGCCACGAGATGCCCCTCGTGGGCTTTGGTCTGTGGAAGGTGAACAACGACACCTGCGCGGACCAAGTCTACCACGCGATCAAGGAGGGATACCGTCTCTTCGACGGCGCCTGCGGTACGTTCACAACTCTTCCTCCCTCGAGTCATTCCGTCATTTACCCGTAACTTACTGATCTCCCATCATGCAGACTACGGCAACGAGACGGAAGCAGGTCAGGGCGTGGCGCGGGCGATCGCCGACGGCCTCGTCAAGCGCGAGGACCTCTTCATCGTGTCGAAGCTGTGGAACAGCTTCCACGACCCGGAGCGCGTGGAGCCGATCGCGCGCAAGCAGCTGGCCGACTGGGGGCTGGACTACTTTGACCTGTACATCGTGCACTTCCCCATCGCGCTCAAGTACGTCGACCCGGCGGTGCGGTACCCGCCAGGCTGGGACTCCGAGAACGGCAAGCTGGAGCTCAGCAACGCGCCGATCCACGAGACGTGGAAGGCGATGGAGACGCTGGTGGACGGCGGGCTGGCCAAGAGCATCGGTATCAGCAACTTCAGCGCCCAGCTGGTCATGGACCTGCTGCGCTACGCCCGCGTCCGCCCCGCCACCCTGCAGATCGAGCACCACCCGTACCTGACGCAGACGCGGCTGGTCGAGTACGCCCAGAAGGAGGGTCTGGTTGTCACCGCGTACAGCTCGTTCGGACCCCTCAGCTTCCTGGAGCTCGACGTCAAGGACGCCGTCAACACCTCGCCGCTCTTCGAGCACAACACCATCAAGCAGATCGCCGACAAGCACGGCCGCACCCCCGCCCAGGTCCTCCTGCGCTGGGCCACCCAGCGCGACATCGCCGTCATCCCCAAGAGCAACGACCCCAAGCGCCTGCAGCAGAACCTCGATGTCACCGGCTGGAACCTCGAGAATGCCGACATCGAGGCTATCAGTGCTTTGGACCGTGGCCTGCGCTTCAATGATCCCTTGGGAGTGAGTACTCTCCTTCTGCCCCTCTTCAGCGAGCTGTGATGGATACTAACCGACTTGACAGTACGGGATCTATGTTCCGATCTTCTAGTTATGAGAAATGATGTATGAATGAAAGAACCCGTTTTCCATCTTCAAGTGTACACCTCTTGTATGTAGTTTAGCGTCACTACATGTACGCAATGGCTAGTCTACGTTTGACCCACATTCACCGAACAGATTATCGAGTTACCTCCTCGAGGCATTTATATTTGATTCCATTGAGCCTCTATACCAGTTACCTTACCTTTGATAGATGTACCTCGCAAGGCTTTAACAGCCCTTTTGATACAGGAGGTCACAAAGACCATCCATGCAGCCAGCTACGGCGGGCCGTGCACGCCTTCCGCGCACCCATGGTGATGATATCTGATTTCCTCATTGTCTGCTCTCCTCCTCTTTGACACCATCAATCCTCTGAGGAAATTGTAGATCTCAGCATAGACTCTATGCTAATCTCCTCTTACCTTCTCACCATCGTATAGCGTACATCAGAGCAAGTAAAGAGTCCCCCCCATCCCTCAATAGTACGGTATAGCCGAGGGAAGCACCCAAGTCAAACCGCAGAACCACTTAACACTTAGAGCAACCCCGATGAGCATCGTACAGTCACCTGCCCGAGCGCAAAAGTGTGAGCTCCGGATCCGCAGTCCACCGCGTTTGGGTCAACACCGGGGAAGACATAAGTACGGGGCCCCTGCACTTGATTATACCTATTACCTAGTCGCATTCAGTTCTGGGTATTTACCTGGTGCTGAACTAGGTACTCTCTTCTAGAATAGAGTTCACCGGGTTTTGTAGCTTGAGGAGCTGCATTAGAGAGGGAAACCAGGAATTGGGCGGCGCGGTGCATGCATGCATGCATTGTGGATTTCGTTGGTTTGGTTTGGTGGGTTGGATGGATGTCGGGATCTCTGTGAGTACTTGGTACTAAGTATGATGTGCTGAGCGGGCTAGATGGGGTGCTCTGCTTACAGCACTGCGCTTACAGTACTGTGCATTGGGTTGGGCAGGAGCTTTTAGGTAGATACTCTTACTTAGGTAGGTATTCTCTGGTACCTTAAGTTCCCGTGCTGCGGACTGTAGTTTCTGCTCTAGGGGAATATGATTGGATCTGACGGGTTGGCGTGGATTGGGACTGTAACTGTTCTGGACCGACGGGTTGAGTGAGCTAAGGGATTCTTTTCCGTGGGCTCGGCTTCCCCTTCCACTTCCTCAATAGCTTTGGGTAACTAGAAATGTGGAGGTATTGGATAACAGTAACAAGATACTTGCGCCTACCGTGAGTTGCCCATTTTCGTGGACTGCGTTTATGGTTTAGAACTGGTAGGTAGTACGGTGCCTTTTCCTTGATCCGGCAGGCAGTCATGCAGGCCGGCCTGCTTATGGTTGGGTTCGGCAGTGAGAACCGGGAGTGGACCGCCTAAGGTGAGTGACTACGATGATGGACGGTGCAGGGAGGTCAAGTCGAGCCGTGCTGAGCGTCCTGAACTCCGAATACATGACCTGAGTAAACTGCCGAATAAAGCCGAGTGGAAAGGAGCCTCCGTCTGGTGCTGAGGTGGCCATGCGCCGTACTTTCGTCGAAGGCCTGCATAACTTACTTATAGCAGAAGCTGGTGTGCTTGGGCCACCGGGCCTCTGGACGGCATCGATAGCGTCTGCAAACTCCAGATCCCCGCCGGACACCCTGCTGCGCGATGACGTTGCTCCCTAACGGGATTACGGGGGTCAAGGAACTGCATTTGCCGGATGAAGTAGGGGAGTGGAGGGGCCTTGAATGATTAGCACGCTGGAGCCTCTAAGCCCCCTCCCTCGCTCCTTTCCACTACTATTGACTTCAGGGTCAAAGTTGAGGGATTGTTGGTCAATGTGGCGGCAGGGGAACAATGGTCATTGTTTGGTTGGGTTGGGTTGGGGGTGGCGGTGAATGAGCCAGTTTGTACGGAGTAGTCGGACATCCCTTCCTTTATTAGGGTCAGGAAGGTCTCTTAGGTGGGAAGGCACAAAGAGATCCGAAGAATAGAAAAAGCAAAGCCGACTTCGTACTCGTAATTTGGTCGATAGTTCCGGAGACGAGATATTATCGATCGCCGAGCGGATGCGAGGCGTCTTAGCCGGAGTGATATCTCGGATCCTCAATGTGATCTGTCAGTCGAGCTAGATCTTGCCCTTAGGGGTTGTTCGACCAGTCCGGTACACCGGAGGCTTGGAACCTAGATTAGTAGCTTGACTAGTGGACTTGGGCCCATCTGATAGGTCTGGGCACCCTAATTGGCGTCCTTCAGAGATCCTGCGCTAGGGGTGTTCATGAACGGCCATGGTGAAATCAAGCTGCTCGGTTGATTTCCGTCAACCAGCAATCTCAAGTGGGACCGACCGACCTTGAAATAAAGAGTGCCAGGGGAGGGGGAAAGTGGTGATGAACATCCATGGTTCGGAGTGAGGGTGGGATCAGAGCGGGAAATGGGAAGGGTAGGGCCAGAATAAGCATAACGGTAGCGTAGATTAAGCGCCTTTGCAAAGTCTGGTTCACACCGGGGAATGGGGAATAATGGGGGGGGTAAAAGGAATGGTGGATGATGGTCGCCGGTCCGCCTGTCAACAATACCCGGGAACGGTTTCTGCTCCCCCCGTGCTAGTAGTGTTTTCTCTCTACCTGTTCTGGCCCAAAAGGCAACCGAACACTTCATCGTGCAGCTCTTCTGGACCTGTAAATGGACGAAATAGGAAAAAGGGGTGGGGGAGAAGAGGGGAGGGGTGCACTGTAAGTATTCGGGTCGTGTGGGAGAGTAAGACAGACAAAAACTTGTCGCGCGAGAGGGAAAATCAAGAAATAGAGCCGCCTTGACCCTTTGTTTCTTCAGTTCTTCTTCTCTCTCTCTTTGGCCCTCCTTCCTTTACTCCGTAGTCTAGGCTTGGTCTTCGTCGGACTGCAGATGTTCTTTGATCATGGTGGAAGTCGGGTGGGAGCCAATTGCAGTGGTGGGAAGTTGAATCCCCATAATAGCCCCATAACCCACAGTGGATGTTTGTGGTGTTTCTCTCTGTTGTGCGTGTGACTTTTTTTTTTCTTTGCCGGTATTATGATTGTTCGCCTGGCGTACGGCTGGCTGCTCTCAATTTCAGCACCCATCAATACAAAAATCATTTACCAACAACAATATAATCAGGGCACAGATCTCGATCGAGGTCGGATCCCTTATTCCCTTCAGAGCCGATAAACCCGTCCACTACTAATCCCCCCTTCCTCACAACGTGGCATCATCAACCAAACGAACTTCTGCTGGAGCAGGAGAATAATCGAGGCGAGCATCACATTCGGAGACTTGCTGACATGTTTCTTCTCCGTATGGTCGTCGATCACAAGCCCTCGTTCGGATCCCGACTGGACAGAACAGTTCAGTCCGGGGCTGAAGAGATCCTGGCCCTTTTCTATCTCGTTACACGAATCTTGTTTTGTTTCCCCCTTCGCTTTCTTCCCTCGGATGATTCAGTCGTTCTTGCTTGCATGACGTTTTCCGACTCCGAACCGTATCGGTCATTGACCCCAACCCTTATCTGAGTCCGACTTGTGTGTGGTTTTTCTGTCGCCTCTCGTTCGGCCCCCTCCTTCCTGCAAATTTTGCTTTTTTCCTTTCGGGGTCTGCAGGCACAATGATCGAATGCCCGTCGTCCTCCGGGCTTCCGACCCGGATCGTAAAGACCTGGGCACTGGTATCTGTCACCCTTGCATAAGCCATGCCAATCTTCGGTCGCTTGCTTTTTCGCTGATCCATTCTTCGTGATCAATCTCGCCATGAGTTTCCGATAGTCTTTGCGGGCAATGCTGCGCCAATTCACCGGCACGATGACGACAGACCTTTCATCCCACTGCTGGACAGGATGGACCATCCTATCCCTCTGAAGATCAACGGTTTTGTTGTCCTGGAAGCCAGCACTTTGAAGCTTGCAAATCATCCTGTTGCGGACTTCCGGGAGCCAGTAGCTCCGCAGTTGATGCGGCTAGATGCAGCTGCCACAGCCATCTATTAAGTTCCAGGATCCGTATGCGTCTCGAAATGCAGTGAGTGCATCTGAGATGAGTGGCTAATGGACAGGGGAAGAAGAGAAATAAAAAAAGGGAGAACAAGAATAATGGAACAGGCACGGACGAACAAAGGGGGAAGCGAACGGATACGCTGTATGGACCGAGGGGAAAGAAGCGTAATTGTCAGCCGCGCTCTTACACGGCGTGAACCCGACAACCCTCAGATTATGCACGAAGAGGCAGCGTAGTCCAACCAGAAGGTCAACAACACTATTTAAGTAAGGTTAGCTCTTCGGCGCTGTTGAATTTCGTCTCGTCGGAAAAGAAGGTGCCGCCCTAGGCACAGTACTTGGGATGATCATGCTTACCTTGTCGACATTGCTTCAGCGACATTCTGGTCGGCGCAGGAGGGTTACCAAGCCCCCAAAGGCCCCAAGTCATCTTTCCAACCAGATGGGATAGTCTTCTCGATGGCGAGGGGCAGAGGAGTGGGGAGACGCATCCTCTGCGAGCTGCGTGTCAAATCCAGGCAATGTGATGCATCCATCGAGCTAGAATCCTAGAATGCAGCGAGCTAAGCAAGCTGACTTTCCAGCCTGATCTGTTGTTCCCCACGTCTGCACGTTGAAAAGAGGCCCACCTCCACTGCGATTCTTCCTTTTGTTTTTGTTCCTCTCTTTTAGCTGCTGCAGTCGTTGGCTTCAGTCGTTCGAGTTTCTTTCCTCTCCTCTATCCTCTTCTACCCCTCCTTCTTTCCTTTCTATCACAGCCCCCCAGTGATTGTCCTGCCTCTCCGATCCGTTTCCCTCCCCGGGCAGAGTGTTCGCAGTTCGAGGAAAGCTACTCAGGTAGAGGCAGCATCGCAGGCGATTGATACGCCCGTCTCCGAAAAAGGTCGATCGCGCGGTGGTACAGAAAGTACGAGGGGTCGAGAAGTTGCGAAGAATATCCCCGAGGTGTGCGAAGTTCGATAGGGAATTGGCTGCAGCGTCTGGCGAAGGGAAGACCGAACGGCAGGGGATCGCACCTCGTGACACCGACTCGGGTTGTCGTCGCCCACCAGATCAGAGGACCTGCGAGTTTTGCGACCTTGCGACCTTGCGACCGAATCAAGACTCGCACCGCACCTCGAGGGCGTGCGCCGCAAGGACGAGTGAGAAGTGTGGGTGGGCATCAGCTCCTGATCGAAACGAAGTCAATTTTAAGGCCTTCTCCTCGCGCCAAACAAAGGGTTCGCCGGTTAGCTACGAGTGGGCCTGTCAGGGCCCCGGACCCCCTCGCTCTGCCCGTCTGCTCGCCCTTGGATCCTTCTTTGTTAAGAACACGGATCCCGGTGGATGACATAAGAAGAATCCGCTCAACTCAAGGTTCGTGTCCTTGTGACAGTGAGGATGATTGTTGATACGAATTCCTTTGTGTGATCTACCCTGACCACGCTGATTCTTTGTCCGATCAGGAAAAGGCCGTGAGGGCTTAGCGATTGAGTCCGACACACCGAATCCCCTCAGCGCGCTCGTGGGGGTGTGAAGGGTGCGCGCGCGTGTGTGTCTTTGCTATCTACAGATGACCTTTCTCCGCTATCGATTACGGCGATAACGATCCAATCAATACATAGTTAGGGGAAGAAGGGCCGCGGACTGGAATGCTTAGACGCGCGCACCGACCAGCATCGAGCAGTTTGTCGGCGCCAATTCCAGAGTCGGAGACCCTGCGTGTGGCGCCTAGATACGGGTCCTCATCACCTGCATAGCCGGCTCCATCTCCGCGTGCACGAGGCCAAACCTTTTGTGCCTGTGGGCTGGGGTTCGAGCTCGGGGAAGCGAGTGGTGGTTTGCCGCAGACGCGGTGGATTTCATGCTTAGCTCGAACAGTCCGTTGTCAGTCGGTCTGGCCTAGACGAAGTTGACTTTGGGGCGTCTGTTGGATCTGACGTTGGGCTGCGCCCCTCCTGCAGCACACTTGCGTCGGAACTTGCCAATGTGCGCATCATCTCCATGTCGCTGCGGTTCCTGTCGGATCGTCAAGACTGATACACACCTTAGCCCGCTTGCCTAACCGTGGTCGTCTAACCTGCGACTGGGAACGACATCCATTATTTGACGACCGAAGAGTGGCCGGTTGTTGCTCTATTCGTCTGGTACTGCTCCACTGGGCCATTTGTCTGGTTCAGCTGGCGCTGACCGTTTCCTCTTTTTTTTTTTTTTTCTCTCTTCTCTTTTTTTCTTTGGTCGTTCCAGTAAAATTTCATCCTAGGCTTACCTCTTTTTATCCTTACCCATCTAATTTCCTGACACACTTACCCTCAATTTTTATTTTTTTGAAGGGAAGCATTTTATTTGTGCGTCAGAAGACAGTCAGAGGCGACTCGGGTTGACCCATCATTCAGCTACAGTCTGATCGCTGGGCGGTGTTTCGATTCCGCCACACTTACTCCTCTCTTGTCTAGGTAGCTGTTCTCGCTTCCTATTGCTGCATTTCGATCTATTTTTGACTTTGGCCAAAAAATTTCTAAAAGGACGTGCGGGGAGCCACAGTGACTTAGTGCTGAGTTCGTCTTTGACCGAGCGTGGGTTTGTCTGTGTGTCGGTTGTTTGTGTGTGTGTGTGTGTGTGTGTGTGGTGGTCTTTGAACCGGGTCGATCGGATTTTCTATTATTCACACCAAAATATTCCCTTATTATTATTCGATTTGGGAAGTCATCTAGACCTGGTGTGGGTTGGATGAACCAGATATTGCTCGGTCGCGACAGTCTGATTTGATTTCGGGCGAAATTTCTTGGGGGAGAAAGCTTTCTTTGGAAGAGAGCAGACGAGCAGACGAGCAGTTGCGACGAAATTCGACATTTCGTCATCGGTGAAGGAATCACTCTGTCAGTTCGGAAAAGAAATTCGGTTTAGAAAGAAAGGTCAAGAGAGGGAGAAAAAGGAAAAAGAAAAAGCAAAAAAGGCAACCTGAAAGAAGAAAAGAATAAGAGGAAGTCGAAAAGAAACAGACCGGAAGAACGACTCCAGAAGCAATTTACTACCTCAGCTATCGACATCATCACCCGAAAGAAGAAGAAGAAGACGAAGAAGAAGAAGCTCGGACAGACCAACAGTGCAAACAATCAACTCCATCAGTGATTGTTCATCACAGATCTCCAGGCCCAGGGCTTAGCTGCTGCTACTACCACTACAATTACCAACAAAAGTACAGCCAGTTGCAGCTTGGGGTGCATTCTTCTGCTGCTTCTTTTTCTTCCTGCACAGTTAAGGTTTGTCTGGAACCGTGCTCGGCTGGCTCTTGCCGCTTGCATTCTGACGACACCATCCATCTTTTTCCTTCCCTCGGCGCCGTTTTCGTAACCACCAAAACCCAAGTCAAAGTCATCCATCCACTTTCCCACCCTTTCCAACCACTCCTCCCCTCCCAAAAGAGTCGCTCACTCGATTACTACTACTGCTGCTGCTACTACTACTACTACTACTACTACTACCACTACCAACTGCATTCAAACGGTCCCTACCCATTACCAACCAACCAACCATTCATCCCTCCATCCACACCACCACCAAACCCCCAACTCTAAACTCACTACCGCTACCACTATCACTTAAACCCGAAAGCTGTTCCCAATCCCGCAACTGGCAGCTTGAACTACCAGAAATTCCCACCTGTCTCCACTCCGGTACTTGGGTCCCAAAGGTCAAGGACAGCTCTTGTTCAGCTGCAACGGGCTTAAACTCATTGGCCTTGCCCTTACTAACTACAATTCTCACTATTCCTCATCCTATCAGCCATACACTGTTTGGTCCCATCCTTTAACCAACTTCGATTCCCACCCCCCCCCCCCTCCCCTCTTCAAACCACACTCTTCCACACAACCCCACCACACCTGGGAAAGTGAGGGTGTCATTCTTTTAATTCTGGTGCTTCTGGTGAACCACATCTTGTACCGCAGCCAGGTTCCAGAGTGAAAGGCCCGGCCTGTCCGTTTTTTCTTTGCTGTAAAACCACCGGTTCATCGCCTGTCTCTTCATCCATCATATCAAACTGTTCCCCTGAGTATCCTGCTGTCATTCAGACGTGGTTCACTACGCGTTTCCTGACGGATATCCGACTTGGATCCCTTGGCTCCCTTCTATTCGGTGCTATCTCCCCAGAAGCTCGCCTTGATGAGTGCGTCGACGTTTTCGGACGCTTCCCTGGCCCGCGACTCTCAGAGGTTTGTACTGCCGCTCCCCGCAGCTCTTGATCATCTCAAAGCTGGCCGCTCAACTCTTACTCTGTGCTCCAGGGCTTCTCGCTGACGATGATCACCTCCAGCTCGGACTTTGACTTGATCGTTCGCCAGCAGCCCACCCGGGCGCGCGTGGCTGGTGGGAAGGAAAAAGGTACGTTGCAGCCAGGAAACTTGGTCCCATGGACGAGCAGCTATTAACTTGAGGATCGCGTTGCCTGAACAGAACGCAAGCCAGTTGATCCGCCTCCAATCGTGCAGATTCGTGTCAGAGAAGAGGGGACGTATCTCGCGCAGTAGGTGACCGACCTTCGAGCCCTCCAGCCCTTGTGCCCTCGACTGTCGCCCCTGCTAACAGGCCCCAATAGGCACTACCTCCAGAGTCCCTATTATTTTATGTGCTGCAGTCTCTACGATGCTTCGGAAGATAATCCAGTTCCCGTGGCACCATCCACTGCACTAACTGGTACCCTGGTTTCCTCGCTTCACCGGTTGAAGGACGTGGACAATAGCGGTAAGAGGGGCTCGGCAGCTTGGGGAAAACAGGTGCCGCTTACTGACGAGGCTTTTTTCTTTTTCTAGATGGGGGATTCTTCGTGTGGGGAGATTTGTCTGTGAAGATTGAGGGTGACTTCCGACTCAAGTTTACTCTGTTCGAAATGCGCAAGTAAGGCTGCTCCGGTGATCGTGGTTGCAAAGTCCGAGGGCCTCGCAGGCCCTTATATGGAGAACAAGAAAGAGGATGGGGTGGGGAGCTGGTTGCTAACTTCAGGCTGCAGGGACATTGTGACCTACTTAAAATCCATCATCACGGAACGTTTCACGGGTAAGCGCGCGCGCCGTTACAGGATCTTATTGCGTGACCTAGAATCTAATCGGATGCAGTTTTTCCTCCCAAGAGCTTCCCGGGAATGGGAGAGTCAACGTTTCTGTCTCGATCGTTTGCAGACCAGGGAGTCAAGTTGAGAATTCGAAAAGAACCGCGGACGCTCATGTGAGTGGACCACAGGGACCGCACTAATATCCAGGAAATCACTGGCGGTCCAGCTGACTCGTGACATAGAAAGCGGCCACCACCTCGACCAGAGGACTATCCTCAGCCGATTCCACGTTCTCCAGATCGATCGTCGATCCAAATGTCTGGCAATGCATTCAGCGGGTACCCGCAAACAGCAAGCAGGGACTATGCGTCATACTACGGAGCAGCACATCCAACCAAGCGAGCACGAATGTCGTCAATTGACATGGGCACTAGAGGCGTCTACGATGCAGATGGCCGACTTCGCCAGGTGGATGCGTACCCGCAGACAGCAATATACAACCAAGCTGGGGGCTATCCGGCTTCTATGATGCAGGGCTATCCTACGGGGCATACAGGGGTTCCGGACTACACGGTTTGTCAACCTCCTCCTCCTTTCTACGGTCACCTCGTCGCTTTCAAGGCTGCAAACGTGCCCCATTTGAGGACGGTGACTAATACTCACTTAAGCTGACTCCGGAACAGATGAGCTACGGAATTCCAGCGTCCGCTCAGGTGCCCCAGATGCAGGATCCAAGCGTCCACGGTCGATCCAGCCAGCAGGCAACAATGCAGACTCTTGGGATAGTAAATCAGCCTGGCACTCCGGTACGGACCTTCTCCCCGCCGTTCACCGATCCGGTATAAGAAGCTAAGGACAAACCATTTTGGGTAGACAGCGGATGCAACGGGAGCAATGATGCCTCAAGGTTATCCTCGAACCCAGCAGTATCAGACCAGCTCGACGATCCTCCCTCCTCTGCAGCGGAATCGCAACTTTCCCCAAGGAACCAATGGGGCGACGGCTCGAGGCTACTTTGATCAATCATCTCAAGCGGCTACACCCATCCTACCGTCGCAGCCCATGGGTACAAATGAAGCAGATCGATACGGTTCTGCGCCTGGCCAGGCCACTTTCGACCATCCCGGCTCAGCGAATGGGACCCCCCGATGAGCGAATTAACGTCCAGATGTATGTGTTCTGATATTGACGGTTTGCTTTACTTTCTGCTTTGCTGTTCATTGCTTGTTCTGGGTTTCTTGGATAGACATCCGGTCGGTGTTACTTCATGGGAACTGAAATCGGCGGCTCTGGGGGATACATGGCGCCTGGGGAATTAAAATGGGTCACCAGGGACTTGATTGCTACGTCTCTTGCTTTTTCCCTCCTCTTGGCTCCGGGGTCACGGTTGCAAGGGAGGGGCTTACTGACTTCGCTGTATATATTATTATTTTGGACCTGGTTGCGATATGACCTGAGGCGGGCAGCTAATCGTTTTATTCGCTGCGTGCTCCTTGGTCATGGAATGAAAATCAGGCAGTTCAGCACTATCACAGATGCGAGCTTCTATTGCAAGGTAAATTGAAATTCATAGTTTTGTTGGGAGGTCTGGATGGGAAAATACAGGTAAGGCCAGCTGCCAGCCTGGAGCCTGGAGCTCGGTGAGTATTTCCGTTTTAGGCAGGACTGCAACTTACCGTGGACCGTTGATCAAACAACCGGCCATCTCGACTTATTCAATGACTTCCAGACCTGCCAGTGCCTCTCCTCCCCTCCCTTCCCCCCTTCGTCTCTTCCTTTCTTCACGCGTCCTTTGTCGCCTTTCTCCTTCATCACCGGCTTTTGTCCCCTGCCACCATTTGTCTGATTCTTCTGCCATGGACGGCCCTCACCTTGGAAGCATGGCTTCACATCACGACAATATACAGCCAGTCCTGCCTCGGCGTCTGCCAGAGATCTACGATCTGGAAATTCACAATACCTGGACTGGCAACCTCGAAGACCCAGTCGCCGTAAAAATATCCATGGAGGTAAGCAGGCCTCTCTCATAGCGTCTCCTGGACGTGGTTGTTGCCTTGGGAAGTATGCCACTAAGTAAGTTAACCAACAACTTGTGCGTCCAGGTACTGTGTCACCCAAACACATTAGTTCCGCTTCTGAACACAAATTTTCCGGGCATCTCCCTCCAGACAACATCGGTGTCCCGCGTTCATTCTGACCATTTTGGAACGAGTGACCAGTCTAGAGATGACGGCCGCTCTCCGAGTCCCCTGTCTGCACACTCATTTTCAGTGGCTGGTGTCACAGAGATTAGAGAGGAGCTGAGCTTCGATGCGGAGAAGTCGTCCGCTTTAGATGAGGGGCATGTGGCCAGCGAGATTAAGGCTTTCCATAATGTTGAATCCCCTGGCAACCGGTTTATGGAAGAGAATGCCCGTTCTGATTCAACAAGCCCTCAATCTGAAAGACCCAAAGTCACACGTCTAAGAACCACAAGCCTTCAAACGACATTCCGTCGAGATATGACTCCCATCACCACCCCCACCAAACCTCCTCCCGTACATCTCAACCTGGCTCGATCTGAGAGCGGGAATACCTCTCAGAATCTAGGCAAACGAAGCGCCGCAGTTGCTTGTCTTCCCAGTTCCGCGTCTGACACGGAAAGTGAGACGGAGGAGGACAAGAAAACAGTAGCGTGTCAGAACATGTCGCACAGTGCCGTCTCTATCGGTTCTGCTCTCAGAGATAAGAATCTAGCAAGAAGCCCACGTGCTAATAGGATGCAGAGGTCTAGAAGCAGTGTCTCCGGAACCCTTTGTTCGAGTCATTCTAGTCGGGGTCCTAAGGCCGCACCCATGTCTAGAGAAACACTCGATCAGGCGCTCTCAGACACAGCGTCTGATATTGACTTCTGTTCCGCGAGTTACATAGAAATTGCGGGAAATGACTTTTCGAGCACTACGGCCACTCTTGTCTACCCCGAAGACGCAGATACCAGTACTGTATCCCCTACGGTTGAAATGGAACACGAAAATGACTCAAACTTCACGGTAAAAGACATGGCAATCTTGGAAGATTCCCTCTCGGAGAAAGAGTCCTGGAGGCATCGCAGAGGCCACGTTGATGGTTACTCTACGCCTACCCAACCAGGCCGGGAGCATACGGGCAGCCGTAAAATTCCGACGTCGCCCTTAAACGAGAAGCAGCAGTTCCCGATTAATTGCACAAATGGAGCTTCTCCTCACATACCAACGAAGTCGCCCAAAGACGAGAAGCAGCCATTACGCTTCGGTGGCACGGATGGAGCTGCTGACACTGAATCAGTAAACGATTCTCTAGACAGTAGTGAAACACCCGCACCCAGATCACCATCAATTCCACTCTTGGACCCCAAGCATGACGGTATGACCGCGGAAACTCGAAGCCCTGACACGTCCCGGACCTTGACCCAGCCCGGATCAACAGAGCAATGCCTCTCCGAAAGCCCAACTGAGGATTTCACCAACAACCCTGAAGAGCGACCTGAAAATTCCCAACCGGAGATATTCAGCGAACCAGAGCTGACAGTTTCCAATGGCATAGTGTATATCAAAAGTCCCCCTAATATAACACCGGTACCATACAAGGTGGTTCTTGCTACGGACATCAATCTTCAGAAAGGGGTACCCAGTGGCTGGAGCCGTTTAACCATCCCCGGATTGCCTAGGTTGAAAAAGGATGACATTGGGGTCTTTCTCTTCCAAACACCGCCAAACCACGGCCTCGAATTCCGAACCGCAAACCTCGAAGGGAACAAATGGTCGGGGGATTGCTTTATGGCCGGGTTTGCCTATTGTGGAGACCTTGTGATCGACCTTCATCGGTGCAACAAAGGTTTCTACGGAATCGTCAAGGACTTTACTGTGGAACAAGAGATCAAGGCAGACATCATACGCCTTCCTGATGCCGCAGACAGCGCTCATGGTCATCCGACAGATGTCTGTGTCCAGTATCAGGCATTTTGTTCAGTCAAGCTCCCTAACCGTAGCTTCTTCGCCGAGAAATGCTGTGTTATGCTGCTAGTTGATGGCGGCCCAGAGGGTTTCTTCCGGAGCGAGCTGGATATCCAGGAGACGGGGCTACAGGTGATTCAGATCGAACCGGAACAGGACACACCTTTGGGTATTTCTACCCTACAGATCATTTGCAACCCAAAGGACTACGAGATGTTCTGTATAAGCTGGACAGTCAAGTTTTCGCGCGACAAGGCAATCAGCTGGCTTCCCAGGGTTTATCCGGGGCCATCTGGTTCGAACGATCGGGCTAAGCACTATCTCAGATACACTCACTTGGAGCGGGATATTGGGATCCCTGCCACGAATGCGGTCAGCTACGCGCCTGAAGGCTCTCCCACTGAGACAACATCTGAAGTCGCTTCATCAAACAAGACAGGAGACTTGGTGAGCATCGATGAAGAGACCATTATTCAATGCGACGAAGACGCAATCGTTGGCCACGGCCAGAGATGCGCGAGCCTCGCTAAGAGGGTTATTGTGGGGATGTGTTGTGCTGGGTTTGCCATGCTTGCAATTGTCTGGCTTGGCGATAAATACGCCAACGCTTGCAGTCGTTCCCTTCGAGACATTTCGCAACCTCTTGTCCCGAAGAAAGGAGCTATGAACGTTAGCACTGAGGTGAGCCAATTCGCTGACGACGAAACCCACTTCGAATCGGGGCTGCAGCTCAACCAGACTGAGCCAATTGAATGGAAGGCTGTCTTGTCAAAGGAACCAAGTGAGCAGGAGACTTTTGACGTGCAGGTCGAATTGGAGGAAGCGAAATTTGAGGCGGAAACCGCGAAGGAAGAAGAGCAGCAGTCATTCCATCCGGTCACAGCCCTTGCGTTCCGAGAACGGATGGATAACTGGCTTGGATGGCGTGGACCGTTTGATCCAGCTGGGGACCGAGTGTGAGGGGTTTGTATCGAAATTGCGAGGAGCAGAAACCGTTTAAAGCGGACACTTCTATGTCTCTAGTCTAGGTAGAATGCTTACAATGCTAAGACGAGGTCTACATGTGATTTAGGCGACTTCTTCCAGAAGCTTCAACACTTCCTCCACGGCCCATTTCAGGATTTTCGACATGGGTTCGCTACCCCGACCAGGAGCGACAGTGACCCCGGCATCCATCCGCACACGAGTCGCTTGGCCTGCCAGTCTGACCAGCTCGTGCGGGTCGGTCTCCATCAACAAGCGATCATCATCCTCACTCTCATCCTCAGGCAGCAGCAACCACGCGTGATCCTTGACGTAGTTGGGCCACACGATATCATCGACATACCCAGGGGGATCAGTCCAGAAATTCTGCGGCGGGCGATCATCCTCAGCCTCCAGATCGATTTCTGTCTGATTATCCTCCTCCTCCTCCTCCTCCTCCTCCTTTTCCCCATTCTCTCCCTCCCCTTGAGTGTTCCCCTGAGGCACCGGCGCCGCCCCAATAGTAACATACCCACTCCTCCTCTCCCGCCGCGCCTTTACCATCTCATACGCCGCCGGCAAAAACAACCTTCCATCAAACCGCTCATGTACCTCCCTCAGCGGATGCCCCGCTGACTCCGCTGATCCCCCCGGCGGCGGCGCAAACAGGAGAAACCCCTCCACGAACGCGATCGTCGTCCCAGTCCCTGTCTTTGTGCCACTGCTGCAAGTCGCATTACCTACTTCCTCCTCCACCCTCCCATTATAATAATCATCCCCCAGTAAAGAAAGTACCCGTCCCCGAACCGCACGCCGTAACTCCCCCACCAAATGCCCCGGTACCCCCGCGTCCGCATCCCCCATCACCTCGTTCTGGTCTTCCTTTGAGTGCAGCCGCGGCGGGAGGTGGCCCTGGGCCTTGATGTAATGCAGCGATGCGGAGAGGAGGCCGAGGTCCAGCGCGGAGGCGGTGTCCCAGTTTTGGAGGGTGGTGCCGTTTTCTAGGGTTATTGTGGGGATTCTTTTTTCGTTGCGTATTAGTGATTTAGTTATTAGTTGTTTTCTGCGCCGCTGGGAGTTGGGGGGCGGGAGAAGGCTGGGTGAAGTTGTGGGTTTGGGAAAAGGGGGGACGTACTTATCATCAGGATGGTAGAAGTCATCTTCGTGAACGAGGAACGATCTAAGTGCTGGTGCTGGTGCTTGTGCTTGTGCCTGTGCTTCCTCTGTCACAGAGGGCAGGTCATCGAGATGCCCGAAGATACGTTGGAGGAGGCGCGCGAGCGTGGTTTTGCCGCTGCTTGAGGGGCCGGAGATGCCGATTATTATGGTTTTGCTTCTTGTTTCGGGGGTTACCGGTGCCGGTGCCGGTGCGGTGCGCTTTATATCCATCTTGCTGCTTCTCTTCTTCTTGTGTGGATTGGGGGGGTGGTGAGGGACTAAAGGATCGGGAGGAGGGTGAATGAGGGGGTTTCGGAAGGGTTGTCGCGGAGATACAACCTAGCTAGCTGTGTTAAACTGTAACTGTATGTGATCGTGGTGGGGCTCGCGTGGTGGGTTCTTATCTTATCGCTCGTTTTTGCTTGAAGTCTACGAGCTGGAATGTGCACTTTTTTAGCAGTTTAAGCTACATACATAACTAATACTGTACATACATAACTGTGGTATACATCTTGAATGAATCTTCCCCAATTCCTTTCCTATACAGCTTGCTTCACGTAGGTCCGAGGATCGACACTGACTTCTTACCTGACCTCTTCCTCCCGCTATCAGGGCTGCCGCGGCGACTATTCGCTGGCTCACCTACACCTACACCTGACGTCGGCCGCGGAGACTTCGAGCTCCGCGGAGGCGTCATGAGAATCCCCTGGGACGACATGAACCCCACGCTAGGGGCCGCCGTGCGCCGCCGTTTGGGAGTGACGAGGTCCGGTCCGGAGGAGTTGCTCTCGCTGAGGCGCACCGGGACGAGACGCGTGCGTTTCCTCTTGGGCGGTGCCGGCGGGGTTCTGGGGGCAGAAGAGGAAGACGCCATCTCGACACTGGCGACGTCTTCGTCGTCGGCGATTGCAAGCTTGTGTCGATCGAAGAAGCCCGCGGGCCGCTGCAGATATGCGAGCCGCGAACACGTCTCGTTCTCCGGCATCGGAATGAAGCGCTCGTTCTGGATGATCGAGCTCATGGTGCTGTCGTCCAGTAGGTCGCGCTCGGCGTGCTGGATCTCACTATCCGTCATCGCCCTGCGCCGGCGCAGCATCTTGTCTTCCAGCGTGTCCTTTAGGACGAGCGTCTCGACGAAGACAGGGCGCGTCTGGCCGATTCGGTGCGCTCGCTTGATGGCCTGGCTCTCGATGTTGGGTTGCCAGATGGGGTTGACGATGTAGACGCGCGAGGCGTTGGCGATGTGCAGCCCGTGCGACGCCTGGCGGAGGTCCATCAGCAGAACGCGCACCTCCTCGGACTCCCGGAAGAGGGTTAGGTATTGCGCTCGGGTGTCGGGTTTGAGGGTCTGCGCGTAGATCCGGAAATCAATTCCGAGGAGTTCAATCCCCTCCGCGATCCAGTATGCCGTGTTGGGATTCTCGTAGAACACGATGATCTTCTCGTCCTTGTGGTAGGCCGAGATCTGGTCCAGGAGGTACGTCAGTTTGGCCGACGCCGTGGCGACGAGCTTTGTTTGCGCGAGCGGTGACTCGGGCGACAAGGTCTTGACCAGGCCCTTGCTGTAGGTCTTCTTCGGGGATTTGCTCTTGATCGGCTTGTCCGGCGTGGTCTTTTTCACTTCAAAATTGTCACCCTCGTTGCCGACGAGGGTAAGCTCGCGACGCGCGCGGATGCCCGCGCCAGCGAGCCCGTCGGCTGGGTCGGGCATGTTCAGTTGTTTGGTGACGAAGCGCTGTGCGTGATGGGCCTGCGTGATGCCAAGTAGCAGGGGCTCAGCCTCTGTGCTTGATTTATCGAGAGCCCACATGCTTCGAGCATGGGAAGGGAAATCCTCGAGATAGACTCCGAGCTCATGCATCTGCTTGAATGCATGCCAGCTGCTACAGGTTTGCGCTTGTCCAGCAATTTGAATGCCCTCTTCGATTAGACTAATATCGTCTTCTGCCATGCTGTCTCTATTCTTTTCCAGATACTTCGAAGCATTTTCAATCGTGCTTGAGAGGTCGCCATCTGAACCGGCCCACCAAAACCCCGCCTGGCGAAGGTTGCTGATCAACAGACTGAGGTGCTTCCGATTGCGAGGGTGGAACATGTAGTCTTGATCCTTGCGCTCCGAGGTGATCGCGTTGACTGCCAGTATGAAGATGAAGTAATTGAGACTCATCCTATCGTAGAATGTAGGCTCCAGGTGCACGACTCGGTTGAAAAGTCTCGGGAGGGTGATCTCATTGTGAATAACATCCAATCGGTGACGGACGACGAGACTCTGCAGAGTCGCCCGAAGTGATGGGGCTTTTCGCCGCCTGTTGTTAGAGCCTACAGGCGTCATGTATGTCACCCAATTAGCCTGGTCGTCAGTCCGATTCCGAGAGTTGGACCAGGGTTTCAGCTCCAGAAAATCGATCACAATCCGCCGCAGTTTATCCATGTCCTTGAGCTCACTGTCCCAGGCATTGCCGGTCTTCTTTCGGCCTTTCAGCACAGCTGTCGTAGCCTCAGTCAAATCGGTGTCGCTGGTGTGAGTTTCCTGCGAAGCCAGGCTGACCTCCACTCCATACAGTCCGCTGGACGGGGTTCCGGACACAATCCACCGCCGCTCGATGTGTAGCTGCCTGAGGATGTGAGCCATGTTCGACCGATGTGCACTACCGGCCGCATTGTGGCCTTCATCGACGATGATCCGCAGCCAATAGATCCTGGTCAAAGGTGACGTAGGGGGTTCAGAAAGGTGACGAGTCAAATGGGCCGGTTCGCCCGCCTCCTTCTCAAAGCGGACTTTGGAGAACAAGAGGATATCATATTGCAACAGCTCATCCGGGGAGGGAATCTGGTCACTATTGTTCCGCAGGGTAAGCACCTTGAGACCCTGGGTGTGTGTTTCGATTTCCTTTTGCCAATGGTTGACCAGGTTCGGGGGAGCGACGATCAAGGTACCGGAAGAGAGGCGCACCTTCTGAGGCGAAGGCCTTGGGTACGGCACGCCGCTGCGCCCTCCATGTCTGGCTGGGGGTGGAGGTATAGTATATGCGCCGCGATTCCTCTCACAGGCTTCCACACACCTGATATACGAGGTACCGTAATGGCCCAATTCGTCGAAATGGCTCTTCCACGGCAGCGAGAACCGGCCTGCTGCCGCGGCAGCCATCTCGACCAAGCTTCCAGTTGAATTTCGAACCGGGTTGCCCAGCTCCTGATACTCCAATGGAATCTCTGGGAAATGCCCGCGTGTTGCCAAGATCACAGCAAGACTGATCAGCGTCTTGCCACAGCCCATAGTCTCGGCCAAAATCCCTAGCAAAGAGAGCGCGTCAGCGGGGGCTACTATCAGCGACGCACCATGGAAAACAAAAAAAGCTCTAATATACCTCCACAAGCTTCCGAATACATCCTCTTCTCCCGCAAAATCCGGCCCTCCTCCTTATCATAGTAGTATTCCTGACCCGTCGGGCTCGTACGAGCCTCCAGCCGCGGATCCAGCATCTGCGCCGGCTGAGCCTCGCGCTGGACCATCGTGGCCGCCGAACGACGCTGATAAGGATACAACGGCGTCTTGAGCCCCAGCACGCCCGAATAATCCGGCCCGGAGTCCTCGCACTCCACGCCGAGCGGGGGCGGCGACGCCGCCACCACGGTAAGCAACTGCTCCATCGCCCTCCTCGCATACGGATTCTTCATCACATCCGCCCGCGGCGCCGGATCCTGCAGGGTGTTGAAAATGTACCAAAGAGACTCCTCCTCGCGCTCGTTCTCCCCACCGGACCCGCCACCTTTCGTGGTCGGACCACAAGTACTCCAATCCGCAACAAACTCACCCATCCACGCCTCATCGGAGCGATCAACCCTCTCCATAACGACCTTAAGCGCCCGGCGCAACGTCCCATTCGACCGCGGAATAACCTTACGCCCGACATCGTCCGGCAGGACATAGACGCGCACCCCGCACCACGACGCATGTTCCTCCTGGTATGTGAAACTGATCGTGCGTATCCACTGATGGCTCTCGAGATTAATGACCTCGGAGGCCGGGTACCCGTCCGCTCCTACCGCCGGCGCCGGCGCCGCTGCCACCTCATCAGCACCACCATAGATGAGATTCGGCTTCCGCAGCACCCCAACACCGATGTACGAGTCAAGCGCGAGATCCGCGTCCTGGTGCAACACCCCCGAGGCGACGACAGGCGTGTCGATCGCCGCGATGCTTCGCGGAGCAGGACATTCGGACCGCGGCGTGGCGGGGGTTGGGGTCGATGCTGGCGAGTCGACGGATGATTCGAGACTTGGGTACAGGAGCTCCTCGGTGGCGGATAGGGCTTCACCTTGGTCGTTGGCGTGGTCGATGGCCATGCTGTCGTATTCCATGCCTAATGGGGAGGATGAGGTCGGTAAGGACTGCATGGTGAGATTTTTCTTTGGGAGAGAACGGTAGTAAGCAACGCACGGGGCGAAGAAGAGATGAGTCGGATCGATGGAATCTGTCGATGCCATCTAGTTGGGATAAAAATCCGGACATACCTGGACATGGGTATGAGTGACAGGCGCAGAGGTCACATTCACTCTTTCAGAGACCGTCAACATGTTAACTCAATCAATTGTTCGTCCGCCTTGGTAGTGGTTGTAAGCTGGAAAAGTCGACGGACTGACTGTTTGTCCCCGGAGACGAGTCACTGATCGCCTGCTGCACACCAGTCATTCAGTGGTGAGGTGATGGCAGCTATCATCAGGAGTAACACCCGGTAATCCTGCGGTGTTATACGAAGGAGAGGCGTGGTGAAGAGAGAAGATAAGCGCGCGCACCAGCCCCCCCTGCATGAGGCTGTATCTGGGGTTCTCGATAGTGCCAGTGCCAGCCCGCATTGATCGGAGGTCCCGTCGCGAGGTGGAGGATCTGCCGATAAGCATCGCGATCGGGTGCTGGTGATTGGGTCGCATGGCTCACCGCTTTGCTCCATTGCCGGATAAGGTTATATTACTCGCGCCAGGCATGGGGCATGATTGCCTGAGGCAGCATACCGGTCTCAGGTTAGTACGGCCCGTAGGGATGGAGCTTCCCGATTGTGTTACGCTACAGATTTCACATCTCAAGTGATTCAGATCGACTCCTAGTCGCTGCTATAATGTGGTCTTCATGGGTCAAGATGAAATCGAACAATGCTTGGTGTGATGATGTCATATTTTTGGGCAGACTACATACATGAGCTCATAACCACGAGAATATATATTATCCAAATATCCTCCCTCGATTAACAGAAACAACCTCCCAGCCCGAAAAAAAAACGCCGTGTAACCCTCTCAAGACAAATATATATCGAAAGCACATCACAGCCCTATATGATTCTTGGTGTCGCAATGCTGAAAAGAACACCGGTAACGCCAGAAGCGGGGGGGGGGGGGGGGGGGG